AAATGAAATGATTGTCAGGAATTTTTAAATGCCTTCTATTCTTTTTAATACCAAACGTGAAATGCTAATCACCCTCAATCACTGTGTAATATTCACCTTTTTATGTGGATGGGAATTATATTCTCTCAGCTAATACACGTCTTAATAATATAATACTGTGTCGAGAAACAGCATAAAAATGCCAGTTTTAAAAAAAGTGCCATTCAAGTTCACTGTTGAGGGGAAGATTAATTCAAAATCAAAGCCCTTTCCCTAAACCTCAGCGTAAGCTCATAGTGTACCATCAAACTGACATCTTACCGTTTGGAGCGTGATTATGACCTAAGATTTCCATGCTAAAAGAAAGATACACACATTTAGCCCACCTGAAAAGATATTCTTATTTTATCTTTAAATAATTTAATATACTGGATTTACAGTAATCTGGGCCTTTGGAAACAATGCCTTTTAGGACTGACAGGCAGTTGTGAATTATGTAACCTGTAAATTTTACTTTAAATGGGTCACATAAATGGAGCTAATCACCAAATGACAGCTGGAATTGGCTCCAGCCACCTCAGGACTTTGCTAAGCATAAGAGAGTATAATGAATGGATTGATTCATACTGCTTTACATACAACTGTTCTGTCATGTAACTGTGTTGATATTTCTAAGTGTTTGCCAGGATGTAGTTCACTTTTTTAAAATGTATTTTTAGTTATATATTTGCTGTCTCTGTTATTCTTTGAGAAAATATTAGATGGATTGCAAATTGGGAAAATCTCCAAATATGCCTTGAAAATACAAAAAAAACAACAACATTTAGGCCATGTGAGGCTTGTCAGCATCCTTCTGTCTTCTGATTTCAGGGAAAAATATCCACTACCTCCTTAAAATCTCTAAACACCCAAAATGGATCACATGAAATGTCCATGTGTGAGTAAACTGTGCAAGTGCTCAGGAAAGTTTAGCTTTAACAAAAGCAACTAAAATCATTCGGAATATTTGAGCCTTGCATATGATTAGAACAACAAAGACAACATATTAAATGTTCAACCCATAAAGGTTACCGTTTATGCAAAAGTATTTGCTCAGTTGGATTTTAATTCAAGAAACATGTCTCAGAAAGCGGGGACAGGGCCATGTTTACCAAGGGTTGCATCATTCATGCACTTTCTGAAAGGATTTAGCATCTGAGGACAGCCCCCACTTTGCCTTAGTCCATTTCAAATTATCTGAGGCCCAGAGAAAATGCAGAATTTCTGGATTTTGTTTATATTTCGCTTTTCTTTGCACAGCAGAATATGAACTTGCAGCCATGTGCTGGATGTGGTTTTCAAGATGACTCTTGAGCCCATTAAATAAGTTTCAAAACACATTGCCATCAGCAATGTTTTCTGTTATACACAGAAAAACATCATTTTTACATTCCAGACCTAAATGTCTACACAGTCTTTCCCAGAGCGTTGAACCCTTTCTCATCTTTACTCCAGAAAGATTGAGCCTGTCGTTAATTAATCTGATTTGGTGTGAAATGCCATAATTTTTTTTCTTTAATAGCATTTTCTGTTGCAGGAATTAGATTAATTAGGAGCATTTTGAGAAAAAGGACAAATAAATTCCTGACTTTCAGTGTTACATATGTGATCTGTTCTATTTTTTTATATTTTTGCAAAATACTCTTTAACACCATGCCTGAACAATGGTAACATTAGTTGCTCTAACATCTGTACATACCTTTCAGTGTGAAGATTACTTTCCAGATGTGCAGTTCACCACTTCTGTAGGCACCAATGCAGCTCATTACCATCAGAGATGCAGGCTTTGAAATGGACAGCTCTCCCCAAGCCGAATGGTCTCTTTTCTCTTTAGTCCTGGGGAAGTGCAGTGATGATTTCTAAAGAGAATTTGAAATTGCATCTGACAGGTCGTCAGTCCAGCAGGCCTCCTGTTTCAACTGTTCTCAAACATGTATTATCTGAAAGCTTTCTAAAAAAAAATTGTGATATTTGTAACTCGTTGTATTTCTACACAGTATGGAAAACTCTCTCACTGTAGATAAATGAATAAATCCCCTGGGCCAAAACAGTCCAGCAATAAAATACAGTACTGTAGACTATTTGTTGCTCACTGGTCAATTTTAAAATGGTAATTGGTTTAAACTTTGGTGCGGAACACAATTCTCAAATTCGACAGTCAACAGTAAAAGTAAATAAATAAATAATACTTTTACCAGATTCTAATGAAAGTTAATAGAAAGTGGACTATCAGTAATTGTATTCTTTCCAAACACAACTTCATTTAAATAAATGACCAGGCTCCCTGAATCATCTTGTTCTGCCATCTAGTGGCCAGATGAAAACGTCATATATTGAATGGTTTAAAACACCCACTCTGCCATTTACTACTATATAAGGCTTATTCCTACTTGAATATATATATATATACACATACAGACATCTTTGTTCAAATGGTCTCATGAGTATGAAAAGGTTTAAGCTTGTACTTTTGTTAAATTCCAATCATATAAATAAAGATTTTCCAGTACAGTTTATACTTTGGCAGTTCCCAAAACTGCATATCCAAATCAATATGATTTGAATGTGGTGGACCAGCCATTGAGTGGTTAACATTGTTAGCTCACACATGTCATTAAATGAGAGGGACTCTGAATGACAGAGCCAGAGGCAACAGCACTTCAGGCCACTGTGAGCATTCATACAGTACTGCATGTCTAATAATCTCATGGGACAGGAGGCCTGTGGGTCTCTCTTTGAACCAGAGGCCATTCATAGGAAATGGGAAACATCTCCCCACTCTTTTGTGGTCACCAGCATTTCATTTGCAATCTAAATCTAAAACACAGGGTGTTCAAGAATCACATCAAAGGGGTTTTTGATAGCTAGGGTAGAGCAAAGACTTGAAATAAAATGGCTAATTATGAGTGTTGATTAGTGGGCCATGTAAGCCACGGACTAATTGGATTGCACAATGCAGGGCTGCTTTTGTTTTCCATGCATCTCAATTAGGTCCCTTTTTTACTCCAAAGGCTTAAATGTTGAGGCACTTTTTGCATTTACAACAGCAAAAATGGCAGCTCGCACAAATGTCCGCTGGTATCAAAAGAAAAGCATTCAAGATGGGGTTTCTAAATGATTTTTATTTCAGATTCTTACATATTGTTGTCAATAGGTGTTTGTCATGCTGCAAATTGGCTGAATATTTCAGTTTTAATCTGGCAATGTCCATCTCTTCTTCTTACCTTAATGATGCATTTTATGGTATATCACTTTGGGAATTATATTTTTAACAGTGCTCTTGATCTTTTGGAAAAGAATGGGGTGTTCTTGCCTAATGTGTGGCAGGTAGAAAGAAGGGAAGTATCTCTTTCTCATCAGAAGCTGTCAGGCTGATCAGTGCGCAGAAAGAAAGACAAATACAACTGAGTATGCTAGAATATTAACTCAATTAAGCTTAGGGTCCATCTCCAGCTACAAGAGTGATATGGTGCTTGGCAATCTCGTGATTTTATATGAGACCCCTAAACATATAAGTCAGAGAGACCAGATCAGTGCATCACTAGTTCACCCTCAAATTCTACCCATTACACATTTGTAGCAAGAAAAACATATTTCTCAATGAGGAAGTTGAGTATTTCCAGCTTTGGAAAACCTATTTCCAAAGCTAGAGCTTGGCTCCCCAAGAAGATGCAATGGAGGCCAACTTCAGGACTAATTTCTCTCAGATGTCAGATCCTATTGACTTGTTACCAAGGAGATTTGCCATCAGACTGATTCTGTGGTGAAATGCAAAATGAATAACCTTTCAGGGATAATCAACAGGAAGGCAAATTGCTTCTAAGAATAATTGGCTTTCATGTCGATCCTACAAAAATGAATTATCTTTTAAACAAAAGCATCATCCTTCATCCCTCACAAGGATGCCTTTTGCTCTTTTTTGTCACTGCAAAAGATATTAGAGACAATTTCAGCCACGTTTACGGTGTGTCATGTGGGACTGAGAAAGGCACCGACACATTCACAACAACAGGGTGGGAGGGGGGGGACGCGTGGAAACGGGGGGGGGGGGGGCCGGGTTGGAGCCCCGAGGGCGGGAGGGGGGGGGGGGGGGGGGGGGGGGGGGATTTTTCTGGGGGTTTTTTTTTTTTTCTTCTTCTTCTCCCCCCCCCCCCCCCCTGACACGTCGGAGACAGGACCCGACCGTAAGTAGCCTAAGACTGCTGAGAGGGGAATCAAAGCTGATAATGAAATAATAAATGTCTGATCCGCCCTGAAATCCGCGAGAGAGAAAAAAGAAAAAAAAAAAGAGCAGCGGCGGGGGAAAATCGCTCGTCTGGATGAGAGACCCCCGGGGGGGGAAGACGTGCTGCGGCCCGGGGCCGGGAAGGGGGAGGAAGGGGGGGAAAAAAAAAAAAACCGGTTGCCGATGACTGGTGCTGAGGCTGAATCGGGGGGCAAGGCGATGGAAACGGAGCGCGCGAGAGGGAGCCGAATTTGGCGAACGATCGCGGCACTCGTCTGAAGGTATTACGCGTCTGTGACGAGATTAGCCATCCCAGATCTCCGCCGTCGCGCGGCGGACGTCCGCCGTCGACGCCGGTGGCATCTTCCATCACCCAGATTCCATGTTCCAGTCGGCAGATGTGATGTGAGGGGCCTGCGTGCAGGGTGAAGCCTCCGGGGATTCGTCATTATGAGCGGAGAATCGGGGCCGGGCATCTTCAGCGTCTGGTGGAGGAGATGCATGGAGTGCTTTCACGTGTTAAGGATGACCTGCCAAGTCGGATAGAGAGCTTTGTTAGAACAATGGGAGACGATTGGTGATTGTTCCTCCTGAAATCTACTAAAAGAAATCATTCAAAAACGATCAAACCAGCTCCTGGTCCTCTCCCGCTATACAGAGCGAAATGGACTGGCTTTCTCTCCTGGGGAGGATGGGATTAACCTGACTGTGTGCCGCCGCCACCGCCGCTCTGCCGGATGCCAGACGTAGGCCTACAATGTCAGGTTCTCAGGCGCACGGCAAGGGCGCCAATTTCACCGGCGTTGCCCGGGAGCTGGCCTGGACCGGCTCCGGCCGGGACCCGGTCTGGTCCTCCACGGTCAACAGCGCGGTGAAGATGGTGCTGATCACCCTGATCGTGTGCTTGTCCTTGTTTGGGAACGTGGTCGTTCTGCTGGTGTTCCAGAGAAAGCCTCAGCTCCTTCACGTGGCCAACCGCTTCGTCCTCAACCTGCTCCTGGCCGACCTGCTCCAGACCATACTGGTCATGCCCTTCGCGATAGCGGCCACCGTGCCGGGCGTCTGGCCCTTGGATTCCCGCCTGTGCCAGGCCCTGGTGGTTCTCATGCACCTGTTCGCGTTCGCCGGGGTCAACACCATCATAGTGGTCTCTGTGGACCGCTACCTGGCCATCATCCACCCTCTGTCCTATCCGACCCGCATGACTCCTCACCTGGGCACCAACCTCATCGTCTGCACCTGGGTGCTGAGCTTTCTGCAGAGCACCCCGCCGCTCTACGGCTGGGGCGCCATCGACTTCGACCGGCACCAGAAGGTCTGCACGGTGGTGTGGTCCTCCAGTCTGTCCTACTCGGCCGTGGTGTCCACCTTCTCCTTCTGGCTGCCCGTGCTCATCATGCTCGGCTGTTACTGGATGGTGTTCCGAGCCGCCAGGAGGCAGAACGCTCTGGTGCACCCCATACAAACCCAGTCCTACTCCCAGCCCTGTCCGCAGGACTTCCAGGGTTCCAGCAGTCCGCAGCGGCAGCCCAACCCCCAGCAGGCAAGTCCGTCCGAAGGCCCCTGCACGGCCAGGAGATACCCCGTCCGGGTCAGGCACAGACGCTTCCACTACCACTGTAAGGCAGCTCGGGTTGTGTTCGTCATCATGGCCTCGTACATCTTCAGCATGGGCCCGTACAGCATTCTCAACATCATATCCATGAACTCGAAGGCGGCCGTGCCTCCGTGGTTATCCTCCTTGTCCCTCGTGCTCTTCTTTCTACAATGCTGCCTACACCCTTACATTTACGGCTACATGCACCGCAGCGTGAGGAAGGAATTCCTGGCCTTGCTCTGCGGGCTGCTCTGCAAACAGGGACGGCCCAACCAGAGCTCGGGCGTGGAGAGCTGCTTCACCACCACGGAGGGCCGCTCCGGCCCGCACCCCCGCCTCCCCAGTCTGGCCGCCCGGGTCTTCCCGCTGCAGACCTGGGAAGAGTGCACCACATCCTCCTCGCCGACCTTTGAGAGAAAGTCGAGGGACAGTCGAAAAGAGACCACCTCCACCAGCGTCAGCTCTGAGAAGGAGCTCCCCGTCCACAGCCGGCAAAGCACATGAGCTTAACAGAACACGTGCTCTTACTTGAGTTAGTCCAGCAGCGTGTTCCAATCTATTGAAACTAGACAGCAGGATTGTTAATCCTAAAGCCAGGAATAGGCATGTTCTAACTGATCACAAAGAGCTTTGTTTTAAGAAAAACGATCAGATATATGTAAAGGGGGAAATGGCCCCGGTTCCTGTTGCATTATTATTTATTATTTTTTAATAGAACCAGCCGTTGGAGAAAACAAAAGACAGTTTTAGAATAAAAGATGTATTTTTAAGGCGAGCTATACGTACCTGCGTGTGTAGCCGTCACGTTCTCTGTAAAACCTTCATCTTTAGATGTATGCAATATTGTTCTTGCTACTGTTGGTTAAAATGGGCCTCTGAAACTGTAATTGATCTAAATCTTGCTGTGTACAGAGGGGAAAAAAAGCACTGCTATGTCATCCCGACTTGTTCATTCTCATACAGGCCATAGATCATGTGTTCGTCTGCAGTATCCGCACAACTACTGAGGTTCCTTTAAAGCATTCTGGGTTATGATCTTGTGTGTGGAGCAGAGGCCTGTTGTCCTTTTGTGCAAGCAACCTTCATTTGCGATTTATTAACTCAGGGTCTTGCTTGAAGAAAAAAAAAAACTGAAGTACTCATCTCAGTTCTTGTGACTACATTCCATGTTGCAGTATCTGTTCATAGTCTTGAAGCGCCTTCTCGATGAATAAGTAGGAATTTATTGATTCATTGTGCCTGTCAGTTACAGAACACTGAAGTCTTAGCGACTCCCTCTTAATGATGGGATGGTCAAACTTACACATTTGTCTTAGTCTTTGTTTCCTTAAAGTAAAGATTGACTGTGGAACATTTTTACCTCCTCCTACATCAGTGTGCCAAATTTGGACGGTATCTGCTGCCTTCGTAGCATCCGCCTTTTCTGTGAGGATGCAGAGTATTTTTGTTTAAAACACCACAGCGCAACAAGAGCAAGCTGTGATAAAAATATAACACGTATACAGTGGACTCTGTCCACCAGTTTTTAATGTGGGCTGCATGCCAGAAGAGCTTATGTAACAGTTTTCCTACATTCATTCAGCATGTAGATTTGTAAAGATGCCTCCTGATGCGCATTTTTAAGACGAGAATAAAGAAAGAATTAGCTTCAAATCACCGATAGGAACAGTGTCTATTAAGGGTTAAATGTTTGTCATGATTCTTGGCAGGGTAACAATGTGTGCATTATTTTAAACGTGTGTGTTTATTGTCAACTTTATGGGAACTTGGGAAAAAAAAAAAGAAACGTGTGGCAGACTGAGCCGAGGTGTTTAGGGCATCGTTCCTCTTCTTAGTATTAAATAATAGTTTAGACCTGCCTTCATTATGAACCTCACTTTTACTACAAGTGACTGGAGAAATCCAAACTATAGAGTCATAGTTGACAATCACAATCATATTTAGGTTTGTCGGACTATAGAACGATGTATATTACGGCAGTCGATGTCTTTTAGAACTTCTTACTTTTGTGAATCATTATGTGCTTTTGTATGATTTTGGGTTTGAATATTTAATTTCTGTTTGTTGTTAAATAAAACTAAATTATACGAATGGTGTGAGTTTTTATTCAGCTCTGTTTCTATAACTGTCCAGTAAATTGAGCACCAGTGTAAGTGTGTGGCTGCACCCATCGACTTACACCAGCGTTAAAACAGGAGGAAGAGTTGATACTCTGGCTGAGAGCCGACACTCAAACCAATCCGAATGAAATATTCAGTGTGTTGACGTTGCTTTGTTGCCCTTTTGAATAAAGACCGGAGGTAGAACCTCATTTTTGTGTAAGTTTTTTTCATATATAATTAATCCTAGAGGCTGGACCCTGACACAAATAGAAAAGGGGTATTAGGTGTGGTTAACATTCACTCTAAAAGCCCAAAGACAATAACATGGCTTTCAATTTGAATTAATTCAATTTATTTGTAAAACTGTTATCAGCTTTGAAGAAGACGTCTCACTGCTGCAGTGTTAAATGTAACTACCAGCCCAACAATGCATTTGCATCTCTGTGGAGCACATGCACCTCATCAGCAATCTCATGGACTGTCATGATTAACTTGGTGGGAGTCTTTTCGTGACCAAAAACAATAAAGATAAACCTTCCTTAAAAAGCAACACACTGCAGCCATAGCAGCTCTATGATACAGATATGCCTGTTAACCAGGAGTAGCCTTCTATTCTACGCAAACTTAAATTCAAGAAAATGGACATATGTCATAGTAACATCAGTGTTTTTTTATGTTTCGACTACAATACAAGCTGATATTTAAGGGATTATTGCCCAAATTGACCTTAAAAAAACCAAGATAAATGAAAGAAAAAAATTCAAAGGACGATTGCACAACGGTGACAATCTTAATGAAGCTTCCTCCCACTTTACCCCCTCTTTATACAATATATGTACACAAGTTTTCATCATTACAGAACAGGTAATGAAAAAACAGAACATTTAGCCATGAAAGGATCGAGAAGGCAAAATAATGAATATTTTGCTTTCTTCAGAAAATGAAACATCCCAGAGAGCAAACGTGGTTGTAACTCATGGTGGAAGTTTGATCGCTGGAGCCCACACTGATTTCAAAGGCCCCATTCAAAATACTACTGCTCAACAGTGAACACAAACTGATATATATATTTTTTTTAAGAAAGAAAAGACGAGCAACAGAGGTTCAAAGCACAAAAGAGGACGGGCTCTGCTCTGCGGGGTTTTTCTATCATAAGTGATGGTTTCAGTCCAGGTCAATTCAAACCGATTTATGACACAGGCAGCGCGGGGGAGCCCAGTGCCCAGACAGCAAGGAGTTAGTCCTTCCTCCAGTGCTCTAGTCCACTTTGACCACACTGTAGATCTTATTTACAAACCAGAAGCAAGCGAAGAAGCCAATTGTACCTAAGAATAGAAGACATGAGCGAGAGATTATTAAAAAATAAATAAATCAAGAAGACGAACAAGACAAATATGTCAGCCATAAAGCACGCACTATAAAAAGAATATAGAAATGGCTAATGTATTTTAAAGTTTTTTAAGTCAGGCTGCTCGGCTCAAATCAAGAAAACAGAAGGAACAAAAGGTTTCAAAGCATAAAAGAAAAATAAATAAATAAATACAGTGTTTCGGTTGGGTTGGAACGGCAATCTGAAAGTTTCCAAAGAAACATCTACCAACCCTCCTTATGTCAAGGAAAGAATATGTTTGCCGGAGCTCTGCTGTGTTGATAAGCCAGATAGGTCAAAACCCCAAAGCAGTTCATCTGGATATAAAAGTCCGATCAGACTGCTAAATGAGGGTCACACATGAAGCCGTAACCCGAGTAAATCTGTGATCAAAGTTTGGTCCAAATGGGGGAGACAGACGGCTAAATAAAAAAAGTTCATAAAGAAAATGAGGAGGATTAGGATTATTCAGATCAAAACTAGAAGCAAGGAGGGAAACTGATAATCTTTTTGGTGAATCCTTGGATTATGTCACGGTGATAATCTTTTGACGTATATCCTCTCGCTACTTAAAGTTCTTTCTTATGGAATTGCCGAACACTGCTGCTGCGACAAGCGGTGCTACCAGCTAACGTTTATCTGGCCTAACGACAGAGAGCATGTCATCATGTGACATCGGGGGGGGGGGGGGGTATTCCTTCCAGCATTTAGCCGAAGATGAATATTTATTATTAAATATCGAAAATGATCCTCTCATTGCACACGGCGGCTCATTTGAGCCGAAGTTCAAGAGAGGCTCAACAGCGCCATAAAAATGTATAACCACAAACAAAAAATGTCCTTAATTGAGCTTTAAAAAGACGCCGTGATGTTGTCATCTCGTCTTTATGAGCATTGAGCCTTGAACCGTGCACCCAGAGGAAAACACCTGCTAAGCAAGAGCAGGTAAATTGAGACAGCAAAGAAAACCTTACACGCCTTGTTCATTCTTGACTTACTATCCGTAAAAACCAGGAAGTGGGAGCAACAGAATACAAATCGTAAGAGATTATAGTCATGATAAAAGCTCTGGCTTGTCAAACAACAGAGGCTGTGGTACATGTGCGAAACCAGACCTGAGAGAGAGAGGGACATTTGACCCCCAAATTTACCTTCATCTAATTGTTAGAAAAGTTCAGAGACTCAAGGTGAATATAGAAGGGACCTCAGAAACAGCACACAAATCAAACAGGCCAGGATTGGTATTTAAAAGTAAACAAAACAAAGTGTGCAGTTGCGTCCGGGGACGGCGTCCTGATGAACAGGATCCTACATCCTCCCTCCACTGCATAACTGACGGCCAGTGATGGCAGAGTATCTAAGAAATGCTCATAAACTAACTTCCTGTCCTGTCTGACGAGCTACGGTGCCAACGTTGAAGGCATTAAGGCACACATTAAGGAAATGCTGCCTTGCAGCAGTTTTTTTCCTTTAATACAATTCATCCAAATCTAGGATCCCTTTTAATAGTAAACCATTAAAAGGTTGACATGTTTTCAATGGAAAAATAACTCTAAAAGACTTAATCCTTTGAGCAAAAAAATGAATGACTTACCAGTGAAAAGGAAGAAGATGAGGACCATAATCATAGTGTATCCAAAGTACAGTATGGTACTGGCCGCTCCAATTATCTGCAGCTTTGAGAAGAAGTAGTGCACGGCGTAGATGAACAAATAGACCGCAGTGAAGCCGCTGGTCAGGAAGGAACGCCACCACCAGTGGTAATCCTGGATACACAGAATAAAAGACGGCATGTTAGAATCCAGCAATGAGGGTCGGTGGAATTCAGACGGCGTCCAGTTACCTCAGCGCAAAGGTGGAAGTAGCACAGCAGAATCGTGGCTTCAGAGCAGGTGATGAGCAGAATAATGAAAACCAGGAACAAGAATCCAAACATGTAGTACATTTGATGAGACCTAAAAAATAGAATAAAAAAAAAACATGACAACCATGACTGAAAATAACATACATAAATGGGCCTGAAGCTACAGGTGACGCAGAGTACAATACCGCTCAACAACTATACGTTAAACAAAAGAAGGGTTTGCAGAACAATCAGGAAAGGCAGCATTCTTGTTATCTTACCAAATGCTGTTGAGAATGAAGAAAAGCTGGATGAAAATGCAGCCAAAGGGCAGGATTCCACCCATGACAATACCAGGGATGGGTTTGGTGAAGAAGGACTGCTCTGGAATTTGACGGGGGATTTGGTTTGTCCGAACTGGTTGCTCAATTGCCTGCGCAGGATCGGACAAAAGGAAAGACTTGTTGATACCAGAGTGTCAAACATGCATTTAGTCAACAAGTAAATCATTTTTTGAGTCTTCCTGTCATATTAGGCAGCCAAACTCACAGCTTTCTTAAATCCAAAGTAGGCACCAATGAAGGTGAGGGGAACAGAGATTCCAAACCACAGAGCCAAAATGGCCACCAGAGTGCCAAAGGGGATGGCTGCTGAGGACCCCTCCACCCAAAGGATCAGGTTCATCAGGAAGAAGTCTGCAAATACAATCCTGAGGAAAGAATGAGGACAAAGGAGGGTGACAAAAAGTTTGACACGTGTTAGTAATCAGAAGCCGGCAAGGCTACAGAATGCTTACAGAACTTGAGGGCAGGAGCACAGTACACGATAAACTTCCAAAATATGGATGGTGAACATACCCTGGGCACAAGAGTGCTGTCAGCAACACGTTTGTCTTCCACTTTTCACCTCCAAATGCTGAAAGCAAAAAGGGACAAGAAGGACAGCAACATTACAGGAGCACTGACGCGGCCTTTTATGACCAAATTGTGGAACCAACTCGACTCTCACTTTTATAAAGACGTGCAGACACGTAGCCGGCCGGTGTGCCCAGCAGGACCCACAGCACCACAGCACAAGTCATGAGAGCCCCTCTGTTGGCTGGAGACAGGAAGCCCAGGCAGGCCAGAACTACGAAGAACAATTAGTCAGCAGAAAAACAAACGTATAAGCATGACTGAATACAGAAAACCTCCCTTCTATTGCTTCAAGTCAGTCCTGTGCAAACTATTATGAGCTAGAAAATGTCTTCTTTGAGGCGCACAAGGCTGTGGAGAAGCATCTTTTGCAATGCCTTCTATGTTTTGGGGATAAAAATCCGAGCTGGTTCTAAACTGAATTCAATTTGCGCATATTCTGTCATACTCATTTCACAGGTACAGTTTTAATGCATGATGTGCAACACTGATATTAACCAAATGTCAGTTTTTAGCTCTGAAATAAAGTTAAAAAATAAATAAATAAATAATAAAACTCATTTATAAATAGTTGGGGTATGATAAAATTAATTTGGGCAGGACGACTAAATTAAATGTGCAGATGGAAGTCCATGGTCTACTGTCCTTTACAGATATACAGGGAAAACTAAACATATATGGTGGACCTGGCTCTGCAACCACACCTGAACCAGTGCAGGAACTACTTTGGTTAACAAAAAAGAATTTGAAAAAACTGTGCAAGACACAAAAGGCTACTCTAACCCATCCATGAACTTCCTCTCCCCTCAGAGACTATCTGTGGTTTACTTTAGCTCTTGTTTGAAAACTTATCTAATACAGGATTAAAGAGGGAGTCAGAATGACCTCTTGTCACGCGAAAGGAGTAAATAACATTTGACATACTGAGTAAAAGCACAGAAGTCGACAGTATGATTGTAAGATTCAGTTTGTTGACTAAATAACGTCAAACAGCGCTTACAGAGAGTGATGAAGGTCATGATGAAGATCTGTGTGCCCTGTCCAAGGAAAACAGAGAGCAACATTCCTTTCCTGGGAGGGCGGAAAACATCCCCGTGCACCTGCTTCCATCCTGACTCCTCCTGAGCATCTTCCTGCAGAGAGAGCCAGAGAAGGGGGTCAAGGAAGCACTAAACATCGGCAAATAAACAGAAATAAAAGGAGACCAACCACCAGTCAGTTAATGCTATTTTGCAACCTGACACCTGCTAGCAAGGCAAAGGAACCACAAGTTGTAAAAGGTGGTATGGGAAATGTAGTCTTAGTTTTAGAAAGGAGAACTTCCAGGAAATTTTGACCTCACACCACATTTTACACTTTAACAAAAATCATAAACACCCAGAGACCTGATTTGATTACCAAAAAATAATAAATAAAAAAAGTTTTCTTCAGAATTTCTTTCATTACGCTTACATATAATGTAGATTTTTCCTTTGTCGATGAAAACTTTACCGAGTCTTCCTGTGAATTGCAGCAAAATAGTCATAATTCACAGTGCTGTGCTGGCTGGGGTTTGACACTGCAGTTAAACCATTAGCTACATAACTGTGGTCATGAACAAAGCATCAGCAGGTCAAAACCTCAACCTTTAATGCGTTTGAGTGCAGTTCAGTTCAAATCTAATAATACAACTACAAAGTAGCAACTATGAAGCTGCTGACATGGATTTATGAGGTTTTAACTGAAACTCTAAACTGCACAAATACATTCACTGTACCCTTCAATCACTGATCCTCACTCATATGTGAATTAAGTGGTCAATGATGACTTTACCTGGTCCACTTGATTATATCTGGCAATGTCCTTGTGCAGGGTTCTCAACATAATCATGGCAACCATCCCAGACAGGAAGAGCACAATGACCAGGGAATTCATGATGCTGGAAAACAAACACACCCCAACTTAGAATTAGAAATGAGGGCAAAAAGCTCCTATGTCTGGTGAAATGTAAGAAGTATCGTCAAACCTGAACCACTGGATGTTAGTGTGGGGCATTGAGACCAGGATGTAGTCCCATCTAGAGGCCCACTTGATAGAATTGTCTTCCTGTAAGAAAATTGAGCGGGAAACACAATACAGATATGAAATATAAGAATTTAAATTTATGTTTACATCTTACTAACATTAAGCCAATTACATCTTTGGAGACTCACCGTAAAACTGACAGAGTAGGTGTAAACCACTGACACGTCACTGTCAAAATCTCCTGGGACCTCCATTGGGTTACCTCCATCACAATTTACGTTTTTCTCATCAGTTTGTTTGATGCTATCATCAACAAAACATTAAAAAAAACACTTAAAGTCACCTTCATTTCAATTTGACAGTTTAAATTGTATTTCAACAAGTTGAGGTGAATTAGTTTAAGTTATAACAGCTTCCTGGTAATCTTTTAAAGATTGACATTTACCTCTTGGGTTCAAGAGTAGCAGCAACCAACCGTGCACCTCTCCACCCTTCTGCTGCCCCACTGTGGTAAGTGATCTTGATGTCCACATGATTGAAGACGTAAAATGTGTTCTTTTTGTTGAACTCAGACTGAAATAAGCAAACAAAGATAATAAATCAATGTGACCTCCAGCTTCAATTCTAATCACAGAAACTGAACTTCTTCAATTCTGTGCCTGAAAAGTGTGCACATAAAAGTTTTTTTTTTTTTTTACATTTGTGACATTTCTATCAGATACCCAAATTCTTCCTACTTATTAGATGTTACTTTTAGATAAGCGTGAGAATCATGAAATCGGTCATAATGCCACAGCTCATCAGCATAACCTGATCTTTACATTAAGATGTATTGGCTAAAGGACAAAGAATATCAGCACTAAATACATGACACGATTCTGCTTGTTCTGTGCTCACAGAAGTGCAATGTGTATGATTCATAAAATAAATAAACACGTATAAGTAAACACATATATCACTATGGATATAATTTTTTTTTCAATTAACGATGACTATATCCCCTCATTTGACAAGCATCTGCCATCAGGAAATGTTATGAGGGTGCTCAGAAAAAAACAAAAAACAAAAAGGAGAATAAAATTCAATTCAGAAACCACAACTCACATTAATAACACAGGCATCTTTAGCTCTACCATCTACGGTAACAAGGCAGCCAATGGGGAAGCCAGGGTTGCAGTACTTCTGACCATCTTCAACATCATAGCACCATGTCACTGGCATGTTGTCAATGATCCTGGAAAAATGGTTTAGTTAGTAAACAAAAAAAAAAAAAGGAAAGGTGTTTCTTCACCAAACTGACAGTGATATGTATGAATACATCCACTGACCAGTGGTGCTGGTAGTTCAGCTGCATTCCCATCTTAAGGAAGTCCAGTTTGGAGGAATCTTCCTTTTCGCCTTTCTTGTAGGTTTTTGTGCACACTGCTTTGCATTTCACATCTTGTTTAAACTGGAACTGTAAAAGCAAGAGATTTAAGTATGTGTCCCAAACAAAGTAGGTTAAAATGAGCAACGCCACAGCCATCCTACAGACACTTACCTTGTACGGTGAAGATTCAATTCGCTCACCAAAGAGCACCTGTCCAAGGTTCTCAGAAGGCCTCATCTCCTTGGCATCCTTACAAAAATCGAACCTTTAACAGATAGTCAGATTTTTTTGTTCATGAAAACGTTCACGTTGAAGCAGACAACATACGGTTACAAATCAAATGTCATGAAATGTCTGACAGGAACTTACACATCATATTCATAAGGCAGCACTGACTCCACCGAGTCCAACCGGTTGACAAAGAGCTGAATGTCTGTCTGTAAAGGGTAGAGTTTCAGAGTCAAATCAACAAACATGTCACTGTTTTATACGGACTGAGTGAGAGAGAATCTGATGCTGCCTGGTCCGTCATTCCAACTTTTCCTTCACATCGCCAGCAGGATAAATTAGCACAATGGTAGCTATGATCACTCATCATTCACCACATGAATGAGGCTCGATTTAATAAGATGCATAGCTATCTCTAAGTTAAAAAGGCAGTAGAAATGCCCTTAGAAAAAAACAGTGAGAGCATAGAGCAGCTATTTGCGATGTTTCTGAATATTATGCCAGTGCCCGGGTTATAGGCAAGAGCCTGGGCCATGGCGGACACTAGATAGCTACCAACATTAGAATGAAATGACTGCCATAACACTCGAATTCACATTATAGATATTTTAAAATAAATTTCAATAAGAATTTGACTCGCTGATAACCATACCTGACAATCTTCGCCACCACTGCCCGGTTCACAAAAACTCACTGGGGCTAAACCCGGAAGATAAAACGCCGAGCACGAACAGGAATACGCCACAAGCAAATAGACCAGCACAGAACTAAAGGGTATCCGCTCCTTCATTTTATCGCGGACAAGGCTCCTTGGAGATTTTTTTGCACAAATACAACAAGAGAATTCCCTCTTAAAGTGGAAGCTATTGTATGCTAGCTGCTAGCCAACCGCTAGGTCTTTCGATTGAGAGTGCAGTGAGCTGGACTGTCTCAGGCATCGATGACGTCCACTCTGTCAAGCTATGCGGAAGTCATGGGATCATTAGCGGAAGTCAGGTTATTACCTTCGGAATAAGTGTAAAGGGAAAGTATTTTGTTTCTTTTGTAGGATTTCAGACTTCTATATCCACCATTGAGTATTTAAGTGGGATAATATTTCTGAAAAAAATACTAATAACATGATTATAAAATGTTATCACGACATCATGCAATACTGGGATGTCACAGGTTGCTTTATTTTGAAGGGCAGGAAATCAGCAGTCCTATGTTGACACCGTGGAGCAGTCTACGCTTCTCAACCTCCATCAACGATTTTTTTTTTTTATTAATGTAACAATTGCTCTAACGCTTACTACATTAGAAAAAAACTAACTTTAAATGAATAGCATTTGAAAATTTGTTGATATAAAACGCTATTTAAAGGTATATGTTAAAAATATTAAAAAATACAAAAGTACATTTTCAGACGTTAAGAATGTCGCCTAAATAAACTAGAAAAACCAGAATGCCCTGTATGTCTAGCACGCAGTGTTAGTATCAGGAAGTTGGGGAGTGGAAAACTTAAACATTGAACTCGTGTACATCTTTCATTTGCCCTTTTTACGAATATATTAAGTCACACTACACTGATAAAGCCAATACATTTGTTTTCTTTTACCTTTTAAAAACATACCTAAATGAAAGTTTAAAGCACTGGGACTATTTTTTTCCATTGTATTTTCAATCCTTTAATACTTTGATACTATGACTAACACAGCCTATCTGGAAATAGATCATCCATTTTTATTAGGTAAATAGGAAAAGTTTGCCAGGATAATCAGGAGGCCTATATGTTAGAGCTAGATAACCATTCAGACAGGGGATGTGCCAAACATAATCTCATCTGATCAAACAAAAATATGTCTTTGTTTCACCTCTTAAACTTAGTTTTCAGTCCAATCTGTGCAATGTGAGGAGTTAATTGTTCAACCTGAGCAAAATTTCTGATCCATTCTTTCAGATTCACGTTACTGAGAAATTGTTGAGTCCTCAATCAATGAGTCTGCTCATCAAAATATTATCTGAAGACATATAGCTATCCTTTTTTTAAACTACATTTTACAGAGTAGAAGAGACAGACGCTCAGATAATAATTAACTGAAAATAAATTACTTAGTTACTGTTCAGTCCTTTTGGCCCAACAATGAGGAACTGTCAGTGAACACTTCATCAAGGAACTTGAATTGGGACAATAATAAGGAGCCATCCGTTTCATTCTGATGATTTATTTGGCAGAGGATCTGCAGACATTGGAGGTAGAAACTTAGCCAAGCAATTGTGCAGAATGTCTACATTTACCAGTTACATCAGTGACCACAAAACAGCTGTAGATAAATGTTCATTTTCAGTAAGGATGTTTCTTTTGGGGGCAACAAAATTGGGAGATTTTCCACCTTACTAAAGAATGGATGATGCATGTAGGCCCCAATTTACGTCAGCAGGGGGCATAGTTTAATGGAATTTAGCATGGACTTTGTCATTAAAAGCAACAGTACGTTTTCGTGATTATACTATTAATAAGGTAAAAATATTGATCACAGCCCTCAGTGTGCATAAAAACTACTTGAGACCTGGTGACTTGCTTAGCAGGTCTTGCTGATTAGAGCACCTGGAAGGTAGAACCCAACATAAAGGGACTATTTTGTGTTGAAAATATACATTACCTCAAAACTGTGTGCTCCTTCTGGGCAGGGCTGTTGCTGAGTTCCTTTGAAATCTGATTGACCATACTGGATGGATTAAAAACTCACTAAGAGGTGTGAAAATATTAATGAAAATGAAAACTGATTAAAGCAGGAGACAAGGCAGAAACAACTTTATAAGAGGCTTCTATATACATGCTACAGTAAGTGAAATTGTAAATTGAACTTTAAAACTGCAAACAGAGGTGGGAGTTCATGGTAATCTAAATACAGAAGTGAAAATGTCAAAGATAGATTTGAAAGTGCTCAAAGGCTTTGTGTGACATGAAACTTTTTCTTTCATTTCAGTGATGTTAAATGTTAAACCTTAAACAACAAAACACATATTAAAGTTTTCCTAAAAAGCACCTAAAGCAATGGTACAGGTCTCATGTGATATATGAAATGTTGCCAATGCTGAAAGTATGCAGAGACGAGTTAAACAGTTTAAAGCATACAGAGCACGGACATAAGAGTAATAATCTATTATAGCTGAAATAGCTCAACATAATGAATATAAGATATCAACCACTTCCTTTCTCCCATGCCTCTACTCTGCATCTTTTCATGTAAAGATGTGACTGACCACAGCAGTATGGACTGGCATTGCACTTAGGTCCAATAGATTCTTGCAGTTTGCCTTTGGAGCACTAGGTGGAGGCAGATTTGTAGGATATTCATTGCACATTTTCAAAAAGTCACAATTATTCATAACTATAGGGGGGGCATATGTTGATTAAAGTTATCAGATATACGTTGGGGACTAACAGGAGACAAATGTGTGTTTACAAGGTTCCTGTACAGAACAGAGTTTCTTCAGTGCTGCATAGCGTATTTATCCACAGATAAGTAAACACATATCTATTCTTTTGGATTCCTTACAGCAGAGCCAGTGAAACACGGAACAAGAATGTGTTCTCATAAAGACCTTGGGGCACACTCCCAACACTGACCTTTGCTCAGACAGCATGTCTCACATTTAAAGTTCTTCAGAACACAAAACTGGTTAATATTAACTAAGATCATCTATCATAAAGTTCAAGAGCGGAGCTCTCTTTCTGAAAGAAAGACGTTTTGTCACCACACCTTGTTTGTTATTCCACAGTGCAAACCTGGAAGGGCCAACCCTTTTTCAGTTAGGGTTTGCTCAGTATGCAGATTCTCCAGAACTAAAACAAAGAATCATGGCAAAGCGATGGAACCTGTGGATTGTGTGGTGTTTTCATGTCCTTAATGTTGCTCCATTCAACTTGGACACACAGAACGTTCTGCAGAAAAAAGGAGATGCAGGCTCTCTATTTGGATTTTCTGTTGCTTTCCACCAGCAGTTGAGCCCTACAAGAAAGAACCTGTGAGTGAAAGCAAAAACTGTTCACTAGATTTTTAATAAATCGACTGTTTCTCTAAGACCTGGTGTTTCCCATCAGATTGCTTGTAGGAGCTCCACGTGCAAAACACCAGAATCAGTTGAATATTACAGGAGTGGTTTACAGCTGTGATTTGTCTTCAACAACTGAGCGGTGTCAGCCTATCGAGTTTGACAATCAAGGTTTGTTTGCCTTTTTCATCTGAAGTCACGGAAGCGATGCAATCCACAGTTGAAACCTATTATATTGAGCCTACATTTTTTTCCACGCCACTCAGATCTTTTAAGTGTTTTTTATATTAAAAAACAATTATTTTTCTTTGGATGCACTGAAACAATTTGAGTCCAAAGACAATTTCCGCTAGATTCCATTATCAAGTCATTCCAATTTTGTTTTGAGAAGGTGTGAGAGAGACTAAATTAGAATGCAATGCTAGTTTAAGACTTGTAGTACATGCATTATAAGCCCAATGTTAAACTTGTGTGTACAGAATATTTGTTCTTAAAATTAGTATGAGAACAAAAAAGTCCATTAATATGTTCAAATTGCCCATAAAAAAGAAGGAAAAGTCAGTCTTTGTTGGCAGATTTGTGATTGTCTTTGCACCCATCTGCTAGCAGGTATGGAAGATGTTCTCCATGTAGACTTGGAAGTTAAGAGTAATATGATAATTTTACTGTAAAGTTTGGCTGCTGAACAAACAATATTATTAATAAGAAATCTATTTAGTAATAAATATTACGGTACTGCTGCTATTGAAATAACTTACAGTGATATTGTAGCATAACACTGAGCTCATCATCTTTCCAGAGTTCCTTGATAGTAAAGGCATACACAACCAGTGGATGGGAGTTAGAGTCACCAGTCAAGGTCCTGGTAAAAATGTAATGGTAAGGAGATCACACAGCTTAATTATGGGATTTTTTAAAAGTCTTCAGATAACTTTAATACTTTATTTCTCTTTTTTTCCCAAGATATGTGCTCACAGATACCAGTCCTGGAGCCCAAGCCCGAGCCGTTCCGTCCCTCATCTGTTAACGGGTCAATGCTACCTGTTGGGAGATGACCTCCAGGTTGGGAAGGAAAAGTGGAAGTGGCGGAGGATTGTGTGCGATGACGAACACCTAACGAGACGGGCAAAGAACCACCAGTGGTTTGCATACTGCCAACAGGGTCACGGAGCATCTTTTGCAAAGGATAACAGATCATTGTTGTTTGGAGCACCAGGAGCTTATGAGTGGAAAGGTACACATTTCATATATATATTAATATCTTAATATTCATATATGTATATGAAACACCTACAGACACTACCCACGTATATTTATGTGTGTGAGTGTTTCTCAAAGGAATCGTACGGATGGAGTTCTTGGATAATCGTAACATCTTTGCTGAGGCTCGTGAAACTGGGGACATTACCAATTTTAATTACAAACGTATTCCTCTTCAGACAAACAGCTACTTGGGTCAGTTTCCCAGAAGGTCAATTTTCCTGCCGATATTTCTATCTACCTTTTGTTTAAGTTGAAATACCCATGTAAATACTGGCTTAAACACAGCTACTTTTCACTCTAGGGTTCTCTATTGACTCCGGAATGGCCCTAGTCAAGAAGGGCGAGCTAACGATTGTGTCAGGAGCACCCCGAGGGGGCCACAGTGGTCAGGTGGCTTTCCTTCAAGCAGACCCTGATGCACACAGAAATCTGGCTGTCAACCTTGTTCTCTCTGGGCCAGACCTGGCCTCTTCTTTCGGCTATGATGTGGCAGTGGTTGATCTCAATGGCGATGGGTAAATAAACTCCGCAGACATGAAAACTTAAAATTGTTCTTTGCAAGTTTATTCTGTTCAGTTTATGAGTCCTGAAAAAATGCTAAAAGTGTCCATAAAAGTTTGTTTGTACATTTAAACTGGAGAGGTGCTTGTTTAGTGTGTTATTAAAAAGCTTGCTGTCTGAAATTGCAGATGGGAGGACCTCGCTGTTGGAGCGCCACAGTTCTTTGTGAAAGACGATGTGATTGGGGGAGCAGTGTTTATCTATATTAACAACGAAGGGAAAAATTGGGAGAAGATTGCACCAATTCCACTTAAAGGACGCAAAGATTCGATGTTCGGTCTGGCTGTGGAAAACATAGGGGACATTAATCAAGATGGTTATGGAGGTGGTGATACTTGAATATCATTTTCTTAACTGTTTTGAGTTGGGCTTGTATAGGCTGAAAACACACTAAATCAAACACGGTCACACGTATGGCTCCAATGTAAATTACTGTGCAGATGTGGTTTCTGCTTTATTGCTGGTATCTTTGCCTGCTATCAGAAGTTGATTCACACTAGTCTTGTTCGAACACAAAATCAGCAAGAGGCTTCATATCTGATCATAGTTTTTATCTTAACTAACAGATATTGCCGTTGGAGCGCCATATGACGACTCTGGGCGTGTGTATATTTACTGTGGCTCATCAGACAGCATCAACACAGAAGAGGCACAAGTGAGTTTATCTATCAAAAAATAATAAAAACTCTGTTTTGAAATGTTCCTGCTTCTGGAACAGACCTAGTAAGAAAATGTTCTTTCTTTAGGTCCTCTCACCACAGTCAAAGACAGTGCGTCTCTTTGGATATTCTCTTACTGGTAACCTGGACGTGGATGACAATCAGTACCCTGATTTGGCTGTGGGATCACTCTCTGACTCTGTCTATGTTTTCAGGTAATAGCATACGCTGCAAATAAGCAGTCAAAGTTAATTCAATAAAGTCTAAGGTCTCAACAATAAGTTATCAGAGTTAAGTTCAATGTTTTTAACTTGGTCTTTTTACATGGTTTAGCTTTTATTTGTAAAAAATAAATCATATCATCATATATTAATATTTCTACACAAAATGTTGGTTTTCACATGTTTCTGATATGCATTTAATGCAATATACAGCTACCAGGAGAACAGACATAGTTATTACTGTATAACAACAAAATTATGATACATGTTTGAGAGTATTATGGTATGTGTGTGGCCAAGTTTGCTCAAAGGGCCTCTGTTACAGAGCACGGCCTGTTGTGAGTGTCAAAGCCTCCCTGACAATAACACCAAATCAAGTTAACATCGTAAAACAACGGTGTGATGAGCAGACATGGTGAGATGTTCAAATGCACAAAGTGTAACATAATCTTTTCGTGGCCTAAATTCAATTTAATCCAACATATCTTTTCCAAATTGTCCAGCTATTTTGCAGGTCAGGCGTGCTTCACATACGTGACACACCCAGCCTCGTTTAAGGCTGAACTGAGTGAGTTTTATTCCTGTTTGTTGGCTTTTCCTCACACTAAATTTAGTTTTCTACTGTTGAAGATTATTTAATGGGTTCAGGATGTAAAGTCAATTTTTGGTTATGCCAGTAATATCATTCTGCTGTTGTTGAGTTGCATCAGTAATGGCACCAACACATCCAGAATAAAGTGGAATTTGTTGCTATTCCTTTTGCACGGCACAGGGGGACAATGCGTTTTTATATTTTCAAGTGCATGTTTGGGTGTATTCAGTAGAACTGAGTCAGTTGGCTGTGTTTATGAGAATGTTTATGTACTTCACAGTGTTCAACTACACTTTTGAGGCTGATTCTGACAAGACAAAATCAAGGCCCAGAGTCGACTTTGTGGGGCCTTCTCAAGGTAAACTGAAGCTGTTGAAACAAGGGACACAAATCTGTACCGGAACTAAGCTCCAACTCCAGGTACTGTATCAATATTACTGGACATACTATCTAGGTATTTTCCAAGCTGGCAAAACTTTAGTTGTTTAGACATTTCTTTTGTGATTTAGAGAAACAACCTTTTTTTTACCTGCTCAAATTATCATCAGTTTTTAACCAAGTCAAAATAAAGCTTTTCTGTTGCAGCGGGACATCGGCGACAGGCTGCGTAGTATCCCCGTCTCTGTGACTGTGTCTCTGTTGAGCTCCAGTCAGGGAACCAGATCAAGTCTGAACCTGCCCAACGTCCCTCCTGTCCTCAACCACTACCAACAAAGGGCCGCTGTGTCAGAGGTACGATTCTGTGTCAACTCAGAATGACATAACCTTCCAAACAGAACCGTGTTTCTGTGATAGAACTTCAAAAAGTAAAGTCCATTTCTTTCCTCAACAGATTATTCTGATAAACGATGGATGTGGCAGGGACAACGTCTGCCAAAGCAACCTGCGCTTACACCACAAATTCTGCTCCAAAAAGACACAACATGGTCAGGAGGTTTTCACATCACTGGTCAGGTAAACAGGAACAACCCGGCTCTGAACCGAATGCTTCGTTTTGGGGCTCCCAATCATCCCACTCATTAGGCTTCACATTGCAACATTTAGAGAGGACGGTGTGGCCGTCATCACTCCCTCTGATGAAGACATCGCCTTGGAGGTCACAGTGACCAACAGAAACGGGGAGGACGCGCATCAGACTCACTCTGTCGTCATGCTCCCAGATGCGTTGCGCTACACAGCCATTGCCCACAAAGGGACAGCGGTGAGCACAGACACTGCATGAAAAGCAAGAGCTGTGGGGAAGGAATCGACACATGAAGTGAACTTTACCTGTTTATTTGCGCTTGAATTAAAGGAAACACAAGTGAGATGCACAGTCAATGAGAAAGGAACACTAATCGACTGCGAACTGGGAAACCCACTCCTAAGAGACGCTGAGGTGAGAGGCCCAACGCAGTTTTTTTTCACGTGGGTTGCACATCGCACTGACTGTTGGTTTGTTCCCCCTAAGGTTACGTTTTATATCATACTTACAACGTCTCGCATCTCCCTGAGCACGAAAGATGTAAACGTCACCTTGCAGCTCGAAACGTAAGTAAACAGATCAGCGTGGGAACTGGCACTTTACGCACATCTGAACATGATGATAAAGTTCTTTTTTCTGTGACAGGACAAGTGTGCAGACTATACAGCCAGTACACGCACATGCAAAAGTGGTTTTTGAGTTGGGTTTACAAATATATGGGTGGGTACTGCTTCATTTTGTTGTTGTATTATGTAGATAAGTGTTCATTGCAGAATGTGCTTGATAAAATATACTTGATCTGAAAAGAATGCATTGATAAACTGACGAATAATACATCTGATTTCAATTATCAGGCAAGCCAGGCCTTCTCAAGTCTCAATTGGTGAGAACTTGAAGGGTGAAAGTGGCATAAAAACAGTGGATGAAATTGGACCATCAATTCAATATGAATTTAGGGTGAGAAAAACGTATTTGACCACCTGGATGTATTTTATTCGAACCAAAGTCCACCTTATCATAATTTTTTTTCTTGAACAGATAACAAATTTAGGCAGACCACTGAAGTCTTTCGCGCATGCATCACTGAACATCTATTGGCCCAAGGAGAACTCTGTGGGGAAATGGCTGCTGTACTTGACTCATACGAGCAGTAAGGGTGTGCAGTCTGTTCCCTGTTCACCTGGAAAGGAGATCGATCCACTTCAAGATATAAAGGTACAAATAACCACACATATTAAGTAACTCACCACTTCACCAATATTTTTATCCTAATAATTTTTTGCCCTTCTCCTTTATGACATCAAGAGTTGGGATGTTCCGTCAAGGCGAAGACGTGAAGCTGAACTTGAGGCTCTTTCTACTGATGAGTTTAAATTTCTTTCAACAAGAAGAAAACACAAAACCTTGGTAGGAAATTTTTCTATGGATAAAATCATTTATTTACACGACCATATTGTGGACCTGTGTTACGTGCAACTTACTTGTAAAGGGTAACTGTGATAGTATTTTATCTTGGGCATGTTTTGTCCCCCTCCAGACCTGCTCAGATGGCCTCAGGTGTGTGGAGTTAAACTGCCCTCTGCTGGGCCTGGATAGTACAGCAATAGTGGTTCTTCATTCACGCCTCTGGAATGCAACTATATCAGAGGTCTCACACACACATACACTCACTTATCTCTCCCTATATATATATATATATATATATAAAACCCACCAATTATTAATCTACTGAATACTGAATTTTAAATACTATATATTTCCTTCCTAGGATTACAGCTCTCTAAATTACCTTGAAATTGTTGTGGATGCTACTCTTACTCTAACCAGCTCTTCAGATAATATTGCACTTAAACCAGAAAGGCTCCAGACTCAGGCAAGGAATTACGTTTAATGGATTAATATGCTTTTGGTTTTGGCATTTAATTAAATTTTGAACTTTGCGAGGTACCTGAATACTGCATATAAACAGTATTGTATTCACATAGGATTTCTTTGTTCACAGGTAAAGATGACAGTGTTCCTTGACAAAAAGGCTGACTTACTAATCAAAGTCGCATGGTGGATAATATTCCTGACGGTGATTGCAATACTGCTGTTGTTGGTGGTTTTTGGCTTTATTTTGAGGAAGGTAACTGAAAATTTTATTTAATTTTTTTAATTCTGCTCAAATGATTTTCAAAAAGTGTGTTATACCGTAGAACTGTAATATGGGTCAGCAATTAGTTGATTTTCTACCTATTTCTAAACATTAAGACTCACATACGTGAGTCTGGTTCAAGTTATGGAAGTCGCAATAACGATTTCCTTGCAGCTATGAGACGTTAGAATTTCAAATGAAAGTCAAATGTGAACTGCATTTTTTTTTCAACATTTGTCACCATTTGCATCAGTTTGCTTTCCACTCCAGGTTTTTTCTCTTCTTGTGTGCGTGTGTGTGCGCTCATGTTTCACTGAGTCTGTTTCATCTTTTGCTTCTGTCAGCAGGGAAGCATCCTCTGCTTGGATCATGACAAGAAGCTCTCAAAGAAGTTTGCTCCCCTCAAAGCCTAAGTGGATTGTGAAGTTTGACAAGTATGTCACGAACTAGTGAGGTTGAGGCCTCAGCCATTCTTAGAACCTTTTTCCATGTATTTTTTACAATTCCAAGCTTAGAATCAGAGTATTTACTGTTTATGTACTGTATTTATGTTTATGCATTTACTATTGTATTGTAGACAAAAAAAAACTGCTGAAACCTGGGAAGTTAAATAGCATGAAATGCCTTAGATAAAAAAAATATTTAAAAGTTTGAGTATATCATTTTGTTAAATCTATAATTGACTAACCAAAGCAGAGACGGTCATTTGTTGCTCCAAAAAGTGGACAGACATTGTGAAACTGCTCCTGTCATTTGATTACACTGAAAAAAGGAATTGAGATATGTACTATATCAATGTGTCTTTTTTGACAAACTTTGTTAATAAAAGAAAAATGGGGATAAAGAAACATTTTCTTCATTTCATTTTTAATGAAGCAGAAAATATCACTTGTTTGATACCAAAAACAGTTACATGACAAAGTTGTGCTATACTTTCACCATGAGGGGAATGTGACAGTAGAAGGAATGAAGAAGTAAGGTTGAGAATTATTTTCCTGAAATGTTGAGGTTATTTTGCAGCTGCCATATTATCTATTATTATCCTTTTTGTTTTGTTTTTTTTAAGGGAAGAAAACATTTTTTTCAACACTGTTGGAAATTGAGTCAAGTGTAATCTTTGAGACATTTCCCTCTGTCTGAAAGGCTTCATTTCAGTCTGACATACCCACATCTGGCTGCTGGTGTCAATCTCTTAAAGAGCATTTTCAAAAGAATGCCATTAAAAACTTTTCTTAGCAAAAATGGATACATTTCAAATGTACGTTTCAAACTTTCGTGCACATTTTTTTTCTAACAATGTGGTCTTGCACATTTCCTCATTCAACATTTCCTCATTGTTTTGCAGCATTTATACTTTTCTTTACATCTTCAGTCTCTGAGTGTCTTGCAATGTCAAATCAACAGGCGTGCATGATCTGGAACAGTTCAGTACATTGAAAAATTTGCTTATTGTATTTAGTGGGAGTTGGAACGACAGCTAGCAGCTGACTAGTTTTGCTTAGCGTAAAGCTGAGCGGGAATAAACGAGTGTTGCTTGTTTATTTTTGTTATTCCAAAACAAGAAATAAACATGCTCTTATTAAATACGGTAAGAATTAGATACATTGCCGATAATTAAGTTATGAGCAACACTTTAACTTGGGCCTGAGTTTCAACTAAATAGGCTGGGCTGCTATAAAACAGTCCAGCCCCCAACCTTATGAAATACAACATTGCCATTTTACACTTTTAGTTCTACTACCAACAGGAAATAAACATGTTTATTTGTCGTTTCTGAAGATGTCTCCGGATGTTGTAACCCTCTGACGGCTAACCCAAAGCAGCACAGCTTTGCAAAAACTAAAACTTGTTTATAATGAATAAATGCATCAAATCACAACAGCAGCTTACTTACTTTTGTTGCCTTCAGGTCCAAGTTAAAAAGAATCAAATAAATAACCACAGCAAGAAAAACATCCCAATTTCTTCACAAGATCTCATAAATGTAACTTGAAACCAGACATAATTAAAACAATCACACAAAAACACTCACTCATTCACACATGATGCTTCCTGGTTAAGACTGATGACACCACAAGAAAAAAAAACTACAGCTGTTAATAAGCATTTTGAAACAGTGGAATAGCGACATTTTAAACTGACTTTACAGACGGTAATAATGACATTTTTCCGCTCTTGTATTTTGTTTTCCTCTAGAGTTGTCTGGAGAAGAGCAGAAGAAGAAGTTGTTTGTTCCAACTTCTCCTGGAAGATAATAACTATTTGCTCCAAACTGATAACAGAAGGATGAACAATAATAATACAGTACAAATACATTAAAAAAAAAAGTTACATATAAGCAACCCAAATTAAGCTTGTACATTCAAAATCATCTACTTATTTGGTTTTAAGAGTCTGGCTTTTCTCTTTCTTTTTGCCATGTTTGGAATTTGAGTGAGCGATTAAATTAAATCTCCACTTCCAAAAAAGCTGGGACAGTCTGTTAGGGTCTGTGGAATTGGCTGCATTAGAAGCTTTATTTTGCACTTTTTCTGACATATGAAGTTATCTCCTTTATGTTCTGCTCAGTCCAGCACCCATCTTCTTCAGACTGCCCCATCTTTTTTGCGATTGGAGATGTAAATCCTACAGTTTAGAAATAAAGAAAAATGAACTCCACGGACCACAGCCCGACTGACCAAGTCATATGTTCACTGGAAGTACGCACAGATGCCTCACAGAACAAAAACCCATCCACTGGCTCCACTTCACTGCCCCCTCACGAACGCAGCTAATTCATATGATGCTGAGAAATAAAAACGCTTCCCTCCTAAGACTTCCAACAGAGCACCCCATTACGCTGGGGTCAGATTCCAATGAGTCACAATCTCTCAAATGGCACCAGAAACACAGCTGTGCTATTTTTTTTGTTTTAGTAATCAACACCTGGTAATGTCAGCTGATGTGGATTGGAAAGTAGGACATTTTACTTTTTTGAAATATTTAAAAAATGTTATAGCACAATATAGATAATTAAGTTTATTGCTAAATTTTTCCTGTTTTTGTTTTGTTTTGCTGGTGTACCCAAATGGAATGGCATGTTTTTTCCTTCAAAAATGTGCTTAAAGACTAGAGCGGGAGTGTCAAATTCCCAACTGCTGTAACCAGCTATCTCCACATGGGGGAAATGGTGACCATGAAAGGCAAAGGTAACAAGGGAAGCAATGAAAAGGCGGGCAGACTGGCAGCAGATCGAGCCTTGCCGTGTCCGTTGTTTTTGGCCCACTTGGATCCATTTCTGTCTCGGCCTCGAGGAGGCTTGGCAGGGTTGGAGGCAGGGTTGCGTGGAGGTTTACTGCTGTGTGGAAAGTGAGGCCCGTACCCGGGCCAGTCGTCATTGTATCTTTCACCATGATATCCACCACCTGAGCCACTACCCTCTTCACCTGAAAAACAGCAGATATTTCTTAATGGTGGCACAGGGATGAAATCAGAAAATGCTCAAGTTACATAATGGTACATGGTGACAAACACAAAAAATCATCAAAGCACCCTCTTCAAATATCTTAATAGTCTTGGTGAGGAACACTCACTGTCCATGAAATCCACATCCTGTCCACTCTGAGCATGCCTGAGTTTATTGGTCGCCACTCTCAATTCCATGATCAGCTGTCTGGTTCTCACATCTGGACGGGCAATATCCACCTCCACCTCAGGGTTGTTGATTTGGCTCACCAGCCCATCGCCTGTCACATCTGGCAGGTACCTGATTTCACAATTTAAAAGTTGACACTGAAGTGGTCAAATTTGGAATAACCTCAATGCCCTGAAATGATTGTATGTAAGATCAGAGATTCTGTTGCAGAAATGCTACCCTTTAACTCCTCTTTACTATTTGGTTGTGCATAAACAAGCTCCTTGTATCTTCAAAAAAGAGATACTAAAAATTTGCTTTAAAAAGTCTTCATGTTCAAATAGAGGACATTTTAATAAGGTGTTCCATTAATGTAAATACTAAACAGAATTTTAACGAAAACAGCTAAAAGAAAAAGATTACAAATATGATTTTTTTGGTTCTATTTACGATATTTTTAGCAGCATCATGTTTGCTGACAGCATGTCTGGCCTTATTCCCAATGTGTCATCAAAGCATCGAATGTTGGTGTATTTTTTGCATGAAATGTTTTTATGCTGCTGAAATATCCCAGAGCTCTTCATATCAGTCTTGATCTAGAGCCTGCTGTTGGCTCTGTCTGTGATCTTAAAAGCAAACAGACCCACACAGGGAGCATGTGGGTGGCTGGTGGTGGTTAAATTGAATAAACTTAGTTCCATCTGTTGCATCGTCCCACCTCTGCAACATCACTCCCTCCTCCTCTGCCTGTACTTAAAACCACCCTCTCCCCCACCCCCGCCTCCAGCCACTTTGGTCAGTTGTTGCCCACCTCCCCCGGGTCTGCCCGTTCCAGCAGCGGTCCTCATTGGTGACGTCGGCAGCCATCTTCTCATCATTGCAGATGGTGTGTGGGAGGGACACCCAGAAGCCTCGCATGGGCCGCAGTCGCTCCTTCAGCTCGGTAACCTGAGAGGAGGTGGAAGGAAACTTATAATGAGTCATACCTGATTTTAAAGTGGCCTTGTTTTTATTGCTGGAAGTGTATGGAGGCTGAGGTGCTGATGATGTGCGAAGTGGAAAATCTGGCATGACACTGCCTCTAGGTCAGTCCTGAAACCACAGATCCTTTTAGTCTTATAAATAGATGTAACTATCTTTATGCTCCGCGACCCTCTATGCTATTGATTTCATATTTCTCTTAAAGCACATCTATCTTGTGAGACCTCTCTGGTCACAGCAGGCTTTGGTGTGTACTTTAATTCTTATTTTGCCATCTTTCTTCTACACTTCTTTGTCTAAAACATGATGCATGTCAGCCTAACATATATATTAGAATAGATGAATACATAGAATAATGAAAAGTAAGAAAAGCTGCAGATAGATTATATAGTTGTAAGCTGGGGAACCAAATGGGAGCTTTAGGTGTTTAGATGTTTGACCAACTGTTTCCTCCTTACCAGACGGTCCAGGTTGGTGCCTGCGGCAGTGGTGGGCTTCTCCTCGGGGGTGTAGGTGCGGAATGGCCTCCTACTGCTGCCTGATTCTTTGGGGGAGCGTTTGGACCGTGCCAGAGCTGGCCGAGGATTTCCACACCCTTGAAAAAGCTGAGGCAGACATCCAGAAAGGTTTAGGACATTTCCTCAACAGATCATTTGACTTAAATTACAGACATCTTCATGGTTTAAGAATATGTCTGCACGAGGGAATAAAAAAAAGACTGATTCAGACAACATCCTAAGAACTGATTAAAAATAGATATTTCTCATTTTAAATATCAAAGCTGGGGGAGGAGAGCAGCAATGCTTTTCAAACAGGATGTGTTTCCTTTTTTTTCAAATCAGGAGCTTCCCCATTTCTCACTAAATGGGTGTGTGAATCTAATCCTAAAGTGAGTTTTTATGTTGTGGATAATCCCACTCCATTTACCTGCATGCATTAGGAAAATTAAAATAAAAATAGGTTATACCTCTATTATGTATTTGTGGATTATTGAGAACAACCATCCATTTATCCATCCATTTCTGTTTACCTATTTCAGGCCATTGTCTGCCAGTCTCCTGTATCTTACCTTATTTGAGATGCTCACACTGTTTTCCTGCATGTTCATTATGGCCTCTGACACTTTTACAGAGATCGAGTCGGCTGCGAGCTCCATGTTAAAGGGACCCTCCAACTTCTCTGAAACCAGGTATAGAGCATCTGATAGAGAGCAGAGCAAAAGACGAGACAGAAGAATTATGCTGACTTTTCTATTGCGGTTTCTGTATTTTATAAAGCTTAGTATTTCAAGACCACGGTTCTCTAAGTGGTGAGCCAGTTCAAAGACTAATTTACATCTTTTTAAAAATTGCTCAGGGAGCTGCATTCATAATAAGGGAAGCATGAAAAAATAAAGGTTTGAGTATATCAAATCCAACATAGATTTGAATTCTGTAGAAATGGCTGGTTTGATGAAAGGTAACTGGTCCAACACATGAAAAGGGGAAAAAAAGGAATGGAATGCAAAGGTTTGATGAAAGGGGAAGGGAAACACAAGAAGACAGATCAGTTGTGACAGAGCAGAGAGGCATGAATGATTAATGGAGGAGGAATTCATTACAGGAAAAAGAAAGAAAGTAAATGAGTGACAGGGGTATAATAAAAGCATTTTGGTTTTATACATGTCCATTTTAATTACGTTAATAATTTAAAAAGCTGCTAAAACGGAAGTTGGTGCTGACATTATTTTTATTCATAAAGATCAGGAATCACTGGACATGAAGGTATCAAACATTGTAGCTTTAGCTGAAAATTTTGACCTGAAAAATATAGCTGGAAGCAGCATTTGGAGACCCAAGTAGTTCATCGGGGAACAGTCACTGGGGTAACGTTATCCAGTTATGTTCAAAGCACAGCTGTAAGCTGTACCATTAAACATGCCTTTTTATGTTTGTTTTGCTAATAACCCCCTCTAAATCCACAGCCAAAGTGTTAAACACTGCAGTGCCTTATCTGTGCGTATGGAATATTATGCTTGACCCCACATTACAATTATCATGACCTCACACACCTAATGAGCACAATATTGGGTTATAAAACCCATCCTCCCCATTATGTGCTTTTAGTTTCACACACCAATGAAATTGTTCCATTCTGTATCCAGATCAGCCTGATTGGCTAAGCAGCCCTTCATCACATTAAGGCACAGGGAGTGGCAGGGCCGAAGGGAGGGCATGCCCCGACACAGTGGACAGTACCACTGGCGCATCAGCCCCCGCACACACTCTGAACCGGCCGTCAGCTGAAAAACAAAGGAGCGGACAAGAGCAAATGTGTGAGACAAACTGGTGACTGCTGGTAAACCATAGAGCTAGATAGTTTTTATATATATAAAGGCACTGTTTATTGTAATTCTTCACTCAGAAGCCAGTTACTAAATGGGAAAACTATTGATGTGGATAAATATGGGTGAACATGACTATTATGTAGGATCTCAACTGACTTCTGCCTTTTAGCTTGTGGATCTACAGTTAATAGATATACTGCACATACAAAATGTATCCAAATGAGAGCTTTTTTTAATTTGATGATAGTAAAAGAACATATTTTCTATTACAAACCAATACTGGTTGGTAAATCTGGGATTAAAAATAAGAATGATGAGATGAATATGAACAATTAACCTTGGTTGCTTTGTTCACTATATCCCGTCCAGTAGCCAAGCCCTGAGAGAGCGCTCTGGCAGCAATGAAGGCCCTCGACACCTGAATATGACGACAAAGATAATACATCATTTATAAACTGCAATCCACTGTCCCTTTGTGGTATGATGTGCCTAAGATATTTGTTTTCTAGTAGTGTGTATCTTATGGTCCGTCATATACAGACCTGTACTCGAAGTTTGCGGGGCACATCCCCAAATGGCTGCAGCTGCTCAGCGTGTTTGCTCACACACTCCAGGTAGTCCTCACTGAACTGATACTGGGGATTGACCAGGGAGAAGACTCGCTCCACCAGTCTGGACCAGAAATCTGAGAGGACCTCTGTTAGACTCACACTCCCCCCTATGGTAAAGAAAAATAGGAACAGTTGAACAGAATAACATTTTTCCTGTCTGAGACACACCAAAGCATCAGCTTGGATAAACAAGTGTGCTCCTTCAGTAAAAAGTTACGTTTTTATGTAGCAAATTTAAAATAAGAGTCATTCAAATGCTTTCTAAATAATCACAACATGCAAATTATTTGAAAGGAATTCAACTGTAGCTTCAGGTACACAATATGGAAGTCTTTGAGGAGTTTTTGCTAATCAAAGGAGAGTACATTTATCCAAATATGTTAAAGGAAAAACATATCTGATGATGTCTTTCAAGTTTAAAAGAGCTGTTTTCCTAAAATCCTGCCCATAAGTCTTCAAAATTACAATCAAACTCCAAGATAATCCCTAGAGTTGTTTCTTGAAATCGGTGACCTGGTTGAGTAGAAGCAAAAAGCTCTTCATAAATTGTGGTCAAACACAATTGATCAAGTAAGGAAGCACCACAACTGAACACTTCTTACAGTCAAGATTTATTTTGGTATAATTTAGGTCTTTGAGCAGGGGGGAAGTTCTAACACCTAAATTAAACATTGCCAAATGTGTGGTTGTGTTAAATAATTGATAGAAAACCATTTTCTCTCATACTTTTCCTTTAAAAAATGGCAATGTCAAGCACGGCACTGCCAACTTGTAAAAATCTAATGCATGTATCCTTTTGGTGCATGAACATGGTGCAAGCAGGATGTAAAATATAACTATCAAATTGGGCGAACTTTAATCACAGCTCAGTGGAGATTTCAATGTCAAACATGATATGTGAATGAGTGTGGCAGCACAGTGTGTGCTTGGGTGCTTTTCAGTCTGCATTTAGAGCAAAAATACTATTGTACAATCTATAGTCTACAATGTATTCTTAAATTAGCAAGAAATGCTATTTGGCAGACGGAGACAAGTTGACTAAGCAGCAACAGCCTGCAGATGGACCCGCTATAGTATGGCTGTCGGGCCAAAACAGAGAGATCTGGAACAGAAATAGAAAGGGTCTGGCATCCGTGGGAATCCAATTCTGTCTCTCTTCTTTTCTCTCAAATTCGTCTTGGCTCATCAGCACTTCTCAAAAGACAAAGCTGCTTCTTTACTGCTGTCCAGAGTGGCTGTGGATTTACTGAACTGTCAGTCCAGCAAGAAATTAATACTGATCCGTCTTTACCATCCCTACGGACTACAGTCATAGTTTGTTTCTTTTTGTTGTCTTTTTTGGTTTCATATGGATGGCTGCAAGAAGGAAGATGCATCAACAGAACAGACAGTAAAAGTGTGGTGACACTGTGAATAAATGTGTCCCAAAATGTGACTAAAAACTAAGTGAACAACTGCTTCTTTTATTTCAAGTCCGGGATATCAGCGGGATATGTCTTGTAATATTGCTTTAGTAGGCCAGCGGACCAAACAAACATCGCTTTCTAAACTCCATGAGACTAACTGAACATATGAAACAGGAGTCAGGTGGGACGGGAAGTGATTAAACCAACCAGAGTAATATCTGCGAAGCTCCACGAACAGCTCCTGGAAGACGTATGCATTCTGAGTGAAGAGCAGGCCGTAGGTCTTGGTAAACATCTGGTTCATAGACTTCTCGGAAAGATCTATAAGCTCTCTGAAAAACTCTGCACAGAGAGTAAAAAAGACAGAGATTAAATATGAACCTGTCACCGGCTTACTTTAATTGTAATACCCCCCCTCCCGCACTATGGAGAATCTTAGGAACAACATATACTGTTGTTTTTTTTATCTGTCTATATATGTCTGTCTTTTTCATGTGCAGTCTCCCACTCTGGAAATGTCTTACGTGAGTCATCACATACATTATATAAAAGTGTGTGAGGAGGGGGAAAAATGTGTTGGCAGCCCATGGCTGGTAGGAGGAGAAAATACAGCTCTGTAAAAAGTTGCTACAAACATGCAGCAATACAATTAGTTTTAGTCAGATTTTGTCCAATATCAACACAGATTTCTTTGCATAGCTTTTTACCACTAAACTATTATTGCCAATAGGCCATGGTGACAGCAACTCAGCCTTTAAAAAATACAGTATGTGTTTGGTTCTGCATAACACTAAAACATCATGCTTCATTACATAGTTCAGCTTACGAAAGGATATTTTCAATTGATAACAGGAAGTCTGACGGGTATGATTAGCCGTGTAAAATGAGGGCTTCAGCCTAGCTAGTTACTTGTCTTGCTATAGTTATTGTATCATCCACTTCACAAATAAGCTTCACTTTCAATAAAGTTCACCAACATTAAGCAATAATTAAACCATTGTTAACCATGCTTTGACCTTAGCGACATTAAAACAAAACCTGAGGCTTGATATGTCCACCTTTAGGGTATGAGTCTTGGCCTCACCATCAAACCTGCGGTGTCTCTGGGTGAAGGTTGTCAAGAGGAACTGGCTGTTGTCTTCAATGGCTTTGAGGAAGTCTTTCTCACTCTGAAGGGACAGTGTCTCCTCCATCTGACTGGAGCAGCAAGTGTAGTCCTGAGGACAGAGCCGCAGGTGCTCACCTGGCAAGATGCAAAGCTTATCACTGATCATGTTTTTCAGCATCTATCTGGAGATATAAGGGTTTTTTCTTCTTCTCAGCATACAAATTAGCGTATGATGTTGCTCTGAATGGGTAGCAAATGCAGAAGACTTTGCTGAAGACCAAATGTTCTTGATATTGTCATTCAGCAAGAAAAAGTCAGTGTCACAATTTTTGGTGAATGAGGAAACGCTATCAAAGGTGACTGAGTAACGGAAAATTGCAGTTTCGCTGCATGAATTATTCAGCTTCAATCTGTCCTCCTTTGTCAGCTCAGGTTGGGCCTTTGATTTGTCTGAGGTAATAATACATGCAAACAACACTCGGGAGGAGGTGGGGATAACACACGGTGCACTCCGAGCGTGGAATATGTTTGAGTCTTTGTCTCCATAATTTACGTCTGGCATGAATATGCGGCTGTTAATACAGTGGAAAGTCTCTTTCTGAACTCTACCCGAGCTGACGTTCCTCTCTGCCTCTTTTGTTCTCCTTGTGTGTCTTGCCATTAGCCCATTCTCATCCCTCCATTTCCATTTCTAAACTGCCTCCCTTCATCCCTCTCTCTCTCCTGGCCATCTGCTCCCCTGGCCCACGGGACAGTGAGCCAAGATGCAGGCAGTGATAGCCCAACACACACAGACAAAAATCAATCAATTCTGTGGCTGCCCCTCACACTGAGGTGATCTGCCATGAAATCAATCCTCTGCAAGTCTGCATTTGACTTACATTTACTTTTAATTGGAGCTCCATCTCTGCTTTAGAGCAGCAGACAGGGTCTGTCAATGATTTATATGCATGAGGCTGAGCCACCTACTGCAACTTCAGACACGCTTCAGTATTTTTCCAACATCAGACAGATATGTGTTGCCACTTTTCCTTATTTTCATCTTTAAAAATGACTTTTTTTTCATCAAAGCTTGAAATCATCCCAAATCCAACGGTTTGTAAACCGCATGATATCTCTTCATTTTGAAGATAAGATTATCACCAGTGAGCAGAGCCTCGGGTGGGATATATGCAGAGAATTAACAGTGGGACAGTGTGCAAGACTAATTTGGGGCGAGGTTCTTTGTTGCTCTGGTGTTGGCAATTTGCTCACCCCCTTAATCATCCTATTTAAACTGCACAGAGGGGAGAAGGGGCGGGTGTAATTTGTTTTAAACCGCGCACCATTATTTCTCTGGAGAAAATCTCATCATGTAGACCTGACACGCTCCCTCTGTGTTTTTTCTTCCTCTTACATAGTTAGTTTAGTCACATTGTCCTTTGTAATCTCACTTTCCAATGGCTTAATGGTTTGTTGAGCGTCAACATCTAATTTATTGGTCATTTTCTGCTGATACAATGTCCCCAAGGTGATCTTTATTGTTCCTGTTAATGAGCAAGAGATAAAACTGACCTTAATATGAACAGTTATTTTTATCCCTGTTGAAGCAAACTGGAGCAAGCTGACGCCCCAGTATTTCTAAAGGGACACCCAATTTGGCTGTTTTACAAAACACTACGTGGAAATGAGAGGGACCCTTCCCAGATGGTACCCCCCCCGGAGGATAAACACAGGGTCTTACCTGAGATTTGAGTAATCGGTGCGGTGCTTGTGCTGTACCCTTTCTCGTTGTACACCTGCCGGGTGTCCGCACAGCTCCTCCCGGCCACTGCCCCGGGGCTCCGGGTCCCCGACAGGACAACCACCGCGCAGAGAAGGACCAGCAGGCGGTTCCCGGGGAGTGACAGCCGGGCATCCATCCTCACCGCAGGATTCAAAAACACACACGCCGGACTGGGGGGTTTAGAAAAGCCCAGAAAGCGTCTGATTTGAAATAAAAGAACGACTGACAGACTTGGATGGATACAAGAGAAAGTTGGGGGAAATAAGCAATATCCAAAAGCATCAGTCGTTTAAAGCAACCATAGTTTTTCTCCGGCAAATACAATGAACATCCGGCGTGGACTTTCAAGTCACACACATTTCCATCGGAGCGTCCTTTCAATGTTTTTTTTTTCCCTGGGAGACACGCTATTGTAGACAAATACAGGAGTGTGAATGAGGCACTCCCGGTCCTCCAGGCTCAGCATCATCTGACACACAAGCAGCGTCAAACTACCAGATGGCAACCGTGGTGGTACCGGAAAAGGGTACTGTTTCAAAGTAAAGTTGAGACACACGCCCTCAAGTCTCAACCACAGAATTAATGTCTATATAAAAGGTATAACGAAACGCGTCTCTGCAAAAATTTACAGAATTATAAATCATTTGCACAAATATTGACACCATTGAAATATTTTATTCAAACACAGTACTGTAATATTAAGAAAAATGTTCTGTAGTCATTTGAATCTGTAATATTTTTCAGTTCAGCTCTTAATTGTGGCCACGAATCACAGTTAAATTGCCATACATGGACTCACATTTAATTGATATTTTAATTTGCTGGTCCATAAAGCAAAACAACATGCCTTTTATTTTGAAGAAGGGACCAGAAGCCACATTTCGTTGCATTTTTTTTTCTGGCTGTTGCAAGAGCAGAACAATGGACCCTTCAAAGAGGGACCAAAAGAGGAGAGAGGCATGGGGCTCTCCTATCAGCAGGGTGTGGACCCACTGAGGGGAGCACCTCTGAGTGCTAAAAATCTGACCAGATAGACAGTGTCTGAGATTAAATACAGAACACAATAAGGATAGTTATTGTTGCGAAATTAGATTTAAAAAACAAACAAACACTATAACAGATATTTGAAAAGTTATTGCATAATGTGTGACATTGAAGGTCTCATAAAATTATCATTTTAAAATTATTTTTAAATTATAAAATTATAATTTAAAATGACCAATGGCCGCTTGGTAGCTTTCTGAAAAGGACCAATCATATTCAGCTCCAAGCAGGCGCTAACCAATCTATAACTATAGGCAGTTCGCGCGCCTTTGATTAGCAACAGTTCACCAAAGAAGAGAAAAACAAAAAAAACAGAGTTACGTATTAATCCATCTAAAGGGTAAAATAACATAATTACATTACAAAAGCTTTGTATAAGTTGGTTTTACTCGTAATGATAATTGCATATTGTTTCAAAAGGTTAAATCCATGTACGTCTCTTGAAGCTGACAGCATTTAGTTAGCTAACAGCATTTCTTGCGCTGCCATTTTATTTTACCAGAAATTATTTGTTAAGGATTTTGTTTGGCACTTTGTTAAAATAAGATAAAGAATCTTTGGATGGTTTCATGATCATATAATGTGAATTAATTATTTCGTTTCTTGTATTTAGTACAATTTCTTCTCTGCTCGACCACGGAGCTAGTGAGCCTGTTAGCCAACCAGTCATCCAGAATCATCCCGAGGTCCCTAGCACTTTATCTCACCCAGAATGACAAGTGAAAGCTCAGTTGTAGACAGGTAAAGTTAGCCAGACCTTGAGTTGTAGGAAATGTATTAACACAGCCTTGTATTTACTGATCATACATGTTTGTTCAGAAATCAACATGAGTGAAATGGTCTAAAATTAAATAAATAGAAGTAAAATATTCTAGTGTGTGTATACAGTAATGGTAAGAATACAACTCTAAGCCTTTTGCCAGCAAGCAATGATACATTATTGATTATTTTATACTCCTCTTCTATTAGTCTTGAGGAGTTGGATTACTTCTCAGATTCAGGCACTGTAGGTAACACTCAGATGAAAGCCTCAAAACGGAGAAAGAAGGTACCACCAGTGTCCCAGGTAAATAATATCTTCTCTGAAATACCTCCCACTTATTTACATATTATTTGTATCGACAGGGAATAGATCAAAGCTGTGATCTTGCTGATATTAGGCATTTTATGGTAATCATTGGAAATGCATAATTTTCAGTATTTTTTCAATTTCTGTAAAGGATGAAAATAGCATTATTGTCATAGATTCACAGAATAGAGCCCCCTCTTCATCTTGTCTCCTTTTCAGTTGACTACATCAATTTTCTCCAAATCCCTAAATAAATCTCTTTCATGTCTAGCCACCCAAGAGACCCAGGCGAAATGCTGCACTGAGGATGACATGCAGTCCCAGTAGCTGCTCCAACCCTAGTAATACAGACCCCTCCCTGCAACTGGAGCAGCCTCTCTCTCAAGGGACATCAAGGGAGGTCTCTCCTAAACAAGCTAGACGTAGCAAGAGGAACCAGGTTATCACTGCAAAGGACATCTACAATGCTATCAGCTCAGGAAAAAGTGCCATGGTGGTGAGCAATGTTTAAGCTAAAGAGCATGAAGGGAAGGGGGAAGGTAACTACAGAGATAACCACATGAAAGGAGGGAGGTGCTGAAGGAGGCATACACAATGAGAAGTGAAAGAAGCCCACAATGAGAGAGGTTATCATGTCCTGTCAGTGGCTGAATGATGTGAACTTAAAGAATTGCTTTTGATACGCAAAGAGGAAGGAGCCCTTTCATTGGATGACATCATCAATGACGGACAGGCCTCATCCATCTAAGTGTTTTAAATCTCTGTAAAAAGAGGGTCGGCGTTTAAGAAAATAAAAAAGAGGCAAATGTATGGTGAACAGTAATGAAAAGTTAGACGATAAAGCATGTATTATTATGTGAATGTGTTGATGAATAAAACAGATACGTCATATAAAGAAAGGCATAGAAACTGGGAGATCTTAGAGGTTAAAGCTAAAATCCATAATGTAGGTGCATTGAATTGCAGCTGTGCCTCTTTTAACCTTGTGAAGCATTCTTATTGGCTGCTTTCTCCTTGTCAATCCGTAAGACAGTGGTGGATGAGTGGCTGGACAGCTACAAACAGAGCCGAGAGGCGGGACTGCTGGAGCTCATCAACTTCATTGTTCAGTCCTGTGGATGCAAAGGTCAGGGGTCAAGAGGGAGGCCAGGAGATGGGAGTCTGTTGGTGGAGGGTCAAAGTTGGAATGATTATCTTTCCAATATCTGCTCGGGCAATCATCTGTGGTATTGATCACATGCCGAATATGCTGTAGTACAATCCAGGCGACGCTCATATTTAGTGAGGGGGATGAAAAATGAGAAGTCCTGTTGAGCGTTGCGTTTTTATGCTTCTGTTTTGTCTAATGTCACCACAGACGTTCTGCTTTAGCTTCTGTTCTTCTTTTTTTCTGCCCAGGCGTGGTTAGCAGAGAAATGTTTGACAGCATGCAGAATGCTGATATCATCAGCACACTAACTAAGGAGTTTAATGAGGTGAGAGAAGGAAAACAATAGCTATGACATGAGACAAATGTGTCCTAAAAAAATAAGCTTAATTCATACTACTATAAAAGTTAGATCTTTATAAGTCTGAAGAATGAATCCTGCTGGAATTAACTTAGAAACTCCAATACCCTCCGTGTCCCTGGAGATTATGATCTAAAAGGATGGAGCACAGCGTGATGAAGAATGCTAATTAAAATCTAATTCAGATAAATGAATACATTAATGAGTTAATCACTTTGGTTTTCCGCTGATGTTTTTCGCATTAGGAAAACAAACCTCAGGCACCTGCTGTCTGATTATACTAGGCAATGCAGATTGTGGATGATTCAAGATGTTGTCTGTGTCGGATTGTTGTTGCTTTATTTGTTTGTTGACTCTGTCAGGAATCGGTGAACTACCCTCTGAGCATCCCGGGTCCTCAGATGAAGCGTTTCAAAGCTGGGCTCTGTGAGTTTGCTCGGGTGTTGGTGAACTCCTGCCGCCATAGCCTGATCTACAACGAACACCTCTTCCCCTCCTTGCTGGCCCTGCTCACTGGCATGTCTGACTCCCAGGTCCGGGCCTTCAGACACACCAGCACCCTGCTGGGTAAGCCCGTTACAGGCGCAGTGAATGGAAACGCAGGCACACAGTGGCCGACTGTTTGTTTGGCTAACCAGTAGCTGTGTCTCGATTTAGCTATCAAGACCATTTTAATCTATAAATGTAATGCTGCTTCACAGAAAACACACATCTGACATTTTCAGGTTAATTGTTTTTAGGACGATGAACAAGGTTCTGTTACCCTCACTGTGAGTACTTTTCCCAAAGCTGAAGCATACACCAGAGAAATGTGCTATTTTTTCTTGTAATTTAGAACGCTACTCTTGTAACAGGACACATTATCAGAACTTACCCACAAAGAATGCTCCAATTCTTAAAACACTTTTTCCCTCTGGGGAAAAAAGGCTAAAAATGAAACTTGAATGTCCTCACAAATTAACATGAATATTGACTGATATTATTAACAGAAGTTCTGCTTTTCTTCCCCGTTTTGTTACAAACAAACAAAAGGTTAGCCAACATTTATTTGGGTTTTTAGTAAAAGTTTTTGGTCTGATCAAAATGAATTTCTTTGAGTAAATCTACTAAGTAGCGACTCACCTTTCTGTCTTAAATTTTTCTACCATTGGTAAGATTTCATTCTGTGTATGTTGGTATTTACGTTTGTCCCTTTAGCATTGAAGTTGATGACGGGGTTGGTAGAGGTTGCTGTGATGGTGTCAGTTCAGCTGCAGACCACCCAGCGGCGGTACGAATTGGAGAAAAGCAAAAACCCAAACGACAGAGCCTCAGACCGGCTGGAGGAGCTTGAGGCCACCATCAGTGAGGTGTCACATCAACCCACACTGGACACACTTTTTAGTGGTTTTTTTGTTTGTTTTTCATAACATTTTATTTTTAAATTTCCATTGCTAATTGTGATATGAATTATATTTGGTGCTGACAGTCCTGTAGTCGGAGGAGAGTCGGGTCTGTTTGGAGAGTGACGAATCAATATATATTCCTATATTTTCTTCCTGGGGGTTGTGTTGAACAGCCTGTTTTTGTGTTTATGTTGTAGTTGAAAGAAAACAGAGAGGAGCTGACCTCCATGATGAATGCTACCTTCCGTGGCGTGTTTGTACACCGATACCGGGACCGACTGCCTGAGATCCGGGCGTCGTGCATGGAAGAGTTGGGCGTCTGGCTGAAAACGGACCCTGAGGATTTCCTTAATGATGGATGCCTTAAATATTTGGGATGGACGCTGCATGACAAGGTTAAAATGAACCTGCGTGACACAGTAATAGAAGACCACTGAAAAACTAAACGCTACCCTGGGAGTCTGCTGGGCATGGGTCATTAGTGTCTCCTTTGTGTGCTGCCCCTGGTTTTTTCTTCATACGGCTTCACACCAGCTTTTCCGGTCAGACACATATTGTGTCCAGGACCATTTAGAAGCAGCCCCCTTGGCATTATAAGACTCAGCCAGAAAGGCCAAATTAGGAATTTATGTGAGCTCATCGTTACACTCCCAGAACTCCGGCAAAATCCATGTCTTGACCGCTCTCATCTTATGAATATTGAAAATAGAATGTTTTGTTTCCAAATGATATTTTCTTTGTTCAAATGTGCCACAGCTCACTTTGTGCATTGTGATTCGGCTTCTCCCAAAGCTCAGGTGGTCTGGCTGCACACAGTGAGATGAAGCCAGCCTTGGCTGGAACAAGGGGTTTTCATCAGGTCATTCTTTTGTTCTCAGTGGACAGCAGCAGCTGTCTGTCTGAAGCTCTCTTCAGGCTGCCATATTTGATGGGTTTAAAAATCTTCTCAAATGGGGGAACAACAATAATTTGCACAAAGGACAAGCAAATGCTATGATCTCATTCAACTTGATCCCACACTGCACAAAACGCTTCTTTCTTTGCTCCCCTTCCAGCCATAGGTCTCATGAAGCTGGATTTGGTAGTTGCTGTCAAACAGACAAAGAGCAACTGTGCATCTGCCCTACAGAAACCCGAGCATCCGTCTGTTTACAGAATTTACAAAGTGCGTTGTCTGTGTTTCCAGCAAAGTCCAGTGCGGCTGCAGTGTGTGCGTGCCCTGCAGGCCCTTTACCAAGAGGAGGAATTCATTGGCCGCCTGGAGCTTTTCACCAGCAGATTTAAAGTGAGGCATCCCTCTGGATTGAACTCATGCCTCATTTAATGCCTGCTTTCTCCCTCTTTCTCCCCCTGTCTGTCTCAGCATCTGTCTGCAATCTATTGTTTCAGTTTTTTGTATTGTTTCCTTTTTGTTGCCTTCCCGTGTCTCCCCTCCCACTTTTTTTAAAAAGACCCCCCACCCCCACCTACCCACACACGATTGCATTTCTATGTCTTTTCAAAAGATCTTTTTTTTTTTTTTTTACACCACTCCTGTTTGTTGTTATGGTCCCATCCTTTGTCTGGGCACGAGTCTGGTTGCGTTAATTGCTGCCAATTACTGATGGATAATAAGCCCTTCTCAAACACATGTGCTGCTGCAGATAGATGGTCTTTATGCAGTGGCTTACTGCCTAATCAGTGGTGTGTGTGTATGTGTGTGTGCATATGCACACATCCGTGGGTGTGGTTCCATTTATGCATGTTTGTGCATATTATTAATGTGTGTCTGTCTGCTGGCGCGCACGTGTCTCACTGGATGTCTGTGTGTTTAGGAAAGGATGCTCAGCATGGTGCTGGACAAAGACTCTTTCGTGGCAGTGGAAGTGGTCAATCTGTTGCTGATGATCCAACAGTGAGGGGTTTCTCCATTTGTGATGGTTTCTTTGTGCCACTCTCAGCTCACACAGTCTGAGGATTTTATTTTAGAGGATCAGAACAGAACCCACTACTGTAGATATCCTAATGCCTGAATGATAAAGTCTGTAATTTGCAGCTCTGTTTACAACTAATTCTATTCAACTTCATTTTAAGACAATCCACTCTCTGATTTAGTATACAGTATTTTTTTTTAAAATGTATACGGGCAGTTTTACTTTCTGGGTTGGACCCTGGAATGAAGCAAATATTTGAAAACGTGATGCTTACTAAACTGTCTGATTTGAAGCCAGCCAGCTAACTGCAAATAAAATTATATGATTACCACACGGTGATACATTTCCGACTACTGGTTACCAAATGTCTTATTAAATCCTTTTTTCAAAGATAGATCGGATTATTAAGTAAAAAAGACATAAATCTCTAGACTAACAGCAGTGTTGAGTGGCTTCCCTCCGTTTGTATTTCATGTGCAGCTAACCTGTCTTGTTCTTCCGGCCGCTCGTGCCAACAGGAAGACAGAGGAGGGCCTGAGGGAGGAGGAGTGCGGCCACATCTATCCCCTGGTTTACGCCTCACACCGCGGCCTGGCATCTGCTGCCGGAGCCTTCCTGTGCAACAAGTATGCTTTCGTCCTACACATGCACAGCATCACTGGGTCCGGGCTATTTTAGGTGCACTTTGTGTGCACCCCTGGGCAAAAGTCTTTAGCCCCCTCATTTGTTCAGAAATAGACATTACATTTTTTTTAGACAAAGCACAGGCCCTTCCTTTGGGTTAGGTACCTATTTTAATTGTGACTCATAGATTTGCATTAAATTAGCTTGTCAAACTCAGCAAATGGACATATTTCTTATAATATGCAGTAACAAGGAATCAACTACAAATGAGTTTTAAAAAAAGCTACAATAGAACCACTTTCGTTTTAACAAGCTGTGGAAAATTATTTTGACTATCCAATACCTCTTTGTTAAGGAACTTGTGTACACTGAGTAATTCCTCATTTTTGGCTCAAACAATGTGAAAATTCCTTTTTTGTATATGCGTCAGGCTAAAAAACGTGATCGCCAGCGACGTGGAGGAGAATGAGATAAACAACAATGCAGCTTTTTTTCAAATCCTCATCAGCTTCTACATTCAGAGTGAGGTACAGCTCTTTGTCTCCTTTTTATTCTAATCTACAGGAATTTAGCATAGTGCAACATTATTGAAACAATTTTGTCCATGCAGGTTAATTGCTTTTTTTTTGTAGTCTAAAAGCATAACGGTTTTCATCATTATTAATCATACACATTTCTTAAGTTCCATGAGCACGGAGCATACCTGGTGGACAGTCTGTGGGCTGTGGCAGGATCTGAGCTGAGGGACTGGGAGACCATGACAACCTTACTGCTACAGGATGCTGGTGAGAGATCAGGCTTCAGATAAACCCAGTATCAAGAAGTAGCACTCTGTTGAACACAAGTGCATCATCATGGTGCGCATTATTTCTGGGGCCAACACAGCCACTGAGTCAGAGATGAATGCCGTTTTCAGCCCGTCACCCTCTTCCTCTTTGTGCTGTCATAACGTCATGCTCCTGTCTTTGTGTTGTCAGGTCTGATGTATGAGGAGGAGGGGGTACTTATAGAACTTATGATATGTGCCATCCGACAGGCATCCCAGGCAACCCCACCTGTTGGGAGAAGTCAAGGCAAAAAGGTGACAACTTCATACATACTCTGTGTTTTATGGAAATTTAAGCAATGGGGGGGAAGAAAATCATTCTATCTTTGTTTTAAAATCCCACATTGAACTCCTGTGTTTGGACTCTCTGGGAAACCTGACGTATTTTCAACAGCACTTTTGAAACGCTTCCTGATTGTGTCTTAATTCTGCTCATTGGCTGTTCAAATGAGAGCAGATGATCAGTATGAAGGATAAAAAGATCCAGGAACAAGAAAGGAGTCGCATCACCACGCATTTCATTCCCATCCTGCCACAGCTGCTCGCCAAGGTAAAAGAGCCACGGTGCACCGGATTTCACCGTTTCACAGAAAGTTTAGAGTTGCAGAGTTTGTGTTTTTTACTGGTTTGCAGTACTCAGCAGATGCAGGGAAAGTGAGCCTCCTCCTCAAAGCACCCCTTTACTTTGATCTGGAGATGTACCGCAGCACTCAGTGGCTGGAAAAGGTAAGAGAGCCTGAGATCAGAGGAAACCAACATAAACTACTCATCTGTGGGGAAAATTCTGCTGTGAAGAAGGTTAAATATTTTTGCTCAGCTTGACTAAACAAAGTGAAGTATGGATCCAAAACATCCCATTTGTGTTGTGCTCTTAAACAGAGGATTCACCCAGCTCACTCCGTTTTTGGACAGGCATCGAACCACCTTTCAACAGCATAAAGTTTGAATTCTTTGTGATCAGAAAAGCCCTCTGGTCAGAATCTGTATCTGTCAGGTATCTCTTGCTTATTAAAAAATGAATGAATGAAAAAATCCAGAGTGAACAGCAAAGGGAACCCGTACTAAACCTCTGCTTTGGAGCTGACCAGAAAAGTGCTGGTACACACTATTACTACTACTATTCTTCTTTTTTTTCCTTTTTTTTTTTAACTGAACTGTGAGTTCAGTTGGGCTCCTAAACAAATTAGCAGAGCAGGTACTCCTTACTTCATCACCCTCTTTTTTCCCTTCTTAGCATCTGGACTCGCTGCTGTCGCAGATTTGTGGCATCGTGGAGAAGCACACAGAGGCGGCTGTGCTGCAGGCGTGTGCCCAGCTGACCAGCACTCTGTGCTCAGAGAACTACACTTTCTCCTCCCGTGCACGGCTGGCATTCAGCCAGCTGCTGGACAACCTGACCGAATGCTTCAGCAGCTACTTGAGCGACTTGCTGCAGGTTGGAGAGCGCAAGTTAGCTAACACGTATGGGTGATAATTTACCGAACTGGGTGGCATCTCCCGCCTCAGTCACCCGGTCACAGTGTGGGTTTTCGTACGCAGGACACCGCGGATGAAGATGACTTGTACAATGCAGCCATGGCCCTGAAAAAAATAGCTGCCTTGAGCAGGCAAGTTTTTAGTATGTGCATGGCCACTTCACTGTCTGCTCCCCACAGTAAACTGAGTTGTGCGGCTGTGATGGGCGTGTGTATGTGTGTGTTTTCTAGTGCCACAGACCCGACGGGCTGGAAGCTGTTTGACTCGTGCCTTCAGCTGCTGAAAAGCAGGGTGGAATCTCAGGAACTGGACACGGAGGTGAATGACACATCTCAATTTGTTAGTTGTTTGACGTTTGGGAATGCCGATTCAGATGTGCTCCAGTACTTATCACCTTTTCTTTAGATAATTGACATTTAGAGCGGTAAAAGCAAAATATGTCCAGCAGAATCTCAGTGTATCTGTGATTGCAGCTCATGGTTTCCGCTCTGAAGTGCGCAGCTTTCCACCTGATGTGGGCCAAAGTGAAGATGCACAGCTCCAAGCCAAACGAGGTGCTTTTCTGTTTCATGACACTTTGAATGTCTTCATCTTGCGAGTGTCTGGAAATGCTGTGACCTTTCCTCCGGCTTCCGCACACTAAACCGAATGTTGATCCTGCGGGTCTATATATTTTGCGCTCTTCCCTGGGAAATAACCCACATGACAGCCAGCCTGTGGCGTCTGTGTTGGTGGCCTTCCTCTGTGTTTTTGGAGCCCAGCTTGTCCATGTTGTCCAACATTTCACCAGCTGCGTCGCCAGCAGGCGCTTACACAACAGTCTGTCACCGAGCCCGCCGTGACGTTGGCCTATTTATTTCGCTCTGTTTAATGATTGTTCTTACCGTTTGCCTTTTTTTTGTGTTGGTATTTAATTCGGTCAGGTTTGTCATATTTATGTATTCTCATTTTTGTTTCCCTTTCTCACATACACAGTGTGCCATGATGCATGATGCAGCCGCATCTGTTTATTTCAAAGCGAATGTACATCTTTTCAGGATATAGTTCATTTAAGTCTTAGTGGCTGTAAATGTTTTTTTTTCCTCTGTGTCATTCAGATAGTTTCTACTCTTTTTACACATTCTCATATATTTAAAGACATTAACTGCTGACCGATGCTGGGGAATTTACTGGTTAAAAAGCGTCCTAGGACAAAGTCGTCATACCATTTAACAGCACCCGTATCCATATTTTTGATTTTCTCCATCATTATTCGTCCATCTCACCTTTTTCTCCTAGATGGAGCTGGTGCGTTTAAAGAAGGACGTGCGCTCCTTCTGCAGAATCAGTCAGACATGTTTGTCTCTGGACAAGGCGGAGATAAGAGATCACGTGAGTCCCATGTGCTTACTAAGCTAAGAAAAAACTACCACATACATATTTCATATATACACACATTGTGGGCTGAAAAGTCATTATTACTCAATGACTAGATGGTTCTGACTGTTCTTACCTTGAGAGGAAAAAGACAGAAACCCAGTCATTTTAAGTAGAATTGGTGTTAAACTTGGTAGATTTTGTTCACCGTTGAGGAGATACATGTCCATCAACTGATAGGTTGACAGTGTGATCTGTGGCTTATATTTTGCTCCTGGAGAGTTCCTTGTTTGTTGGTTTAGACCTGGGTTTTTTTTAATGTTTCCCAAGAACAATCACACGATCTGGAACCATCTTAACCTTTGGTGTGATAGTTTTGCACATAGAAAGTGACGAAGCGCGTCTCTCTCCCTGCAGGCGTTTGAGCTGCTGTGCGACCTGCTCCTGTTGTTCAGTGTGCGTTCAGTCCACTCTGAACCTGCCCTCCAGACACTGGTTCACCTGCCGTCGGACTCTCTGCGCTCCGAGCTGGCGGCTTTCCTCCTGGACTACGTCTTCCTCGACGCCGAAGACGCCGAACCCGGTGCTGCTTTTCCCCCCGCTGATCATACAGCAGCTCCTCTGAATCAATGTTTGCATGAGCTGTCACACTTTCCTGAGGCAGCTTCAGTCGGGGTTGCTGAGTGGGAACGTGGTTAACAGACTTGTTTTCTCGCTCTGGCTGATGTGGAGCGTTTTGGAAACGGCTCGGTTGGAGCTCTGCTGGAGAAGCTCCCAGAGGACTCCACCCTCCCTTTCCCCAGCGCACAGTTTCTTGATCACTCTGTTTTTGATGTCTTCTTTTGACTTCTTTTCTGTAGTTAGTAGTATTTTTCCACATTTCATGATGTGTTCTGTTAACTTTATGAAATGTATCTGTTGACTCAGACGCTGCATGTCATGTGCCCACATGCTGTTTGCTCAGAAACACCCGAATACTTTCCATCTTCCTCTGCTTTTTCCCAACCTGACTCAGGGTTTGTTACTCCTCCATCTTATCCTGCCCTCTACCTTTTGGCTCCTCGTCTTTGCAGATGAGCCTGAGGAGAAGAAGATGGTTCTCCTTCAGAAGAAGCGCAACCAGCTGGCCGGCTACTGTAAGCTTGTCCTCTACGGGGTGCTGGACCTCTCAGCTGCCACCAGCGTTTTCAAACACTACAGCAAGGTGGAGTTCACGCCCCGCTTTATTTGCCCTGGATGTTCACTTTATGGGCCCTTGTTTACAGAAGACTGACTTAATATATCAGATAGTTTAGTAATTTCTCTAATGAGGGAGGTAAAATGTGTAACGGATAAAGGGATAGGGATGTTCAAAGATTTGATAATGAGCAGGATGTGTTAGCGAGTGGAGGAGGGTGATAGAATCAGTTTTAGAGACAGTGAGGTGCTGAGAATGAGTCAGAAAGGCAGCTAAAAGAAGCACAGATGACGAGAATGAAGAGGATTATTTCATGTTTTCAGACCTTTCGCCTGTGTTGCAAATCAAAGAGATTAATGATGTGTGTTTTTTTTGGGGGGGGTGGCGGCGGGTTTGCAGTACTTTAAGGACTTTGGAGACATAATCAGAGAAACGGTGAGCAAGAGCAAGCTCATCAACCCAGTGCAGAGCGCCAAGACCGTCTGCCTCAGCCTCCAGCAGGTGTGCACTTCCATCTCAGCAGGATGCGTCTGCCTGTGAAGTGGTGTTTGATTCTTTTTAACGCAGGGGTGTTCATCGCGCGTCAGCCGGCTCCGCGGCACAGAGTCGGAGGCTCACAGTAGGGCTGCCGAGTGAAGGAAGCCCAGCTAAGTTGTGCTCTGGTGCTCAAAACGAGACGTTTGGTACCAGCAGCGGGTGTCACTCAGCTCACTGAGAAGAAGCTGCATCAGATTACTTTAAAGGGGTCGATTTTGGCTTCAAAGAGTCCTTTACATCATAGTCAAACATGTCCTTTCCTTCAAGGTCCACATCTACAATTCGAACCAGGGTTAGCATGACATTCCAGACAAGAAATAAAGGAATCAAAAATAAAAAGTAGAAACTCAAGCTCGTCCTGACTGCGTTTGGAGCTCAGATCACTCTGTCTCTGCACGGGCCTCAGATGAGCCTTAGCATTCTACCCGAGCTACAGGTCCCATCTGGTTGCCTCTTTTTGTTTGGAAATAAAAGCCAATATCATCCTTATTTGAGCCGCAGTGTTGTGTGACAAACACAACATCTCTGTGGAGTGAATTCACCCACATGCACCACATCAGAGATCTTTTAATGAATAATTTGCCTCATCTGTGCATATTTACTGAAAAAAGGGGGCACTTTTTAGAACATTTTGTCTTAGAATCTCTGTGGGGAAAACAAACAGCCGCAGCCAGAACCTGACCAATGTTTGAAGATGTGGACTTAAGAGTCCCACACAGCTCACTCCATCATTTTAAATTCTACTCATTAACACAATCTCTTTGATTGAGAACGTATGCGTTTTTATTTCTGCTCAGCAGTCCAACAAATTGTTTTTATTTATTAAATATACGGTCACAACCATCGCTAGGATTGTTGAGACAGAACATCTGTACGAACCCGCAAACAGCTGCAACTTGTCGGTCCTTTTCTGTGGAAGGGTTCGTTTGTTTTAACCATGGAATCCATGCAACATGTTTCTGAAAAGTCAGGTCTGTGTGTGTTCAGCTGTTTTCAGAGATGCTGACAGAGAGCCGCTGCCAGCAGGATCTCAGTGAGATTAGAGAGCTGGCCAAAAGGCTCGCTATGAGCTTTGGCATCAATCTCCATCGTATCCGCAAACCACTGGTGGCCCTGCACATGTCAGTACCACATTTCTTTTCTTACCACTCAGACCTTTCTAAATTCAGTGTTGCCATGACAGACCGTTTATTCTCAAAGAATATGAATATTTTAAAAAGGCTTCTCTCACAGCATCACTGGACAGACTGTATTTGTTACAGTCTGATGGTTCTGAGATATAATTTTTGTATGTTTTTTTTTAAATTGCTTTCTATTAGGGACGGTATTAGTTTTGCATTTCGAGCTCAACCGGAGGGAGAAGAGGAGCATCCGAATGTGGACTTCTTGGAAATCCTCAGCGAGTTCAGTTTCAAATTGCTTCAGCAGGACCGTGAACAGCTGTGAGGCGCACGAACACTCAAACCTGTTTCCTATGGAGATTTTCTGCTCATGCCTCATTGTCTGCTTTGTGTCTGTTGTTCATTGAATCTCATCTTAGACTAACAGTAAATGCAGCTTGAGTCGAAAAAATAACCCCTACTTACCTGAATCTGGGGGTCTTTTCCAAGTGGACATTTCTGTTTATACGTAATGAACAAAACATGTTCTTTTTACTGTTATTGATTACTGCCGCCCTTATTTTAGATGTGAACATAGAGAGAGAATGACTCTTAACTTATTTCTGTGGCTTTAAAGTTGTCACATAATCATAAGAATATTTTGAGATTCGTTTGAAATTGATTCACCATCATTTCTAGGATGCAACATTTTTAAGCTTTCTCTGGTCTTTGTCCTCATCCTCTCCCAGCTCTGAGTTTGTGACAGCTGAGTGTCCCACTGCTGCCCTCTCCTGGCCATCAGTTAAACTGTATCAGCGCTCTCTGGAGAATCGCTTTTCATCCAAGTCCAAAGAGCAGGAGGAGGAAGGCAACGCCCCGCCATCACATCAAACCCCAGATGCCAAACGCAGGAAGGCTTCTGCTCAGGGTGAAATGCGTGCATTCTGAATAGCACTGAGAAATTAGCAAAAGCTTACACTAAATACTGTCCCATCCATGTTTTATTGATACAAATGATACCCTGATCATTTATGAGCCTCAATAATGATCATTTTGGTGCTTTTACTTAGTGTTTACCTGTCTACTAATCTTTACCAATATTTATTTTTTATTAAAACTTTACTTATTTTCTCACTGAGTTTTATCAAGTCCAGATTAAGTCTCAAGTTTGATTAAGTCCAGGCAAAAGGTAGTAATGTCAATAGACTTCTGAAATGCCTGTCGTTACCTCCAGTTTCAGCATCCAGTACCATCGGATCATCCTGGTTGGAGAAAAGAAGCATCAACAGTCGTCTTCACACTCCAGCCCTCACCTCCACAGTCCAGAAACATGCAACTAAGAAGCCGCCCTCCAAGAAACCCAGAGCACCACTGTCTGATACCAGCAGCGTCTTAACTGAGAGGGAGTCAGAGGATGAGTTTTCTGTTGGGTAAGCTGGATTTAGTGAGCTCACAAGCAGTTTCCGTCTGGATAAACACCTGCTGAATACAGAATATTGACTTATCCGCATAATTTACAACACAAAGAAAGTCAGTATTGGAATATTACGGTCACTGGAAGCCTTTTGCCATTAAAAAAAAATCCTTATGTTTTCCCTTATATGTGCACGTAGCCATAGAGAGTGGACAAAATTAACTCTGAGATCATCTTAAGGTTACAGATGCGAAAGGTGAAACCCACCAAACGGGGCTCGCTCTCCTCCATCCAAACCGCGCCAGCATTGGATCTGGAGTCCCACCTCACCATGTAAGGCTCATTTTAAAGTTTAAGCTTTTTCATAGCTTTTTTTTTCTGTTCAATTGTAGTAGTCTGTCTTATTCAACAAAGGGTTTTCCATCTGGAATTACTAATCTCGGTAAATGAATCTGCTGCATAGGCTTTCTCTGATTGAGGACAATGCTTCAGAAAAGGAAAGAGACAGCAATTCAGAAGAAGAGGAGCCAGAAATTGAAGACTACAACAGTGACTCTGAGTCTGCATACACACTGGTAAAACCAAGACTAACTTTATCGTTTACTATACTTTTATTTTTAAAGAACAGTTTCAACTGAGCTACAAGTGAATAATACCAGTAAAGATACATTAGAAATGTGAATGTGTAAACAGGATCTGAGGAGTCTGCATTTAATGTATTTAATGTTCAAAAAAGTGTATTTAGTTTATTATCAGTGGACATTGAGAACGCCATACCCAAATAGCTGAAACTGTCCTGTTATTGATCCGCAGCCCTCCACTCGTTTAACCTCGGCCAGCATCCTCGATGAGCTCTTTGACTGAGGTCTGTCTGGACCATCTCCTCAACGGTTCTGCATCTTCAGGAGTTTCAGTGTTGGCGTTAGATATTTCAGCTTTTTGTTCTTCTGGATAAGCCTTATTAAGTTCAACCAAGAGCTCTGTTGGAATTAGTTATTTTGAAATTCCACAACTATATTGGTTCCTGGTTAATAATAGACATATTAATGTTTTGAAAATCTGCTATAAGTTCTGAATAATGTGTTTCATCCGAGCTGACAGTTAATAATCTTTTGTATTTTTCATTTTGAATTTAAGCTCTTAACATTTTTCAAACTTATTGACGGCAACGTGTGTTTCTGTTAAACTTGTTAATTTGTTGTTGATTAAATACTGTTTTGTTTGGAAAAGTTATGCTGAACATCCCTTTAATGCAAGTGCAAAGTGATGCTTGACAAGTGGTTCAAACTTACCCCTAAATCAATGTCAACCCAAATAAATGCTTAAATACCTTACAATATACTATATATACTGCACATTACATTTGACCTGCTGTCCTTTTAATTGGAACTAGATCCATTTGAAAGGTAGAGATTCAGGTGCAGTGAAAATGAAGTACAATTGTTTCACCATTAAGGAATTGTGCTGCACTTTCATAAACAGTAGAAATATTAGAATTATCCTACATTCTGGTTGCTTACATATTTGCTGTACTATAATTGAATAATATTAATATAGTTAAAGCCAGACTGCAGGCTTAATCCAATACAGCCTCTGTAACCCATGCAAACTATGCATGCATTCCCCACTGTATATATTCAGAACACAAAAACTTATATGATACGATTTAAAATTTGCTTTAATATGTTCTGCATTTCAAACTTCTCCTAAAACATGGAAATCAACTTTAAGATGTTTATCTAAACCACGTTGACATTAAAGTGCCTTAAAGTCCAATCATCACACTTCGCGCCATTCCTGACAAACCAGGCGGAAGTTTGTTGAGTCACGTGACAGAATGTGTCCCACAATTTTCGCGCCATCTGGTAATCCCGCCTCTTTCTGTTGAAACACGGAATGCAATTGGTTCCTGGGGACGTCACAATCGCGCCACTTCTCGCACCGCGACCGGGAGAAGTGCAGGCTGCTTGTGAATGAACCCAGGTCTCCGGTGTTGCAAAAAGAAGAAACTTTAGTTAAAAACGGCACTTTTGCTCGTTTGTCCCTTGAATTTTTGTAATCGAATTATTTAACGTCTGCAGCCATGGCTCGCAAGGATTATGCGGCAGAGAAAGGTAGGGAGGTGGGGGGGTATGTATGATAACGGCATGGTCGCAACAGGTTTGTAAAACTGACTGTATTTCTTCATAATTGGCTTCGCTTTTGGAGTTAAGCATTATGTGGGGACGTATGTGATTTAAAACTATAGACATGTAATTCTACTACTTCCATGTTCGAGACAATCAATCATCCGATAACCTTTTAGCATGAATAAATGTTTCAAAAGCTGTAGGGATGATGACGTAATTCCACATTAATTCACATGAGCATGAAAATGGCTCAATATATTGGGGCGTGGGGTACGAGTGCAGTTGATGAAGTTGCATAAAGTTCCCTGAACTGTGGTTGTCCGTTTGGTTGGGACTGGCGATTTCTGGGCCGGTGACTGCAGGGTGACCCGGATGCATCCTTAAACAAAGACGTAGGCGCCACCGTGCAAGCACATGTCCAACAACAGCCTCTTATTGTTAGCGAAACTCCCCGGAATATTGCCTTGGTGTGTCGGGTTTTACAACCCGTGTCTACTCTGTTTCGCTAGCAATATTCAAGATGACTTACTACTTTATAGCACCAAGTAGTAACAGCAATTCCCGTTACGCTCGACGACCCCTGGCAGTTTTCCTTCCTGTAGACTTCACAGAAGCTAATCAGATACAAAGTGAGCGACGGTTGAAATGAAGTTATATGGCTCAGGCGTGACTTGCTTAAACAAACATTTTATAAACTTAAGATATTTCACGGTAGCCCCCATATACATACTCTTTGCGGGGAAAAAAACTTGTTTTAAGTAGTACAAACGACAAAGTACATACGAACAAGCTTCCTCTCACAGCCTACGCTAGCTCGTTAGCTAGGGAGCTACTGTCAGTAACCGTGCCATTTTGTATTTAGCGCTAAACGTGCTCACGTTTTGGTCTTAGGAACTGCCTAGTTTGCTTGTATAGTTGGCTCTGTGCTTCTCGTAAAAGCGCATTTAAACTAACCTATTTTTTCTGCACTGTATACTGAACGAAAACTTTATTTCCTGCGTTAGATTAACGCCTTAAAAGTTTTACTCTCAAGACAATCGGCCACCGGAAACACCTCGCTGTTAAGCATTAGTTTGGCGTCGTGTTGTTGTTTGGTGGATGTGTTCGGGGCAGTTGTCTGTGCTGGCCGTGCTCTCCGTGTTTGGACTGAACTCTGCTAACCCCAGCTGCTGTTAGAAGATGGCTGGTCGTGGTTTGTTGGGACTTTTTGTAAGGGCGGAAGAATCGCGGAGGGATATGAGTGACTGGCCACAAAAGCCATGTGCTGCTTTGTTTACAATAACATCCTCGAACAGAAATAATAAAACGGAGGCGCAGGTTTTCTGCTACAGAGTCAAAGTAAGTGGACTGTTTCAATAACTGCGTGAAAACGAATCTCGTTCTTCGTAGACTGGAAATAAATGTTGGTAATAGTAGTTGATCTTTCGAGAAGTAGGGGGATTTTTTTTTTAAAGGGACATTGGACTGAGTGCGCCTGTTGTTGTATTTACAGTGTTATCCCGGAGCTACCCGCTGCCTAATGTCAGTTATTTCCCTCTGAGCGTATGTTTTTTTGCCATACAGTCGAGCTAAACCCTCTTGATTTAGTGCACCAGTTGCAGTTTCTGTTTCACTGTCGGCTATAGTGACTCATCGAGATTACAGGATGCCATGTTACTCAACAAAGGGGGTCGTCGCAGGACAACAAATTAGCTCCCCATGTAGGCCCACTTTAGCTGGTGATCAGTGATGTCAACAGCTTTAGATGTAGGAAGCTATTTTAATTTTTTTAAATGGTTTGAAATATGACAAATTTTCTTTGTGATGGCTAACAATCTCCACCTAGTGTCTGCTGGATGTGGCCTGTTTGTTTTTGAGAAATGATGAGGGTGTTTTTGTTTTTTTTGCAGATAAGTGCAAAAGGTTCTTACAAGAGTTTTACACAGAGGACGATAATGGGAAGAAGGTGTTCAAATATGGATCGCAACTTGTAAGTATATGAAATGCGTTCATTATAAGTGTTTTTTCTGAAGTGGCGGCTTTTGCATTTGAATGATTTTTACATCAAATTGACTAAACCATTTATTTAGCTCAAATTCTGTTGGCCATTGTTTGTAATCTGCAAGGCAAGTTTTTAATTAAATCAGACCTGAATTTTTGGAGTTTAAATGACAACATTGCTCCTCGTCTGCTCATTCACTTTTTTAATTTAATGCAGTGTTTTTTGTGAATCAGACATAATATATTTAGTTTGGGGGGTTTAATGCACTTATGTGTTTTCACCATAGCTCTTATAATTCAGCACCTTGGATTTTGAGATATGTGGAATTATTTGTTAAGGTCTGCCTGACTGGGGTCAGATTTAACTGGCAGGGCTCTGTGTGCGCAGGTGGCTTTGGCCCACAGGGAGCAGGTGTCTGTCTTTGTCGACCTGGACGATGTCGCAGAAGAAGACCCCGAGCTGGTTGAGAACATCTGCGAGAACGCCAAACGCTACACGGGCCTGTTTGCAGACGCCGTCCACGAACTCCTGCCAGAGTACAAAGAAAGAGATGTAAGTGGACACATTTTAGTGAGTGAATCTGTTTGTTCACAGTCCGTTCATCACTGACATGCTGTTGACACCTTTTTTTTTTTGGTTGGGGGGGCGGTCAGATTGTGGCCAAAGACTCCCTGGATGTGTACATTGAGCACAGGCTGATGATGGAACAAAGGGGGCGTGACCCCGCAGACTCCAGAGACCCCCGTAACCAGTACCCACCTGAGCTCATGAGGAGATTGTAAGTTGGGCCGCTTAAAGAGCTGGATCGGTCTTCCCGTGTAAACGCCTTCTCTCAGTCATGTGATCTGTCATCCACAGTGAGCTGTATTTTAAATCCCCCTCTACCTCGAAGCCCAAGGTGGTCCGTGATGTCCGGGCCGACAGCATCGGCCATTTGGTGGCCGTTCGGGGAATAGTGACGCGAGCCACGGAGGTCAAACCGATGATGGCCGTGGCCACATACACATGTGACCAGTGTGGCGCCGAGACCTACCAACCAGTAAGGTTTAACCACAGACGCGCAGTGATCCAGACGGACTCATGTCACTCACCCGTGTGACGCTTTCCCTCTTCTGTTCAGATCCAGTCTCCCTCCTTCATGCCTCTCATCATGTGTCCCAGCCAAGAGTGCGTCACCAACAAATCTGGAGGACGCCTCTACTTACAGACCAGAGGCTCCAAATTTGTCAAGTTCCAGGAGCTGCGCATTCAGGAACACGTAGGAACTCTTTCACTCTTTTTTTTTTTCTCGCGACATCTGTCCAGTTTTTGGGTGTTTTTTTATTTTTATTTTTTTTTCTTTTCCCCCTGCTGACTTCTGTCTACTCTCCTGCAGAGCGACCAGGTTCCAGTTGGAAACATCCCCAGAAGTATGACGGTGTACGCGCGCGGCGAGAACACACGTCTGTCCCAGCCGGGTGACCACGTGGCCATCACGGGCGTGTTCCTGCCCCTGCTGCGGGCCGGCTACAGCCAGACCGTCCAGGTCAGCGCGCCGTGCCGCGGTGAAAGCCGCACAAAGGGGGCTGCAACAACACTGACACTAGCATCCCGGTTTGCTCTTTTCAGGGCCTTCTGTCGGAGACCTATCTGGAAGCTCACAGCATCACCCTCATGAACAAGACGGAGGACGACGAGCTGGGCAACGAGGATCTGACCGACGAGGAGCTGCGCAGCATCACGGGTCAGTAGCTCGGCTTTTCCTCACAGTAAGGTGCCACCTGGAACGCAACTTCACCCGGTGTTCTCTTACAGAGGAGGGCTTCTACGAGAAGCTAGCCGGCTCAATAGCGCCAGAGATCTACGGACATGAAGATGTGAAGAAGGCCCTGCTGCTGCTGCTGGTGGGAGGAGTGCAGCAGGCTCCCAAAGGCATGAAGATCAGAGGTGAGCTCAGAGGGCTCCGCACATGTCCTCTTTTTAATCCGTTTCTCAGAATGGTCCAGAAAACTTGAACGGCGTAGCCCACTCTTTGAGTGCTTTGTCAGCAGTTTCATGTACTCGTGTCCGGTTAGTTCTCAGAGTTGTAATTGCTGCAACGCTCATCCTGTTTCATCTCTCCTCCCTCAAGGCAACATAAATATCTGCTTGATGGGAGACCCGGGAGTGGCCAAGTCCCAGCTTCTGTCTTACATTGACCGCCTGGCTCCCCGAAGTGAGTCCTTTTTTTCGGCTGAATATTTTACCTAGCCAAACATTTACCTTCCATTCGGGCTCTCTTCTGTAAAACAGTAACTTTGGATGTGGTCGAGCGCTCTCCTGTTGATGATTTTTAATCGCTAATGAGGAGCAGTCTCTCTTTTATCGGCCTTACTTTGCCTCTGACCTGAGCGCCGCTGTGGTTTCCAGGCCAGTACACGACAGGCCGCGGCTCGTCCGGCGTCGGCCTGACCGCCGCCGTGATGCGCGACCCCCTGACCGGGGAGATGACCCTGGAAGGCGGGGCCCTGGTGCTGGCCGACCAGGGCGTCTGCTGCATCGACGAGTTTGACAAGATGGCGGACGCCGACAGGACGGCCATCCACGAAGTGATGGAGCAGCAGACCATCTCCATCGCCAAGGTAACGGCCCCCGCTATAATTTACTGAGGGAGTCTTCCCAAGGGATCAATAAAGTCTAAGTCCAAGTCTCCCCTCTGTAGGCGGGCATCATGACCTCCCTCAACGCGCGCTGCTCCATCCTGGCCGCCGCCAACCCGGCCTACGGCCGCTACAACCCGCGCAAGAGCATCGAGCAGAACATCCAGCTGCCCGCCGCCCTGCTCTCCCGCTTCGACCTGCTGTGGCTCATCCAGGACAAGCCGGACGCCGACGCCGACCTGCGGCTGGCGCAGCACATCACCTACGTGCACCAGCACTGCCGCCAGCCGCCCACCCACTTCACGCCCATCGACATGAAGCTGATGAGGTGAATGGCGCCGAGAGCCGTTTTCCCCCACGGCTTTGCAAAGGGGAGAGAGGTGTTAACGCTGTGGCCGCTTCCCCCCCCCGCAGGCGCTACATCGCTCTGTGCAAGAAGCGCCAGCCGGTCGTGCCCGAGTCGCTGGCGGACTACATCACCGCCGCGTACGTGGAGATGAGGAAAGAGGCCCGGGTCAGCAAGGACACCACCTTCACCTCGGCCCGCACCCTCCTGTCCATCCTGCGCCTCTCCACCGCCCTGGTGAGGCCGTCGCGCTGAAAAACGCCGCCGTTTCCTTCCAGCGAATCCGTCCGAAGGGCTCTCGGACGAGGAGCAGTTGTTTACGGGGGCGCCCGTTTTCCTCTGCCCGCTGTGCGATAAAGTGCTTACAGTGCAGGTAGCGATGCAAACCCGGCCTACTGCAGTGTGAGCACTTGTTTCCCACGCCGGAGCAGCTCCGCCGTCCGCCTCGGCCCGGCCATTTGGTCCTCACCTCCCAGCGACCGAGGAACAGCCGGAGTGATTCCAATAGTGGGTGACGAGGGGGGTGGAGTCCCCCACGCGGTGTCGGCCTCCGGTTGTCAAAAGTGCTGTTTGTGCAGGTAGCTTTGACCCGCCTACTGCAAAACCAGCACTTCAGGTAAACGGGAGGCGGCGTGCTGCACCCAGACGCCCGCCAGGGGGCGCCGGCCTCACATCCTAACTTCTGTGCCTCCGGGGCCGTGAAGGAGCGGCCCGGGTTCTCCTGGTCCTGGCCAGCTTTGCAGGGTGGGCAGTCAGCCTGTGTGCGTTAGGACCAGCTGTGCAAACCCATGCAAAACTGACCATGGCCAGCTCTGTCGGCCACCGAGTCCTTTTCCCCCCCCTGAAGACGTGGAGGAGACTAGCTGGTGTTGAGAGGCGGAGACTTGGGCAATTGCCAGCCATTCCTGAGGGCATTGCACTTGTCTCGGTCTGACAGTGCCGGCACAGCGCAGCCTACATCGCCATGGAGCCGGAGTGACCGGCGGGACGGTCGTTTCCGCGTATCCGCTGCTGGGTCTGACCTCCCGCTGCCCCCTGTGTCCCCCTCAGGCCCGACTGCGCATGATGGACACGGTGGAGAAGGAGGACGTCAACGAGGCCATGAGGCTGATGGAGATGTCCAAGGATTCCCTTCAAGCCGACAAGTCCAGCACAGCCAGGTCAGTGTTAGGAACCCCATCCAGGGGGCTTTACGTAAAGGGAGCGACCGGATGCCGTTTTTTTCTTACGAGTTTCTCGTATTTCAGTTTTTCTTTTTCTTCTGGAGGAAGCTGTAAAAACCTCCCGGGGTTTTTTTTTTTTTCATGGCGCTCGCTCACACTGAAATACACCACTGACTTTGTTGTTTTCCAATTTTTCTGCTGGTGCCATTGCTTTTTTAAATTATTCCTTTTTAAAGCCATTGGCATCAGATTGCCACTTAAGTGTCTTCACGGGGATTTCCACCGTTGGCTGAAGTGACCTTTTCAAAGTCTGACCACCTCCTCTTCCTCCCTTGTCTAGGACCCAGCGTCCCTCCGACGTCATCTTCTCTCTGGTGCGTGAGCTGGCCTCTGAGGGCGCGGCGGGCCGCGGGGGGGCCGGCGGCGTGGTCCGCATGGCCGAGGCCGAGCAGCGCTGCGTGTCCCGGGGCTTCACGCCCGCCCAGTTCCAGGAGGCGCTGGAGGAGTACGAGGAGCTGAACGTGTGGCAGGTCAACCAGGCCCGCAGCCGCATCACCTTCGTCTGAAGACTTCCTCCTTCATCCAGCGTTTCCTGACACGAGTCGGGGCAGAACAGACTTCCCTTCAAAGCGCGACTCTCGTGGAAGAATTCCAGCTGTTGGAGATTCCCGTTATCCGGTCAATTTCTTTGTAAATATGTATGTCAGAACAACGTATTGTTGCATAATCTCCGGCTTAGTGCTGAAAGTATCCACGGACATTGAGCACTCTGTACATTTTATACTTTAATGCAAATCAGTGCAGTCGATGTTTCGCCCTGTGATAGTTCTAATAAAAGGTTCAGTGCTTTGCATGGCTTTTATTTTGGCTCCTGTGTCGCAATTCTGTGTGAACAGCAACCTGTGATTAATGTCATCTGTCTGTAAAAGGAGAGAAAAAGGTAAATTGGGATGCCATCTCAAAAGAAGACCGACTTGAAGATGAATATTTAAAAGCCATAGATGATATTTTTTTCAGCAGAACTGACAGAAGTTTAACTTTTTGATTGTCATGGGCATTTGTAAATACAAATGTCTTCCCTACCTTGGACATTCGGTGTCTGCTGCAGTAACTGCATTCTGCTGACAGAAAAACAGCAAGTTTATGACATTTGCTTTAACATGAAAGCTGCCTGGAGGAATGCAGTCTAATTCCAAGCGTCTCGGATTTAATAGTGAACATGCCAAGACAAAAAAAAAAGCATCTGCTTTTGATAGTTATCGCCTTAGTTACAGAGATGGTCGAAAAGCAGGTGTTCCCATAACAAAAATGAGCACTTTTGGCACCAGAGCTTGTTAAAAAAAATCTTTAAAAACCTTCATAAATGTATGTTTTAAGGCAAAGCGGGTGGACATCTATGATTTTATTCTGCTCTTTGGGCAGGACGGACGCCTTAGCAGGCAGCGTTTTCCTCCACAGTTGCAGTTGTCCCAGCAGGTGATGCCTTCCATCCAGGTTTAATGGGGAGTTTCCATTTGAAGTCTTGCCCCTTTATGGCTTTAGTCCAGGGGCTTTTTATTCTTAATTGGTGCCAAAGGCCCCACTTTAAACAATAAAAAAAAAAGGAAGGTGGAGACACGATTTAGTTCTCACAGGCGGCGAAATCTTATTGGACGAAGGTGATGTTACAAAGTGGCCGACTGGGGGGGCTTGTATTTAGTCCTCTGTGCCCCGTTGGTCTGCTGAGGACAGCTTCCCGAGCGTGGTGAGGAGGTTTGGACGTTTTTTTACTCGGTGAAACCATGAGCACCTTTATGATTATTTTTCTGTAAAATCTGTTTACATTTCCAATCATGGCCTGTGATGTAGAGGGTCAAACGGTGGATTTTAATTTTCCACCTAGCTTTTTTCTAAATGGTGCTTTAATGAATAATGTCAGTCTATCACCTTTGCCCTTCTTTTCTTCATTGTAGGGCTTCAAGATGATTTCTCCGTTGTGTATTTTGGGGTCGGTTTGCTGTCTAGTGCTTCTCCCTGGTTAGTCTTCATCTCTCACATCTTCCAATTGTTTTACACTCTGGGACAGAGCTTCCACTAAACAGGTTTTCTTCTCTTACAGGCCTCTCAGAAGCCAAATCCTTGTTGAATGCCATCAAGCAGGAAGGTGGGTCAAGATTAAAGATGAGAACATTCTCTTTTCCTTGCTGAAATTCTGCTTTTTAAGCGGCAGAGCTTCATCTCCTCTTTCCACAGAGATGGTCCCGGTGAGCCATGTTAACATCGACTCAGAGAAAGCCAACAGCTTTCTGACTCACTCCAGGCCCAAGCGGAACGTGGACCCCCGGTGGTACAGAACGACCCCGGACTTCCAGGCTTACTACAGATACTACAGCAGCATCGGGCACACCGAGGGGGTGAGACGCAAAGCTGCTTCTTTTTTCAAATCCTCTTTAAAAAGTCTCACAGCTGCGGCACTGGTCCATTCAGATTTCAGCCGATCAGTTTAAGTTCTGATTTAATCCACACCGCAGCCCTGAGGTTGTTGATCTGACCTTAAACAGCTGTTTTCTATCAACCAGATGGTTGATAAAAGGACTCAGATTTCCTTTCAGCTCAGACGTGATCGTAGAATGTCCTGCAAGAATTTATGGCAATTTTTTTACGACATAGTATTGTGTGGTTGGTTTTAGAGAGTTTGCAAATCAAATATTGGTTTATAGAAGAAAAAGAGTCCATAATTGTAGAAAGTGTGGTGAAATGAACGTATGAGGAATGTTGAGACTCTGTTGTTGTTTCTGGACCTCAGCTGTATGAGATCGACAAGCTGAGGATGCTGTACCAGCAGATGAGGTACCTGGAGCAGACCTACGGCCCCGATGCCGCTTATTACCAGAGCAAACTGGGGGTGCCCACGGCCATGTGCGACCCGGCCACCGACAAGAAGTGCAAAGCGCCCCCTGCCCCGCATCCCGTGAAAGGGGTCCCGGCGACCCCTCCTCCTCCCCTTATAGCCCCCAGCATTTCCCAGGCCGACGTCCTGTACCTGTGCAACCCCAGGGACCCCCTCTGCAAGCCCCACATCGTCTACCTGCCCAGCGGTGCCGTGCCCGTGCTGTGCGACCCCCGCTACCACCCCCACTGCACGCCCCAAAAGGCCCCCCCTCCTCCCATCGTAGTCAAGCATCCTCCTCCTCCGATGAAGAAGTCTGCCCCACCCCCTCCGGTGCTCGTCAAGAAGTCCCCCCCGGCCACTCTCCGTGTCTTCAAGGGGATGGAGTACGACTGCGACCCCTACTGGGACCCCGACTGCCTGATCGACCACCCCCCCAGGCCCGTCAAGGGGAAGGTGCTGGTCCCAGCACCACCACCTCCACCCGCCGAGGAAGAAGAGGAAGAGGAGGAACCTGCAGAGGAGCCAGAACCTCATCCTCCCAAAGAGAAGAGGCTGACCGCGTACCCGTACCCTTACTACTACCCTCACCATCCCTACGACCCCAGAGATGAGCTGTACGACCCGGCCCGCTTCCAGTACCCCCAGCCGGCCGACCCCGCTGACCAGCCGGCGGAGGACAGCCCCTGAAACGTGCAGGGGGGGGGTGTCAGACTCTGACTGAAAAACGTTGATCCAGCTTGTACAATCGCTTTGAGTGTTGGTGTGATTAAGTAGTCAACGTATTGTATTTATCATCACCGTCAGCATGTAAAGAAAAAAACAAGTGTTATTCAGTCAATCCTTCTTGTGTTATCTGACAATAAAATCCGACTAAAGAGTTTTTCTTTCAGTTAATGGGTTGAATTTAATTTTTTTTCTTTCGTTTTTTGGGTAAAAGGTGCAAGAAGACATTAAAAAGGTAGCTCCTGGTGCCACATGGCAGGTAAAAAAAAGGCTTTTAAAGTACCAGCTCACAGGCTGGGGATCATTATGTCTGCTTCCACTGCATATTTAATACCCAAATAAACTCCTGTTGTAAGCTTGAGACCGAAACAACGCTGCCCCTTGGTCCAGTCAGCAGTCAAACAGCAGGAGAAGCACTTCAAAAGCCGCTTTAACGGCAGACAATAAACCTGCAGCTCCACGCAGCAAACTTAATGAGCTCATTTAAAAGTGCTGCCCTGACATTTCTGTGTTTCTGTATAATTACTGTAACATGTGCGGCGTAGTCACCATCCTACGCTCAGAGATGGGAAGACTCAAAATCCCATGAAAAACAGCAGATCATTTATTACATAGAGAAACATGTACAATAAAACAAACTGGGTAAAATGAGATAACGTTCATGAACGGTGGATTCATTACGGCGCATACCCAAAAAAAGTGGAGAAATTCTGTATGCATCTCTGTCGGATGTGTGTTATCAAGTGCTTTTAGATACACTTGTGGTTCAAAACGGTGAACTGGTTTGAGAGGCTGCTGTTGTATTAAGAGTATCGTCTAGCTGATCAGAATAGAAACCAAAAAAATACAGAAAAAGAACACAGAAGAAAATGCAGCATGTTGGCTCTCGGTCAGCTCAAAAGAAAAGTCCTCTCATCCTCCGGCCGATGCCCTGCCTGTCGTACAGGACGTTGAACTTGTTGATGAACTGGTTCATACTGTTGCAGGTCTTGGTGATGGTGCCTAAGTAAGCCATGAGGCCCACGTCGTTACATTGCTGCAAGAGAACAGCAAGCACAGAGGCGGTCAGCCGCAGTGGGACGGGCAGCACAAAAGATTCTAAGCCATATAAAATCCTACAAAGAAAACTAATGTATATAACAAACTTTTTTTTAAAAAGAAGAAAAAAATAGAGTTCACAGCAGGCATTTGTTTTAAACAAATGTCCTCTTTGCTCGGTTTAGAATTATAATCAGAAGGTTCTGTAATACATTAGTTTAAAAGACTTTAAGTTATATATTGGCTATAAGACCTTTAAATCCGAGCACATGCATTTGAAAGTGCTGTGAACTGGTGCTCAGCCTGGACGCGTCTTCAAAAAACCCATGTTGAACAGCTCTCTTCCTTAAATGCCCAATCTACATGAGTTTGATTGAATTTTTGAGCTGCAGGACTTTTTTTTATTAGCATTAAATAGCTCTTTATAAAATCAGAGCCAAAAAAGCACAAATGTTCTCTTTCACTAAAATTATACATCAAAGCACAAATATGTGCCGTATGGCTAACTCAGTGATTAAAGTATTTGACTGAATTCTGTCTTTTGAAATTCTGAGGCCGGAACTCTAAAGCCACCATTCCTTCCCCATTTTTTTTTTTAATCCTCAGAAATCTCTCCCTACTTGTGCATAAATTATTTCCTTAATGTTTATTTCAAACTGATACAGGTCAGGCTTAATTCCAGACAGCTTATTTCTGCTTTTAATGCTGTCATGGCCCCATGAAAAGACACTTCTACTTCACATCAACTCGTGTTGTGTTCGGGGAACTTACGTCATAGAAGTCTGTTTTGAATTTGATGGTGCTGAGCACCGGCAGTCTGTGGCACAGGGCGTTTGCTTCTCGAAGGATCTCGTGGTTGAATGGCACCTCTCCTGTGACACGCACAGCAGACAAAAAGGAGCAGAACACAGAAAAATGGTCCCGTGAGATGACGCTGTCACATAATATCGGACAGGAGCCTTTAATTACAGAGGCCTGTTTGAGCGTGTGAAGGCAAAAGAAGGAGAGGAAACATATTCTTTGAGCACAGCTGTTCAGCCAATCTATTTTCACATTCTTACGCCTCAGAGTCCCATAAATGAGTTCTCTCACCTGCTTCCACAGCTTTGACGTACTCTAGAATGATCTTCACTCGGCTGTGGAGCATCTTTATCGCACTGTGCTGCGCTATAAGGTGTTCGGCCACTAAGGAGAAGGAGAAAAAAACAGTCAAGTGAAAGTGTTTATTCTCCAGCAGGTCATGTGCTGACCGATGACTGAGCAGATGTTTTCACCTTAACCGCCTCAGATCGAAAATAGAAGGAACTCACATCAAAGCCCTTTTGACTCTTTACGGGTGGATTCATTCATTTTGTTTAAGCAGAGTCGCAGTGGTGTGTGAAAACTACAGGGAGCGCATGTGGCTTTAGTTAGAGAGGTTAACCGCCCATCAGAAAATTGGCACTTCGATGGTTTGCTTCCAAAAACCAAATGCATGTGTCCTGGATATGTACTGATTTTGGGGCAGCATACATTAATATTCACATTCACAGTTCTTTTCTATAGAAAAAAGCTCAGAGGAGCTCTTCAAAACCACCAGCATTCATTGCACATTATAGCTTGGTTTTGAAAAGACTCATGTATGATTTTAGCTGGACCACATTAAGTGTTTGTTTGACTAATACAATTATTGCTTATTTGATCCCCATATCATGTAAATGTGTTAACATAAAGAATGTAAATGTTTCCGGTACTATTATAACCTGACAGGATCAGCTAATATTTCTATTTCCTCTGACGTTCCTTTGACATTCAACAGGAGGCGCCAAAAAGGTGAGCACTCTAAAAACATTGTCCGAGGCCCACTCACCGGTTGAATTTTCTCCGGTGCCAGTGGCGGTCATTCTTGCTACGTGGTCAACACCAATTCTCTCTGCTTCCTCTGTGGCCAGAGTGTACGTCAGTTCAGCAAACAACATGGTAGCCTAGATTTTGTTGAAAGAAAAGAAAATGGTAGGATGTGAACAATCAGGCTGCTGCAGCAACAGCGACAAGCATTTGGATTAAATTGGGTTTAACTCTACCTCGCCACTGATGATGTCAATAACAGACTCATAAACACTAACAGGGAGCTGCAGGAGAGAAGGACACCGATCAGTCAAAAATCCATCTGTACCACTGCTTTCTCCTTGGTGTGAAAACGGAGACAAACTCACATCGGTGTGTTTAGTCATTGGGTTGAGCTTGAGAAAGAGAGGGCTCTCAATGATCTCGCACACCTGGAAGGAAAAGACATATTCCTGTCTGATGTTCATCTTTACATTAAGGCTCTTTATTTCTTTACTTTAATGGTCAGTTTGAAGCTCCAACCAGCTGACGTTCTCGGTCTTAGCTGTGCCAGGCCGAGATTTCGTACCTGTTTGTGGATGTGGATGTCTGACTGGTCAGGGGGACCACCTGTGGTATACCAGCCCAAGAACTCCATCTCTTTGAAGACCTGTTTAACTGGAAGACAATGGTGCATTTATGATAGAAACTGCACAAGACAAAATAAACAGTACAAATACAAAATATGAATGATTTATCAACAAATATATTCTCCTATTGGACACATTGCATCACCTGTTTAACTCCAATCAACTCCCAACCAGTGAAACTAGCAATGCTTGTAAGCTCTCTTTGGTAACCGGAAGATCTTTTTAAAAAAAACACATTTACTTATTCATTATCATGAATGTTATTTACAAAATAGTTATACTGAATGCTCAGTAATGGTATAATATATCTAGGCAAAAATAAAGGTCTACCAGTTTGGTTTTTGAGTTGTTCAAAAAGTCCCTTGAGAAAGTATTCTCAAAACAGCATGAATTGAATGAAATCATGACTGGTTGGACATTTCATATAAACATGTAACATATAACATCCTCATGCATTTACTATACTAAATAATTAAACCCCACTTACATTGTTCTTCCTTAGTGTAGTAGTACTCTTTGTCAATGTGGACTTTTTCATCTACGGTGTGAGACATCAATTCAAAAGAGTTCATCACCTCAATGTTTCTACCCTCTTGTTTCCCGATCAGAGCTCCAATCACTAAAAAGAGAAAAAGCATGTTTCCACGTCAGATGACACTTTCAATGGTTCCAATTGGTTTACTGTTTCTTTCTATTTACAGTAAAAATGTGTAAACAGATGTTAAGAGCTAAAACAGTATAAGAAATATCTGTCCATGTCCAACAAAGACAATAACAATAAAAGCCTGGCGTACGCAGCCTGAGCTGCCTTTCAGAGCAATGTGGATTCAAAGCCTGAAATTCTGAGCTGCTAACAGCCTGCCAAAAGCAGTTTTACCTTCTTTAAATCCAGAACATATGAGCTAATCCTGCAAAATACACACCCTGCATTGGTCGGCCCTCCTGTGAGCGGATGCGTATCCAGTGGTCAGATATGTTGAGGATGACCAGAGGGTGTAAGGCCACAGAAACGCTCCCGGTGACTCCTGAGGCCATGACACTGGGGCTGGCTGCAGACACAGACAACATGGGCTTCAACTGGACAGCAGATAGAGTGTGCGGAAAACTATTTGTGCAAATAGTTATGAAATTAAGACAAGGTTTGTAATATTCTAAACATGAATATTGGTTAACAGAAAATCCCCACTGTTTGTTCATCAAAATTAAATCACTGACTATATTTTGAGTTTCATGTTTTTTCTTCTTATGTACGAACTAAGAAGCTGAAACTTTCTAGAGATGATGGTAATGAAAGACAAACTAATCTCTGGTAATCTAGTAAGAATATTGATTATTTTCTTTTTTTTTTAAATCAGATAGCGCACAGACCGTTTACCCATGTAGTTTATTTAGGTATTAAGAAAGCTAAACAATAGGGTGTTCCCCAAAGGCCGTCCTTTTGATGGATTTGGATTTATATAGTAGCCATAAACCCAGTAAGATAGCACAAACAGAACAGAAAAGAGACAGCACACCAAGAGTGATGAATTTCTGACAGCTTCAGAGCTGTGAACGTTAACCCGCTTATGTCAGCAAGCTCGCAGCAACCTTACCACCTTCAACCCCGCAAAATATTTACACAAATATATATTACACGAATGTGTAAGACATATGGCAATCTGCACGCACATTCTTGATAATGTCAGGCACATATAATAGTATAATTGATAAACACTTGCCTGCCCCATCCACTTCCATTCCTCCACCATTGCTGGTCGCCATCTTGTCCGGTAAACTGCGCAGGCGCAGTGGACTGTTCACCCAACGAACATATGGCAATATCGCCTCTCAGGATGTTTTAAAATATCCTGTACCAAAGAGCTTGTGTCTTGAATTTCCCAGCGTTAATTGAAAGTAAGTCGATACAGATCTCGACACACCACATTAAGCAAAAAGAAGCATATCCAATTGCATTATTATACTAACGTTAAGTCCAACAACAGCAAAGCAGCTGTTTCCGGGGGGATTGCTGATTTGGGCGCAACGCGTGTGCGCAAGGATATAAGTCCGTGTCAAAGGTTTGAGAGTTTTGTTTACAAAATGGATGAATTTAAAACCTGTAACCTGGACTACTTTCCCGAAAACATTTTAATAGATGTGTTGTCCTACTTGAGCGTCAGAGAGCTTGTCAGAGCTGGGAGGTAAGATTTTTTTATCTTGCCAACAGTATTTTAGCAGTCCTTTTTAGTCTAGAACAAAACTCAGTCTTTCCTTTGTTGTGACCCCTGTCGCATGAATGAGTTTTTGTCCTTGTTGTTTTTTCCCGTTGTTTTCAGAGTGTGTAAGAGATGGAAACGCCTTGTTAAAGACCAAAGACTGTGGAGAACGGTCGATCTGACCGCATGGAAAGGGGTAAGGCTATTTCTGACACAGTGGTTTTTGTAGTTTTCTTTTCGGACACACCAGAATGGATTTCTTTTTTACAATATTATGAACAACATGAGCATAATAAAAAACATTTTATACCGTCTGTCAAACAAAGAAACCCACACAACTCCTCATACACGAAATTGTATGTGACAATTACACTATTGCTAATAGCTTTGTTCAAACTTTACAAATGTCTTTTCTTTACAAACCATTCGTCAGAATTACTGGCATACCTGAACTGGAATCTCAAATGTTCAAATATCTTTGAAAACAAAACTCAAATGCATTGACTTTACAATATGTTCAAAACAGTAGCACTGACAATAGCCTCCTTATTCAATTCAGTGGTAGTAATTAATCTAAATAGTAGTAGATATAGTCCTGTATTAACAAACAACTCAACATATTAAAAAGACAACTTGATATAATATTTGAACTGTCTAATGTTCTATAGTCATAAAACTGTAGTAACACTGAGTTGAACGAAGTAGGATAAGATACTAAACTCAGAAGTCTGAATGCTGGCATGTACTGTGGATACCAAAATTGAAAAAACTAATACCCATACTTGTATAGAATAAAGTTCATAGGACTAGGGCACCAGATTGCAGTGTATCATTTTGTTAAGCAGGATAATACAATTGTCCACACAGATGATAATAAACTCCCTCTATTAGCAAATTATCATCCACTCAAAGGGGAGTCAAAAGTTGTCTTATATGGACACTTTTAGCAGGATAATGAGCCTTAGCACTTGCTCTTCTTTCAATCTCTATATACACTTCGTCCGATTTTGGGCCACAGTATAAGTGAAGCATTTTCTCAGCAGTTTTTAGGAGAGGCAGGCACCACTAAGAGAGAAAGACAGTTGTGGCAGTTCTGATTCAACAAGTTTGACGTATCAACCAATATTACACAAATTTGTTTTGTGTAATATTTGTTTGCTTACAGCACAGTGTGCCAGTTATCCTGACGATAACGTATCTAATTTTGAAACTCCTTAAAGTTTTAGGCTTTTTAACACATCCTGTAACTTATTTTGAGATACTGTTCTGTTTGAAATATGCTCCTCAAATAAACTTTGTTCCTTCTCTTTTTGTATATTTGATGTATGTAAGTACAGTTGTTCGGACAGAATGTTTCTCATTTTGCCTCCCCTCTCCCAACATTAACATACACGTGCATGGACTGTCCACTGTGTGTTAGGTGACATCCCGCATCCTTTGGGTCCTGCTGCGTCAGTACCTGGGTTGCGGACTAAGGTGCCTTCGTTTGCGTGGTTTGCTGCTCTCTGCCAGAGGCGGCACCTTTCTCTCAGAGTCGTGGCTCAAAGCTTTGTCCACTAGATGTCCACGCCTGAGTAAGCTCTATCTTCTGCATGCAGACCTGAGAGGCCTGCCTAACTGTCAGATCCTACCTCCCACTTTGCGGGTCCTGGAGTTGAGAGGCTGTGAGCTGCCTCGTGGTTTTTTTAGCCAGAACCTGCCGGGTTCTCTTCCTTCCCAAGAAAGAGCCGAAGCCACATCTAGTGTTGGCGCACCACAGCAAGGAAAGGGTCAGAAAGGAAGAGGACTCGGATCTCCTTCGGGCACTGGCATTGAGAGGCTAGTCCTCAACAATGTGCCCTCTTTCACAGACCAGCACCTGCAGAGTCTCGCGTCGTGGGAGAGGCTCAGTCGGTTAGAGTTACGTGACGCCTTTCGCGTGACAGCAAACGGGCTCAGAAGCTGTGCGGCCAAAGATGGCCTCTCTGGTCTGGAAGGGCTTTCAAGGCTGAAGTTCCTGGAAATAGGCATCACGGGACGGCAAGGTTACCAGTTACAAATGGCGTCCCTCGGGCTGGGGGCAGGATGGCTGGGCCTGGAGGAGCTGAGCCTTGGTGGTAAAGAGGTGGGGCCCGGCCTGCTCTGCGCCAGCCGGCTGAGGGACCTGAAGCGCCTGTGCCTGTGGGCCTGCACCCTCAGCGAGCTGCAGATAGTACGGGGCTGCAGGATGCTCCGTGGACTCCGGCAGCTGGAGTTTTTGGACGTGGTCTTCCAGCCGAGGCAGAGTCCCCCAGTGGAAGAAGGGGAGGGGGACGGCGGAGAGCAGCAGGATGGAGAGGAAGCTGCCGCTCCGGAAGCAGATAATAATGAGGAGAACAGGACAGGAGAGTCAAACGATCCTTTTCCAAATCTGCGTCGCTCCCTGGCTGTCCTGCTGCCCTCTTGCGCTGTGGTTTTCACTAACTGCTCAGTTCAAGTGAATGCCGATTAATGGAGCTGTCCACCACTACTTGTCTAAGTAGTCGGCATGCTGAAATTTTTTTTGTGGGCCAACCGTTGCTCAGGAGTGGGAGCGGACCAGGTCATCTTACTGGAAAGTTTTCCAGCTCCCATATGCTAAAGTGTCCTTGGGCAAGATGTGGAACCCCACAGTGGGGGTGGTGGGAGGGTTGCTTTTAGTGATCAGCAGGACCAAAACTGCGGTCATTTTTTAATTTCACAGAGGCCTGCCTAAGATTGTCCATAGCCCATATGAACTAATATTAAGTATGCATTTGGAAATTATGGAAAATTATAGATTTTTCTTTCTTTTTTTTTTTTTGAGACACACACGAACCAATCAATGAGAACTCATCTGCTGGGGGAAAAAATCAGGCTAGATAATCTTACATTTTTCGTACTTTAGAAAAGCAAAATGTAATTGAATATTATTAATATTTCTGACACTGCATGTTGTGTTTGAATTAGATTACAAAATTGTTGATTAATAAAGTAACCTGTGATTGTCTGGTGTTTGCATATGAAATGACTTCACATCGATGTAAACATCATGGAAAAAATAAACAAACCAGAATTCTTTTGCTTTTTTTTGCCTTATTGACTTATGTGTTAAATGAAGAGCTACCATATTGTAAATACAATTTTTATATGTAAGACAGGTTGCCTCATTTAAGTCATACAAAGGGGAAAATAATTTATTTTTTAATGTTCTTTTTTTAAAACTTTTAAACATGCAACAATTTGACTGTCAGTTCTTGACTGTCTACACGTATGCAGATGTTGACTAAAAAGTCAAAGATCTGTACCAAACTGTGAGACACATCCACCTGTTTCCTGTGCAACTGTTTTTTAACATTCAGAGAACATGGGTTTGACTGGCAGGTGATGAGTTGTGGTGATGCACAGCATGACTTATTACAGTTTAATCCCCATTTCCAGTTCTTGATCTCCGCTGTCATTTCAAATGTAAACCAAGAAATGGAAAGTGCTAATGTTTGTATATCATGTGTGATTGCTTTGGACTCTGTTACATTAAGCTTCATCTTGTAAAGGAGAAATAGTTTTGAATAAACTTATTTTGAGTAACTAATTCTTGAAATATGTTTTTTCTTATTGTATATTTAAAATGGCTCATAATTGGCACTCTAAATATGTTTGGCAATCCATTTTTGCTTTGGATTATTTATCAATATGGTGCTTTTAAATGCTGGAAAAAACAAAGTCTACAAAAACTGATTAAGATTAAAATTATGCTCAGCTCATATCTTAGAAAGCAATGGACTCGATATGCATTTAAGAAATTAGAACAGTTAAGATAAAAAAAAAACAGTTTAGAAATGGATACATTTCTAGAGGTGAAATACTTTATAAAATACAGAAGACGTGGTGGTATTGCAGTAAACAGTGGGAATGAAATGGGGGGCGGGGGGTAGTTTCAAACTGCCTAAAACAGCCCAAAGCATAAAAATTACTCTGAAAAGTGCATCAATAGGATCTTTGACTAATCAGTAGGATGAAACATAAATAAATTCAGGTTAGAGACAAAGAGCCTTATGACCATTGTCATAATCAGCTCTCCATGTCACAATTTGAGAAACACAATGACATTTTAAAAATAAAACATGACTCAATTAAACACTGAGAACCACAAAGATTGCTGCTTGTAGGAAAGAAAAATATCACTTTACTTTTATTCCTCCCCCCTTAGCTTTGCTTTAGAAATAAAAAATATATTCGAAAAGTCGATATTATTCTAATGTATGTTGCGTATTCATTGTCAAAAGTATATACTGTACTATATTGCACTACTCAATCAATAAAGATTGTGGGGGAAAAACGTGATGAGATGTCATTATTTGACAAAAAAAGGAGGAAACAGGGAATAACCATTGGGCGGTAACAGTTCTTTTCACCAATCATATCCTTCCTTTTCCTGTCTGTTTGAACAAAACGAACGCCCTATTGGTGGCTAACCAACCAACCACGGTCCTTCGAACTTGCATTTTGAAAACGTTGGCGGCTGATTTTTTTTTTTAAGAACGAAGGAAAAAAGAAAGAAGGAAACGAAGGAAAGAAGAAGTTTTTTAAGAACGACTGGACATCCTACGTTATTTATTTAAACAATTTTTAACCGAATACGATGCAGGTAATATGTTTTTTTTTTGTTAAAAAGTCTGCCTCGAATTGTCACCAGTTTAAAGCTTAGCACGACCTCTTTGGGGGCATGACATGAGCTAACGTTAGCTTATCTTGTGTTCGCTAGCTTACTTTGCTATAAAACAACGTTTGCCTGAAATGGAAAAGATTCATTTAGTTGGATTTATATTCGAGTAATAGTTACTGTAAATAAGCAGAGTTGTTTTCTGTTAGATCATGGAGAGGAGTTTGAGCTCCGTTTTAATCGTATTTATCTTCAGAGATCGACCACTGAGTGTTTTCATTGTTTGAAAAAAAGGAATTCAACTTCATGGGTTTGCTGTACAAATGGGACTTCTACCAACATTCAAACTTTTGGCAATGTTAAATGGTAACTATTTTCCATGCAGTAAAACTGAATATAACAGCGGCATTAAGGATAAAGAACAGCCACTTAAAGAAGATGTCAGAATATCTGCATGCTCTACTGTTCCATATGGTATTTCGTCTGAAATCAATTTTGTTGTTCCATCTTGACCAGGACCTCTTGATATAAGATTACAAAAAATCTCAGATACCTGGAGCCCTGTACATAAAGTTTAACTGTCTTTGCAATGTTGACATCTATCTGAGGACATGGCCATTTCAATAAATGCACAATGCTCTGGCCATCCGTAGCTTAAGGATGACAGTCAAAACAGTCTGGAGCTACTGTGATTTCATTAGAGCTGTTTTTATTTATTTACAGAATAAAGAAAATTATGAGCCCAAGGGTCTCCAAAGATCGGTAAGTAGTTGTAGCTGTTAAGTTCCAGTGGTGAACATTAAATCAATACATTACACCACATTAGGGTTTTACTCATTAGTGATTTATACCTTTTTTATGGTATGTCAAAGTCAGTTTTATAGTCAATTCTTCACGTGTGCTAGACATACAAAGGAATCAAAAACCAACTCACCATCCCAGGTGGTGATAAGACAAAAGTTGCCTGACATAGGACAGACCTATCCTAACACAAATTAGAATACTGACATGTGTAAAGTAGAATCTAATAAATAAAATGCACAGCTGTAAGAGTCAGTGGGAACAGAGGTGGTGTGATCAAATGTTTTGGTTGAAAACATTCTAATTGGTTTATTCAATGCTTCTGTTTTTTCTTGCCCTGTGTTGGTTTTCTTAATGAATCTGAGTGGTTTAGCCAAGCATGACGTGCAGTCAATGAAAGTTTTACAAAGCAACTTTTTCCGTTTGCTCCTAAAACCAGTTCGCAACCCCAAACACGGGAGGGCCTCAGCGTGTGCTGGTGAAACCACGAGCGGACACGGGGGTCAAAAACTCTGTCACAGGTAACGTCTTCCACCCTGTATACAGCAGGAATCTCTGTACGGCTGCATGGATGCTTTTGTAGCAAAATGTTGACTGGAAATGAATCTGTTTGCCACTTGCTGTCATTTGATGAAAAGTTATCATTTTCTTTCCTGATTTTAACATTTGATTGCAGCCTTTGCAAGAAAGCTTGTTGACATTCCCCACTGCAGAATGATGCTGTTTGTTTTTAAATAAACAGTTAAACCTGTTTAGACACAACTGGAAATCTGTAATTTGTGATTTTTTTGTTGTCGTTTTTAGGTCCTGGGAGAGAATGTGTGAGCTCTTCTTCCAGTTCTCCACCCAAGTAAGTGTTTCAAAATACTGTGTTCTCTGGAGTGTGTATGTATATAAATATTTTTTTTATTTTTTTCATCAATTGATTTGATTAGTTTTATTAAATATCTTTTTCCTTTAAAACAAAAAAAGGAAACTTTCAATTGATGACTTCGACATCGGCCGTCCACTTGGAAAGGGGAAATTTGGCAATGTGTACCTCGCAAGGGTGAAGAAGCTGGACGCCATTGTGGCGCTGAAGGTTTTATTCAAGTCGCAGATGGAGAAAGAAGGTGTGGAGCATCAACTCAGGAGGGAGATTGAGATTCAGGCCCATCTCAAGTTAGTACCTTGTGTTTTCACCATGTCTTATGTGTTCACGTTGCTCTGTTTGCTCTAAATTACTGTACCTATGAACCTCATTAAGGTGTCTCGGGCACAGAGGGCATGATCACATCACTTATATTACTCATACTAAGCAATTTCCAGGGAATGTTTTAACTGATAACTGTGAACTTCTGATCAGAATGTAGTTTCTTTGAATAGAATTTTATAACTTATCACACGATATGACAAATTCAAGCTCCACAATTTACTTGTTTTGCCCTACCTAAAGGACTGATGATTTTGATAGTTCCAGCCCGTGTCTTGTGAAAAGTTTGGTGCCAAACAGAAATGTTGATGTTGATTTTTTGCCTTAAGTGTTATTGAATTATTATACTTATTTTTTTATTTTCTTGATTAGTTTATTTATTTTCTATTCAACAGGCACCCAAACATTCTTCGCTTCTACAATTATTTTCATGACCGCAAAAGGGTGTTCTTAGTATTGGAGTACGCTCCGCGTGGTGAAATGTACAAGGAGTTGCAGAAATACGGCCAATTCGATGATCAGCGTACTGCCACGGTGCGTTCAGAGCCACATTTGTTCATTTAGACTCACACTGACAGAAAATTGCTCGAATGTTTTTCTTTGTTTTTCCTTATGTAAACTCAATTTGATTTGCAGTACATGGTGGAGATATCAGATGCTCTAATATACTGCCACGAGAAAAAAGTCATTCATCGTGACATCAAGCCAGAGAATCTGCTTCTTGGCTATCGTGGAGAGCTGAAAATAGCTGATTTTGGGTGGTCTGTTCATGCGCCTTCTCTGAGGTGAGGAACCAGAGAAATCGCCTCATATTTTGTTACAGACTCTGTTTGTATTTCTGAGGACTGCCACATAAGTGCATCAGCATTTCATGCTCATCACGTAATTGACCTTTCCAGGCGACGCACTATGTGCGGGACACTAGACTACCTTCCCCCAGAGATGATCGAGGGACACACCCACAGCGAGAAGGTGGACTTATGGTGCATCGGAGTGCTCTGCTACGAGTGCTTGGTTGGAAACCCGCCTTTTGAAACCAACAGTCACAATGAAACTTATAAACGGATTACGAAGGTTGGTGTTTGTATCAGATATATACTCAGTCTGTTTAGTTCAGTTCAGTATTCAGCAACTCCCACCAGCATTTATTAAATGTTCTGTTCAGTGGCAAATTGTTATTTACTGGGTAGAAATGGACCATTTCAGATATCTAAATTTTACACGGCTAATCAGTTACCCAAAAATAACTTCTTATGGATAATAATGTATTATATGATACCAAAAAGTTTCGGCCATCTTTAAAATGTGGTTCTTTTTGTTCCTTTACATGTTTTTAGAACAGGACCTAGAACAGGAACTTTAGAGTGATAACTAACTGCTGCAATAAAAGTGAAAAAATCAACACTGGCTCAAATTTAGTTGTGCTGATAAATACATTGCATACTTTTTCACAGGTGGATCTGAACTTCCCAGAAGTTGTCTCTGATGGCGCACGAGACTTGATCTCCAAGCTGCTTCGTCACAACCCCATCGATCGCCTCCCTCTGCAGAAAGTTATTGACCACCCGTGGGTGCGTGCCAACGCTCACAGACTCCTTCCTCCAACCTGCCCCTCAAAGACATCTTAAGCCCACCTGGAAAACAGTACCTCCCTCCAAAGGAGTTTTATCTGTCCTCCAAAAGAGACTCTTGGCCAGCGTGAATTCATTCGATTGCTATGCAGAGGAGGTTTTCAGTTTGTTTTTATTATCATACATGATACAGGTAACGGTATATGGTTTCTTAAAGTAAACAAAACCTGAATCTGAGGACTTCTTCACAGGATGCGTTTAAGATAACAGTGGATCAGTTATCAGAAAAAAAATGCATATTATTTTTCTATCACTTGGTAAATCGTTCATACTCTTTTAAACATGCATATTCACTTTTTATTTTAAAGTTTGTATATTGTGCTGTACTTATGTATGTACTTTCCTGTAGATGTCTTTGTTATCTCATTAGTAAAACTTTTAAAGATGTTTGTGCTTGCAGTGGCATTGACACCAAAGTACTACTGCTAAACTGTTTAAAGCAAGTACATCCTCCAGTTGCTAAATATTATGTTTTTTGCTTGTTTTAGAGAGCATGTTTTATTTTTTGGTGTTTCAAATTTCCAATGAATATTATTAAATGATTTCTATTTCACACTAAATGTTTGTTGGTATCGAGGCTGTATGCTGTGATGCTCGGGTATTTATCAAAAGTTCACTTTTAGGAGTTAAGGTGCTTTTGGCTTAAATAGAAGTTAATCACGGCTGCCATTTTGTTAACTTGTAAACACTACAAGGAGTAAAGTAATCCATGTCGGCCAATTCTTATGAGGCAATAAAACAATCCGAATCTGACCAGTAAAACAAACAGAAACAGAGATCGGCATCGCCTTTGATGATTTTTTTGCCGTCTGGTCAGCTGGACGCATGGTAGCGTGGCCGAGCGGTCTAAGGCGCTGGATTAAGGCTCCAGTCTCTTCGGGGGCGTGGGTTCGAATCCCACCGCTGCCAACACTTTTTAGAAATGTGACTTAATATCCCTTTCTTATACTCATTCTACACGAAATCTATTTTAGCTAGTATTTTTCAAACATAGTCCTCCGATTAGCGAAGCAAAGTGCTATAACGTCCACTAAGAACTGTTAGAACGGTAAGCGTCAATTTGCCGCAAGATGGTGCCAGTTCAACAGAAACGTTGAAGGTTTCAAAATCTTTACCACCCAATATGGACATATCACTATAACGTGTACGCAAAATGTTAAACTTCAACATCCTTTTCCTCCTCGTTGACAAACGCGCAGGTACATACCCATCATCTTACGAGTTTTAAACATTTTTCCTTGCTCATTTTAAACTGTTGCTTTTCTCTTTAAAAAAATTCGTTTAAACTTTTCCGGGTCATTCGAAGTGCTTGTATTCTGTGGGTGAGTATTTCCGGTTCAGCCATGTTTTGAACGCCGTTACCCAAAACACAAGTTTATGCGTTCCGGATCAGATATTACCAAATGAATGGTCCCTATTTCCAGTTTTAGCCACTTAAACTAATTAGTAATATATTAAAGCATGGCTGGTCTACCACCGGGGGATCCGCAGCTGGTCGCAATGATCGTCAGTCATTTAAAAACGCAGGGTCTATTCGACCAGTTCAGGAGGGACTGTCTGGCAGACGTTGATACAAAGGTAATGGTCAGAATTGTCTTCACAAGGTCTCTCAAACTGTGTCTGAGTGTTCGGTTTTGGTTAGTAAAGCAGATAAATGTCTGAGAGTTTATTTGAAAGCGCTACATCTTTTTGACAGTTGTTTTGACGCCGAGGTTTTATCTATTTGAGCTACGTCCCAACTATTAACGTGTAATGAACAAACAGGGTTTTCTTTGTATTGGTAGAGGTCGTGTGTAGAAAATCCAATTGAAAAGACCTATACAGTGTAAAGTGTAAATCATTCCGGTCAGATTAATACTGTACTTTTTAGTTAAAGATTAATAAATTGCCACAGATGCATGTCGAGGTTTCTGCCTGACAGAGATTTTTTAAGTTGTGATTTTGTTTTAGAAATATATGTAAATGAAACAGTACTGCTATTTGTGTGTTTAGTTTCTAAACAATGTGTAAAAATCTTTTGCAGCCTGCTTATCTGAACCTGAAGCAGCGAGTGGACAACTTTGTGTCCAATCATCTCTCCAATCACACATGGAGCCCTCATTTGAACAAAAACCAGCTGAGAAACAACATCCGACAGCTGGTCTTACAGTAGGAAAAATACCCTCTATGCTTTAACACCCATTTTCATTTAATCAACCTTTACATGAAGGTTGCCCAGACTTACTTAAATTGTCTTACTCAGGTCCGGCATGCTGGAGCAGGGAGTGGACAGGATTGTGGCCCAGGTGGTGGATCCAAAAGTCAACCATATTTTTAGGCCGCAAGTAGAGAGGGTTGTGCGTGAGTTTTTGTCTCCAGGAAGTTGCTCTGAGGAGCCCCCAGCCCCTGTGCCTCCAGCAGAGGTTAAACCAGAGAACAGCGTCCCTGAACAGGGTATGAAGCATTCCTTTCTTTTCTTTTTCTGAAGAACTGGGCGGTCTGTTGTTGCCGGGCTACTTGTTTGATTTACTTGAATCATCAGTATTTACAGCATTAATATAATACGTTAATAGATATGTTTGGGTTCCTTTTTGACTCCCCAAAGGCAACAAAAAGTGAAAAAAGTGTCCTAACCTGAAAGAGCCTTCATATCCATCTGTTTGTATGTTTATAGCCTCAAGTTCGACTCCAACTGTCACAGCTACCAGCAATGCTATGTCCATCCTGGACACCATAACCACTCTCAACCAGGAGGCTAATGTCAGGGCCACCTCGGTTACTGAAAAACCCCGTAAAGGCCAAACACCAGATGACAACATGCACCTGATGGAAGATGTTGAGCTGGACCTGAATGCTGTAACTGAGGGTGACAGCAACCAAGACGGGAAGCCAGTGGAAGAGGCAGAAGAGACAAAAATGGAAGTCCAAACATCGGAAGTCAATTCAGAGGACATGCAGGAAGTGATAGAGCTGAGAAAAGAAAGGTTGACAGAAGAGGTTAAGATGGAAGAGGAGGAGCAGGAGACGGGCACTCAGGAGCAGACAGAGGAGGACAGAGACAAGCATGCAAGCAAAGTTAGTTGCAAAGCTCCAGAAGAGAAACAGGATGATGATGTGCTGAAATCTACTATGCAGGCCAAGCAGAAAGCCAGAGAAAGGATAAAAGAGGGTGAGCTACTGTGTACATTTTTAAATTTGGAGTAGCGTTACTGTCTTTATACTCCTAATATAAACAACTTGTGAAGAAATCTCAGTGTATCGAGTTGGCAGTTTTTCTTCAAAGATTTATGTTTTAATGCTATTTTCTCCACAAAGAAAATATTGGTTGGATATTTTAAGAATTTTTAAGCAAGAAAGGAAAAAATGAAAATGGATTGATGATGGCTTTAAATAACTATCCCAGCTGACTCATGTTTTCACGTTATCTTTGCTGAGCAGAATACTCTTTGGAGGACTCGGACTTGGATGGCCTCAGCGACATCACTGTGAGCTCTGTCCACACCAGCGACTTGTCATCTTTCGAGGAGGAAAGTGAGGAAGAGGACCAGCCATCTGATTCCTCTGAAGAGGGAGAGCTGCCAACAGATGGTCTCAACTGTCTCTTTCTGTTAAAGCTTTTGGCAGCTTCTGATCGTTTTAGGGCTGCTTGGTACATTTAAAACTCCAGATTTAAATTTTTTTAACTCTCATTCATCCCCAGACGAAGATGAGAGAGCAGAGAAGAAACTCTACAGCGGAGACACAGGAGATGAAGACAAAGAGCGCAAGCCTCGCCGCAAGGCTTATGTCCACAAACCGTTCCTGTACTCCCGTTATTATAGCGACTCAGACGATGAGATCACCGTTGAAGAGCGCCGTAGATCTGCGGTAATGGGAATGAGTTCATGAGCAGAAGAAAATGCAAGAAAAAAAAAAAAGTGCGTTACTGAGTGCTGAATGTATCTTTGTCATGGAAATGTTGTTGTAGGCAAAAGAGAAAGAGGAGAGGCTGCTGAAGAGACAGCAGAACAGAGAACGAATGGAGGAGAAGCGTAAACAGAAAGCAGCTCAGGCTGAAGAACAAGGTTTTTATCCATCTGCCGAGTCTCCTGTATATTGCTTTACCCGCTATCCTTCTGTCTGTCTCCATCTTTTCTCTGCATCTGAATGTTACAAAGTGTGCGATCAGGTTAAATTATGTTTTGGCTGAGTGGTGGTAACTAGAACTGATTGGTCTTATTGATGTGTTCATGTCAAGCCTGTTTCATTTTCTAGCTTTAGATTTGGCTTTTGTCGGGATGGCTACTTTAAAACATATAGAATCCCTTTAAATAATCCTGCTCCTGGTTTATAGCCTCACTTTGTATGTGAGATAACTGCATCATCCTTGATACCACCCACAGATCACCAAAAACAAAAGAGCACAGACTCTGCTGGGTTGGAGGGCCCCAAAGCCAAAGAGGCCCGCAAAGAAAGGAAGGTCCTGGAGAAAAAAATGGCACTTAGCAGGAAGAGGAAGCTAGACTTGAGGTGAGCAGACAAAAGTTCAGACAGTCGTTCCTTAAGGTGGACACATCTTGGGATATTTATGCACACTGAACATCTCTGGGAATATCACTTTTCAGGAAAGACGGAGAGGTCTCAAGTAAGAAGAAGGATGATACAGGAGACAGTGTCAAGAAAACGGTTTGTGAAATCATTCAGATGAGACAACATGTTTGTAACTGAGACCGAGTAACCAAGTATTTTTTTCTTTTTTTTAAATTAGGAAGTAAAATCCTCCGCCTTGAAGAGCCCACAGCCCAAACTCATGAGAAATCTATCAGAATCGACATCTGATGAGAGGCACAGACGAATGAGTGGCAGCGTGTCAGAGGACTCCAACGATGCCAGAAAGCTGGCGGACAAAAGCCGCACACATGCCTTCATCCTGGAGCTGGAACAGGGCTCCCAGGAGGCTCTCAAGCAACGTTCCTTTGGAAAGTTTGACCGTCTCTCCCGCAAAGAGCTTCAGTCTAAAGAGCGCAAAGACAAGGAGCGCAGCCTGTCTGATGAACGCCCCAAGCTCAAGCAAAAGCCGGAGAAAAAAGCAGACAATCCCTCAGATGAATCCCAAATGAAGGAGGTCACGGCTGTCACGCAGTCCTCTGAAGAAAAAGACCTGAAGAAGTCCAAGATCAAATGTGAGAAGAAAATGGCCACAAATACACGAGAGGGAAAGCTGACTGAAGGCATTGCTGAAGAGGGACTTTCTAAAGATGCCAAGAAGGTGAAGGCCGCATCTATAGACGCTGTTAAGGACAAGGAGAAGGACAAGGTTAAGGATAAAGAGAAGGTCAAAGAAAAGGAGAAAGCTAAAGGAGAGAAACCTCCAGCTAAATGTGATTTTAAACAGCTGCTTCGTCCAGATTCTGCCGGCTCCTCTGAAGATCACTCGGACATGGGGACTGCCCCAGACAGTGGCAAGAGGAGAGACAAACACTCCAAAGACATGTTGAAAAGGTCAAAGAGTCACAGCGAGGAGAGGGGTGGAGACAAACCCAAGCCGAAAATAGATGGCGAGAAAGAAAAGACAAAAGCAGATCAGGACAGCCAGAAGTTACACAGATCCAGCTCTGAAAGTGACAAAGATCCAAAAAGGGTTAAAGCGGCAGAGAAAGGAAAAGCACCAGAAAAATCCAAAGTAAAATCCTCAGACGACACCAAGATTCCAGTCTCATTAAAGGCCGACAAGAACATGAAGAGTCCAGATGTGAAAACGAGCGCCAGCAAAGCCGAGACGGCAAAGGAGAAGAGAAGGGACGCAAACCCGAAGGAGCAGCTCAGAGGTTCAGACGAACCTTCCCTGGAGAAATCGGAAGCAAAGAGTGCAAAGAAAAGACTGGAAAAGAGGGAGAAAGTTCCCGAAAAGAAAGATGACGGTCATGACGACCAAACCACTCCAAAAGAAGACAAACCGGAAACGTCCGATAAGCCCCCCAAGTCTTCAGCTCCCGCTCCGAGTCCCGACACGGAAGAGCCGCCAGAGAAACCAGCCGGTGTCCAGGAGTCCGACCCGGTCATCGCCACGGCCCCGCCCTCCCTCTCCGATGACGCTTTAAGTGACATCACCCCGGAGCCACCTGAGGGCGAGACGGAGTCGCGGCTGGGGGAGATTCCAGCGGTGCCGGCGGAGGCCGACGCCCTGCTGGCGCTCATGGACGTCTGCACCTCGGCGGAGGCCCGGCTGCCTCCAGAGTGCCGTCAGGAGGAGGCGGCGGCGGCCGAAATGGAGCGTCAGGACGCGGACATGAAGATGAAGGAGGCAGCCCTGACCCTGCTCTCCATGGACCCCGACAGCACAGTGTCCTCTGCCCTGATCTGCCAGGACGTGAAGGAGGACTCTCAGGCCTACCAGCCTGAAGCACCGCCGCCGGACGCCGCCGAGGGGGAGGAGCTGCCTCCCCCGGTGCAGGTCCAAGCAGCCTCTGGACCCGAGCTCGCCGACGCCCAGCCCGTACCTGCTCAGCCCTCTGAGGAAAAGCCAGACACTGCAGGTGGGTGAGAAGCGGCCACATGTCGGATCTGTCTAATCCATTCGTCATCTCGAAGTTAACTGCACGCATCTCTTTTCAGATGGGTCGGAACACTCGGGGGAAAATGTTGACACTCTGGAGATGGTAGCCCCTCAGGTAAACACATTTATTAAAAGAAACATTCTTGGTTTGCATAAACAATGTTCCAGTATTTGGTTTTATTAAATAGCTTATATTGAGGTTTAAATTTTGCCTCTAAAAAGGAAGGCGATGCTACCGCAAATACGTGCCAAATTGATTTGAAAGAGGAAGAGAGCAAAAGCGCAGACACTCCTCCCGAGACACAGCCAGGTAAAGAGGATTCTCTTTTTGTTTTGGAATCTTTCACTCTTTGTGTTTTTTGACAAAACTTAGATGATTTCTTCTGTGTGCATCAGCTCCTGTACTCGTTGATTTTTTACTTGAATTTATTAGATTTTAAAACTTTTTTTTTTATGGCTGTAATATTAGAACCGGAGATCAAAGGAGTCCCAGAGGAACACTCGATGGCTGCTTCCGGAAGCCCTGAACACGTTTCAGAAATCGTGCCAGGTGAGGACTGGAAAACGGATCAAATTAATCCACATGGTTTCCCAGTTTTTTAACTCTGGATTTTATCTTAAAGAGCAAGCAGAGCCAGAGTTAGAAGCGACCAATATGAGCCTTGGGGTGAGTGATGATCTGTGTCACGCTGAAACATGTTTGAAGTAAATAGAATAATACTGAACTGGCCCAACTTTGATTAATAGGCAGTGGAGGCTGAAGGTGAAGAGGAGCATGCGAAGATCAATATGGATAAGGGCGAGTTTATTTCCATTACAGAAATATTCAATTTAGTTAAGTATTATAAATATGTTTAACTTAAGTCAGCAGAAATATACTTAATCTTAACCATGAGCGATATTTCTCTCATTTAGGTGAAGCTGAGAGTTCGACAGTGCAGGAAGAAAACCCTCCATCACAGCAGGCCGACCTGCCGACAGTAAGGTGTCTTCCTTCCTTATTAAATGTATAGCTCCTGCAGGGTTGATCTGTGCTGATTTTTTTGTGGATCTGTTTTTGAATGTTTCTTTTTAGTTGGAAAACGTTCCCAACAAAACTGAAGAGGTCAAAGAGCCTGGAACTGAGAGCAAATTAGTCAAACAAATTAGTGAGTACATTTTTTCCCCTTATTCTATTCTTTTAAAAGGAAAAATATTCATCTACATTTGCTGATTTGTTTTTTGTTGTTCTTTCCATTTTCTTTTTATAGTGTAGAATGTCTCAAGTTTGAAAAAGGCCTAAGTTGATTTTTAATCTTTCCTCACTGTTGATTTTCCTGCTGCTTTTAGGTGGGATCTCCAGCACAGACAGCCATGAAGAAGAAAAGAGCTCAGACCTGTCAGAAAAAGTAACTTCTGAAATCTATCTGAAGAATATTGAAAAAGTGGAATGGTTTGCTGAAATTAACTGCATTAATTAATTTCTTATTTTTTTTGTTTTCTAGGAGGAGAATACGGATGGAAGAAGAAAACGTAAACGAAAGCTGTCTACTCAGAAAGGTAAATCGGTCAAAGAATGTCAGATTTACTTAGTTTAAGATATAATCATGCAGCTGAAGATTCAGGAGTGATGCTATCCTGTCCCCTTTGAAAACATTAGGTGAAACAAGCAATGAAAAGGAAAGTCCAGCCCTGGTGTCTGCTCCGGTAAGAATGACCTTTGTCACACCACCAAAGATACGGGAAAGATACGTTGTGGCACAGAGCATAATGTCATTTATGTTCCTTTCTTTTGAATTTTGTAAGGAACCCGAGCAGAGTACGGCTGTGGAAGGAAGAACACCTCGCAGAGGTCGATCATCCAGGACCACAGAGACAACCGACAAGGACCAATCAGAAGAGCTGGAGAAGTCAGAGGAGACACTGATTCACAAGGGGAGGCGATCAGGAACCTCAGCCAAAGAAGGCCAAGAAGGTGGGACGGCCACTTGAGTCTTTGATAGAATAATCTGAATTCATTATATTAATTAATATCATTAAAATGCTGGATTTATTCAGTCTCATCAAATAGAACTTGATGATCTGTTTCAGCCTGATTAAACATGCAGCTGTAGTCTATACTTTGTTCCAGCATTACACTAACTGGACAGCTGTTTTGTCCAGGTGTGCTGCAGAGGAGTGTGATGTAGTCCTGATGGTCTTTGTTTTTAATGCCAGGTAATGAGGAGGAAGATGAAACTAAAGTTGATGTGACCACTTCCCAGAAAGCAGCAGAAAAAGAGGAGGTATGCTCAGGACCCCACCTTCAAAAGATTAACATTTATTATACATTCATTATCATACAATATCATTCAAATATTGGAATTGATCATGTTACTCTGTGAGCCAAAACTATGAGTAAGTTTTGGAATGCAAATGAGTGAAAACTTTTAACTTTGCTCTAAATATGTTCCTTTTTAGAGAGCTGAAGATGAAAGTGAACCAAAGAAAAGTTCCCAAAGTGAAAGTGAGGGCAGTCTGCTGCCTCCTGCTCCAGAGAATATTGAAGGTGCAGGAAGCTCAAACTCACAGGAGACTTTGGACACAAGTGAGTTTGTTTTTCCATTCACTGTTTATTCATTTTTTTTTTTTTAACTTTTTAGATTATTTTTTAACTTTTTTTTAACCTTAAAATGACTAGGACCAGTGTCATTGCATATTGCATTAGAATGGCTTTTGATGTGTAAAAGGTGTTTCTCATAACCAACATGATCACCCAACACAAGCAGGACAACAGCCTTTGATCTCTACAGAGACCCAAACTAGTCCTTTTATCGCTGGAATTCATGAGAAAGCACATCTAAATGGATATCAGGGAGAAACCGGCTCAAAGCATTTGTTTGCAACGGTTACTCATCTCTTTGATGAAACCTTCCAGTAAAGGATTAGTTGAACAGGGCGACAGCACCACGTACAGGCAAGGAGAGAAAAGTACAGCTAGAGGAAACGCTGTACTGTCTGGGTTACAGTAGGGTGTATTTCCCAAAACCCAGAATAAAAAGACACGACATGTCATTCGTGCTGCACATTGCAAGATGTTGAACTCCAATGAGTATGATTCTATTAATCCAAAAAAATTTGGGGAAAAAGTAGGAGTGTTGGGTTATTGCTATGGCAGGAAAAATTAAACGTTTGCTACAATGTGACTGAAGAAGCCTCTGACTGAAGCTTGCTCCCAACAAAACATTGCAACCAAACAAAAGTTTTGTTGCAGCTTCTGTTAACGTTCTGATAGGACAAATGCATACTGTTGGCAGTGGTAGTCAGTGGAAACCAAATGTAAGCGGAGATTTGTTGTGATGCTTAAATTCCAGGGGTACCAGCCATGAAGAGAAAGAGGTCAGAGGAAATGGAGGAATCTGCAGAGGTGAGATTGATTCGTCTTTGTGGATGATTTTACTGCGTTGCCCTTTCAGTTGGCAATAACTTTGCCTTAGTTGAATTCATCTAAAGGTTTCTGTCCTGAAATGCACAATCCTGCAGGAAACTCAGGCTCAAGAGGAGGTGAAGGATGATGGAGGACAAGACCAAAGTGAGGAGCAGCCTGACAAAGGCGATGGTGAGGACAAACACACATTTTCTTACACGGAATGATGGTGAATCACCATCAGGAGATGTTCCACCCCACAAATTCACATGCAGACATGTTTTACATGAAAATTGGCCCAAAAAACGTTAAACCAAAAATATGTCTGTTTTTTTAGGCTGTTTGCCCTCTGAAAACCAGTCAGAAGATGTAAAAGGGGACATCTGCAGTGACAAGCCGGATGACGTATGTTCAAACTCCAAATAAGACATCACAGACGACAGCATGGTGTCATTACGGAGTTTATTCAGAATCTGATTTAATTGACTTATTTCACTTGTTGTTGTCTTTTCTGTAGGCTAAGGAGGAGCAAGAAGAGGAAGTGGAGACCACTCCAAAGAAACCTCGCAGGGGACGGCCTTCAAAGGCAGCATCTGCAGAACATTCAGGTAAATAAAACGTCTGACAATCGGAGCGCCATCGTGGGCTATATCTGGTTCATGTAGGCTTTGCAACAATTGAGGCATGTAGATAAGATCAACAATATTTATTAAAGCAGTTTTGACTGGAGTTCCACTATAAAATCGCTTCTTGAGATGATTTCAACCTTTCATTCCAGTCGCGATTTCAGAATCCTGAAATACTTCCCCATAAAACTGTCCAGCTCATGCTGCCTCCTGCAGCTGGCATCATCCACTTTACTCGTCTTCCCCTCAGATAAAAAGGACAAGAAAGCAGAGGAGAAGGACTCTGAGCAGAATGATGACGATGACGAAGAGGAAGGTGAGAGAGAAGAGGAGGGCAAAGGGTCTGCGACGAGAGCTACGACTCGATCTGCGTCTCGCCTTGAGGCAGAGAGGTAATTCTAGTTCCAGACAAGCTGGAACAGCTCAAACCTGACTGAGCAGTAAAATCCAGCCGCTTTGCACCTGCAGCTCCTCCCCCCCCCACACACACACAGCATCTGACTCTTTTAGTGTTGTCTCCGATTTGTAGGTAAGGAAGAATTAGCACGAAAGTAACGGTTTTCTTTTACTGCTCCACAGAAACAAGCCAAGTAAACCATCCACCCGGGCGAGTCGACAGAACGGCAAAGAGGAGACCACAGCTGGCACGCGGTGAGTTTGTCCCTTTGAGCTTCAGCAGCAGGAAAGGGCTTCAAGGAGAATCTGACCAGAAACTGCCTGCTAGTTTAGGCCTGTGAAAGAGAGCTTTCTACCCAAAGTTTTCCTGGAATCTCCCGTTATTAGCTCCCTAAATAAAAGTAGTAAATCTTTTGAAAGGTCCGACGTGGTTTAAGAGAAAGTGGATTAAAAAGCCACAACCAGACTGATTATTATGTAACTCCTTTTTATTACATTTTATTTTGTGTGCGTATTTTCCAAAAGAGAATTTCTGCACTTTTCAAATTTGCAGTATTTAAAAGCTTACATGAAAGACTAATAGCTACTTGCTATGTTTAGATGTAGGGGTGTATTGATTCTTTCACCACAGCAAGCCGCTCCATATTTCCTGCACATAAGGTCGCCCGTGCACCAACATCCCTGTTAGTCTCTTTCATTTAGTCTGAGTTGAGCGGCTACTGCTGCTCAAACGGGTTTCGCCAGGTTGAATTATAGCTTTTATTAGAATTCACTGATTGGATATGAATATGTGAACATGTCATTTAAATTTGCAGCACAAAGATTTCATTTTGAGGGTCTTTTTTATTTTTATTTTACTGCAAACGAAAAATTCTCACCAAACATTTATGCATAATTTCTGAATTTGGGAGCAAAAACAAACCCAGAAGACTGAAAACTGACTCAAAAAAATCAAAGCTGCTCCCCTTGTGTAATAACTTTAATTAGTGAGTCAAATATTTAATTACAGATGCTCTAGAATTGCGCTAGTATTGTACAGTTTAAAAATGATGATTTTTCCAATATACAATTTATGTGTGCAGACAGATAACTTTTCTGTATAAAGCGTAAAAAGAGTCTGCAGACTTCCCAAAAAACGTCCTGTTTTTTTCTTATGAGAATGTTTTAATCATCTCTCCTCAGTAAATAAACGCAAATGTTTAGAAAATACACCAATTTATTCTAACGGGTGACAAATGTTGAGTTTCTTTTTTCTTTTCATCAGTTTCTCATCACTGGAAAAATATTTTTTCCGTCTGTCTTCTACCACAGTTTTTAGGAGTTTGCCCGTTTTGAAGTTTCATAACAGATTTTCACGAATGTTTCTTCACTTTGTTTTTAAATTCCAGAAACATTACCGAGGTCCTGAAATCTAAAACCTTTTTTAACATTTTTTTTCCATCTTTCTCTGGCAAAGGTGTTCTATTTCCCCGTTTCCCCCCCCCCCCCCCACTCCCACTCCAAGTGTTCTGAGGACAAGCTGCAGTCTGTGTGCATGTGTTAGTTATGGCTCCACTTTTCACAAATAACCCCTCGAATTAACAAATGGACCGACCCGTGCTCCCTGTTTCTCTCCTGCAGGGGTACGAGGGGCCAGGCAGCGTCGAAGGGGGCCCGTAAACGGGAGGCCAGCCCTCCTGCGGTGCGAACGCGTGGAGGACAGAAATCAGAGGAGCCCCCTTCCAAGAGAGCCAAACGCTAAGACCTTTGACAGCAGTGGAACGCTTTGCCCCTGCGGTGTTGTTTTTACTCTCCACATTCAAAGACTCTGCTGTCAGTTAGCATGTAAAGCTGTTTGTGCTCCATTGACTCCTGATACTGAAAAGCTCCGGGTAATATTATACCCCCCCCCCCTCTGATGGTTAAGTCTAAACCTGAGGATCTGTGTGAGAGTCCCCAAAAATACCCTCCGCTTCTCCGCGTCCATATGGTTTGGATCAGACTTCATCATTCCGTGGTTTATTCATGTAATACCCAGTGAACCGGAGCATTTCAAGCCAATCAGGGGCCTAACCGAGATGGGCTGCGAGGACGCGCGCTGAAAGTAGCCGTCAGTCTGCCTCCTCTCGTTCGCTCACTTGTCAAAGGCGTCCAAACTTCCACTGTGAATTTTGTCACTTAATATTCATTCTGCGAATGAAAAGGTAAATTTTTCTCAGATTTGTTTAGCTTTTTCTGTCAATGCCTAAAATTCTAGACGAGGTTCTTTGGGTCTATTTTTACTGGAATAACGGCAGTATTAGTTAAAGACACAAACTCCTCAGAACGAACATGGTTCCTTTCCTCCTGACGTCTATGGAACCTGTTTCTTTTTAATGTAAAGGTAAATTAGTCACCTTACAGATGTTTTCGTCTATGTTGAAACACAAATCTTTTGATTTAGGTTTGTCGGTTGTTGCACATAATCACATCTGTTTGTAATCAATTTCTGATTTTAAAGGGGATGATTATCTTGTTCTTTTTTTTATACTAAATACTTATCGGGATCCTTTTAGTGCATCTCTTTATTGAAAATTGTTTCTTACATTTCTAGAAGCTTCTAAAATGGTTTATTATCTTCTTTATCTTACAACCTTTTACACATTCACAAACTGGACTGTTGATGCTTCCATTTTGCTCACCTAATGGCTGAGTAGCGCTTGAGTTTTTCATGTGTTTTTTTTACATGTGGAGCACTTTGCAGTAGATTTGATCCCCTGTGTTAAAATGGCCAGAGACATTAACCATTTACATCAGAGCGGAGAAAAAAGGAGGACATTCCTGCCTGTTAATGAGGGATAAAACTGACAAACTGGGAGTGAAATATTCCGCCATCATTAGCACGTTAGGAGCCTTTAATCGCTGCATCTGAACCTTTCAGGATCAGGGGGAAGGTTACAGAAAGCCGGAGTTCTCTGGTTAAAGTTTTCCTGCCACTCCTGCGGGTTGCTTGGGTTTTATTCCTTTAAGGTGTACCTCTCAGGTATTTCCTGGTTCTGCTATCCAGGCCTTAAAACACCAGCCCAAAAACTGCCATTAAAAGGGGTTTGGATCAGCTCTCACTCAGCCACCGCTCTGGCAGACCCACAGCGCGCCTTTCACTCACAGATGCTATTAGACATCACGTTTTTTATGGTCACTTACATTGTAGTCCAAGACGATATTTGCCAAGCAGGGTTTGTGCTTCTGTAAATCAAGTCAGACAGTTTTATCGTCATGTGCTTTTAGCCCTCACATCAAGTTTTTTTTTTTAATCTAAAAGCTGCAAATGTTATTCAAAATTAAGTAACTGAAGCACTGCAGAAAATTTCTGATGAAATAGTAACCGGTTTTAGATTTTCGTCTGCTGCATCTGCAGATACGTCTCTATCGAATTACAAGTCAATCCACCACATTTGAAAAGTTTCAGGTTTTTGTTTGGGTGTCTATTTGTGAGCACAAACTGCAGGAGTCAGAAAAATTCAGTTAGTGTCATTCAAACCATGCCTGACCCATTTAAACTTCTCGATATTTTACTGAAATGATTACATGTAAGAGATTCATTAGTTTTTAAATACTTGCTCTAGAAAACAAACAAGTCCCTCCCTGAGAAAAGACAAACATTATTTTTAAGAATGTTAAAGGTATCACTTGTACTGAGTTCTTAATTATATATATTGTAATATGTCTTTAACCCTTTAATGGTTTATCTTGAATAAAAACATGGAGAAAATATTCAATAACTCTTATACAAAAAACACCAGATTTGTTGCAGGTATGTGCACCTCCATTTTTTTATTCATTTATTTATACAAGCATTTTGGGACTTTTTTAAAGAGCCAAAGTAGGACTTCAAATTGAAAATAAAAATAATCTAATTTAGTCTAAAAGTCACTATCTCAGGATATTTATTTAAAAACACCCAATAGGCTTTGGGTGAAGTGCTGAAAGTTAAAATATTTCAGCCCCCAGTGCTATAATATGTCCTTTACAGTCTTCAGCACCATTTCCATCTCAATCCATCAGCGGTTAACATTTTAGATCTCAACTGTCCTAAAAATTAACATTAGGTTTTAAAATGACTTTAAAATGTATTTTAAAATGACTTTTAACATTTGAACATATTTAACATGCTTTACTTTATTTTTCTCAAAGATGAGGCTCATCATTTTGTGAATCTTTGTAGTAACCTGATTCACGTGGCAGGAGGAGGATGAAGTTAGGTCCCTGGCATTTGGAAAAGCAATCAAAAAGTAAAACTTAAAATGCAGAGACGACCCAAAAATTAACTCGAACATTTGCTGAAATTAGTGGAGGAGCTGAAAAACACACTCTAACGCACAGTTTAGGGATGGGAACATGGAACTTGAATCAAAAGCCCTTGTGTAAAAGCAGTTAGAATATAGGCCTTGCAGGTCTCATGCATAGTGGAGAGGGCTGTTCTTTCTTTCATTCCTGTTCTTAAAAAGAATGAGAAATTCTGACATGACCTGAAACCCCCCCCCCCACTGTTTTCTTTTTCCTTTTTTTTTAATGCCATCACACTCAGCTGCAAAAAGGGTTCTGCAGGCTGTTTTTATACTTACTTTAAAGTGTGGGAGTCTCCATACTGGGTGGGACAGGGTTTTCTGGTTTATAGGTCACACTACACCACCTTCACCTGAGGGTACCAAACAAGAGGGGAGGTGGGGGGGGGGGGAGACGGGGGAATCTGCACCTCCAACGGCCTCCCGTCTCCCCTTGTCCGCTCCCAGCAGGTCTGCAGGTGGGAGCCGTGCACTTCACGTGGCAGAGCTGTGGAAAGATGGCGGTTTCACACAGCTGTCAAGTGGAATTGAGGTAACGGGCGGCTGTGAGTGGAGGGGATGCTGGCGGGCTGCTGCGGGGGTGACGGGCCTCACTCAGCCCCGCCGCTGCCTCTCCGCTCTGGGAGTGGCCTTTCCTCTACTGGGGATTTGGCTGAGCTCGCTGGCACTGAGTATAATGTTCTGCCATTCAGCCACTCCTCTCGAAAAACATAAAAGTTAACAGGTGTTTAACGTCAGGAGCGTTTCATGCAAGAGTCACAAAAATAGCCAGCGACAGGCAGCGGGGAGGGGCGGCGGCTCACGGCTCCCTTTTTTCATGATTTTGCAGTATTGAAATACTTGTGCAGTTGAGTGGAGATTTGGATCAGCTTCTGGCATCTGTGTGTGCAGAGAAATGTTTCTCTACTCACCAACACTGTTGGCTCAGGTGGATTGTTTGCAGCTAGTCAGAACTGTGTGAGAACATGGAGAGAACACATTTGTAATTCAGATTAAAAAACATTTTACTGGGATTATTAACTTGATAAAAATTGCATGTATGTGTATAATATAATGATAGATAATATAATGATTCGTAAAGTCACTGAAAAATAATTTAGCAGTAAACCAGAATAATGTACTGTACAAAATTGATCTTCGTAGTGTGTAATTTAAGGTTTTATGCCTTACACTAGAAATGGCCTGTCAACATTTTTAGGAACGTGACTTTTTTTAGAGACATTTTTACCACTAGACAAAAGAAACTGCATCACAGCTGCTTGTTATCAATCATTTGTTGCCTCCGTGTTAGTGGCTAAAGAGAATACAACTCAAATGTTGCTCAATTCTAGCTGGAACCACAGGCAGAGGAATTCCTTTTTTGGCTTTCTCATTTTGGAGGAGGCTCCACAGCAAATAAGTGCCTCTACATTATTTCACTGTTTACACCAAACAGGACTTTTTTGTGTCTACTTTGTCACCTGTTGGTTTTCAGGGGTGTTCCTAATTTTTGCTGAATTGAATTACACAAACCAGACCGAAAACTGGCTCCACTAAACGTGTGTTGGTTCCCACACACACCACACCAACTCATGTAGAACTGTTCAGAGCATCAAATCTTTGTATCGGTCAGTGTTGATAAAACTGGTGTGTATTTAAATGACATTTTAGAACTGAACATCTCCTCAAAGAGGGAAAAAAAACAACAGCTTTTTTACCCTCCAGGATTTATGTAGTTTCTGTTGTGGACTGTGGGTCTGAGAGAGCAAAGCATTTGGCGAATTGATCATTTTCCTGCCGTGTCACAGAAAAGACAATCAACCAGCTCGTTTAGAACAGAGTGAATGCATTAGCAGCCTACATGTCTCCGTACTCCCGACATCTCTGAGAGAGATAAATGCAGAGCTTGTGTTCATGACGGAGGGACTACAGCTGCAGTCTGCGCCCGTCTGAAAAGAAGAGGCCAGCAATATCCCAAGAATTTCCAAATGGCCCTCGGAGTTCTCATAACTGGATCCACGAGTACGCCCCCAGAAAGTGGTGTTTTACATGTGAAATGAAACCACTGAAAGAGGTTGAAGGACGTCTTTATTTAGGCGTGAGCCGAGAAGAAAAGGGAGCTGGTCACAGTGGCCTGACTCTGCAGAGAAAGGCCCTTCAGGCCCGAGAAGCCTTTCATGATGTGCTTGAGCTGTTTGCATTATGCGCTGCATGCCAGAGGAGGATGGCAGCTCGTTTGTCAGCACGGCCGGGCCCAAAATGAACTATAAATCAAGCCCGTGCTATCTCCACACGTTAATTGGACTGTAACAGCAGACTGCCCCCCCCCACACCCCACACATCAGCTCCTGTGCGTGTTGTAATGTGGCCTCTGCGGAGATGTTTTGAATTGCTTCCAGGAGACACGTCTCTCCACTTGTGTCTTGCTTCGATTTGCTGTATTAAGTGTTCAGTCCCAAGGGCTTTTCCATTTTGTGCTCCATCGCATGCAAGGATAAATTCTCTTTGGGAAAGAGTGCTCGGTTTTAACATCAGTGACTAAAGCCGTGCCTAAATCTGGCAGCAACCCCCCCCCCTCCACCCCCTCCTTCCACTTTCCAATGTTGAGGTTGATTAAGGGTGCTATCATATTTAGATCTGATTTTTGGTGAGAAATGTAAAGGCCGTTTGGGAGCGTTTACGGCAGATGACTGCTGGCACTGCCCTCGCATGTATTGCTCCATCTGAACACAATTTTGGCAGCAATAAGAAAGAGGGCCGAGGCCTCCTTCCTCATACCAGCTCTCCAGGGGGAAAAAAATAGAAGAACTGTCATAAACACACCCTGCAGAGGAGGGGAAACAGAAACGTTTCCATGGCGACGGCTGCATCAAACAGAATTTAAAACAGGAGATTAAAGTTAAAGCAAAGGGGTAAGAGGGCGGAGGCCAGCGTAATGGCCTAATACGCCATTAGAGTTTAGTTCTTTACTGGAAATGCGGTGGGACTCTCACCTCAGTGTTAAACATGAGGTGAGCAGACAAAGAGTCTGGGGATATTAAGGAATCAAGCCATTACAGATAGTCAAAAAGGACAGATTATGCATCTTCCCGGCACGGCTATTATAAAATGATCAGCTCATGTTTCCACTTGACCTTTTTTCCGAAGGCAACAGGTCCTGATGCGCATCAGCAGAGGGAGCCAGTCTGCATGGAAAGAGTCTCAAGTACTGAAGCCTGATGTTCACAATGAATGCACAAGAAAGCTGCAAAGGACAGTGTAAACATATGTATGTATATTCATATATTTCCGTTACTTCTCTTCCAAATCAAACCACTTCCCAATCTAATTAAGCATTGCTGACAGTACAGAAATAACCCATATTTTCTGCCTCTAAATTGTTAATTTAGAACTTTCTGTGTTTTAAATCTTTGTAAACAGCTTCTATCTTATTTTAGAAAAGTCAGCATCATAAATGAGTTAATCTAGGCTCTGGGACGTTTTAATTTTTTTATTCTTTTATTACTATTATTGTAATAATAATAATAATAATAATTATTATTATCTCAAAATGGAGTAGATGATGCAGAGGGACGAAAACAGTCACTTTTTAGGTAAATGTATCTTTATTGTAACATAAATGTAACATTCTTCATTTATATGACAGAAACTCAGAGGACTTAATGCTTCCTCCCTTGTCTGAGTTCAATTGTCACTGTGAGTTCACAGCAGAATATTTTTAAAAGCACCAGTGTGTCCATGAAGACAGATCAGACAGGCAACTGATCCATGACGCATCAGCAGATTTTAATGTTGATAAACTCTCAGCGTTTTGTCAGCAAAATGGGTTTAATTGGCTTTTTTTTTTTAAAGCTATGGTTTTGCAGTGGATCATCCCAAACTGAACTCATCCTGCAGTCTGAATGAAGTCGAGCTGCTGTTTACATTTCCTGCCACTTCCAGCTCCTCGCTGCCTGTTGCTCTTCCTCGCAGCGTGGTTACTAAAACACTGCCCAGCCCGCGGAGCTCTGCTGGACATCACCGCCACGGGCTCGCCCTGCCTCTCCAGGACTGACGGACACTTCTTATTTCCCTTTGGATGCAGCCCCACGGGCAACCGAGGCTGTTTTAGGACGAAAGACATCACTGTGGGAGGAAAAAACTCAACGAAGGACGCAGGAAGACACATCTACAATAAAGAGGGAGGGGGGGTGGTGGGGTTAAAAGCGTGTGATGTACCACTGGTGTGTTGGCCTTGGATGGAACGAGCAGCTTCCAAAAGAACAAGAGAAGGGTGTGTGAAGATATCCAGATGTGTCGGCGGTTGGTGTTTTTTCCCTCTCCCCACTCCTGTTTTCATTGCTTGCGGTGACACAGACTTTTATGCCCAAGGTCCCATCCAACCCCGAGACAATGTCCCATAAATACTTTCAGCCGCATTTGATTCGTTTTCAGTAGAGTGAGCAGGACTAACTTAAATGGTAGTTTTTTCAGAAATAATGCAGCTGCTCTGCTCGAGCTAGGAATCATCGGAAATACATGAAATGGAATGCCAATAATCTATATCTGGTCGTTTTAAATCTAACTGAGGTTCCGTCCAAAAGTTCACGGAGTCAGAGTGACCACTAGATGGTATAAAACATGCACACACTGGCCGGGGTGACGGGACCACTGATGGATTCGTGTCCAAATCAGACTGGAATTGAATTAGGAGGCTTGCTGCCCGTTTATAAGACCCGAGAGATGCTGGCTTCATTTCACAGCTGTGCGCATTTTTCAGCCCATTTGAGAGGGTTTGAGAATGTGTCTCTATTTATGTTTAAGTTAAGCATTTCTGCCCTCTCACATTTATGGTCACTGACTTCTTTAGAAAGAAAATAAGTATATATGTTTTTATTTGATCCACTATCAATATTTTATAGTATTAGTCTGATAAAAGATTCAGACAAATTTCCATAACAAACCATCAAAACTTTCCACCAATTTTCAAGTTTCATAAAATTAACTCAAATAGAAGAATAAAGGTTATTAAAAAGAAAATTGGTTTACGTATCTTCCTTAACTATTTTCTTAAGATAGTTTTTTTAAGAAACAAACAACAATAATAAACGTAATATCAGTAACTTAATAAATGTATTGTTGAGTTAAATCTTCAAATTCTAATTAATGTGGGTTTATTTATAAGAAACAAATTTGCAGACTTTTTTGGTTGAAGTTTGTTGAATCTTGCTGTAAATTAACCAAAAGATGACTGACTTTTTTCGATTGTAAAGCGAAATACATATGTATATATATAAGATATAAAAACTGCCGATTTGAGGCTTAAGGAATGGGCTTACCGTCCTGCTTAAGTCCTTTTGAAATCTTTGGCCATATATTTAGAGATCTTACACATGCAGATTGTATCTTCCAATTGATACTGATTTAAAATCAGGTTTCACTATCCTGTGCAGTGAAACCGGATCTGCAAAAACGCAACATGTGAAACGACAGAGGTCAAGATCCGGATGAGCAGCGCTGATGTTTGTCCACTTCGTGTCTGAAACGGAGAGCAAACTGTCTTGTGTCATCTGTTCCGCTATGGCAGATGCGTGGCAGGCTAAAAGACATAGATAATTACGATCAAAATGAAGTGGTGAACAAAAATAAATGTGCAAATATAAACAAGAAGAAAAGTAAAGACCGAAAATTCCTTGTTAAATCTATTTTTTAATCCAGATTTCTGTCACTTCTTTTTGTGTCACGAATTGGTGATACCAAATACCAAATATGCTATTGATGATAGAAATAAGCATATTTTTTTAACCATTATCTCTATGAAACTTTTCTAAATTCATAGCATGATTTTTATTAAGTATGAACTCCGTAAAGGTTGAGGCCTACTTGATCCCTTCGTGCTGGCTGTGAATAAGAGTGCACAGATGATTTTTTAAAACCTTTCAGGTAAAAGGTACCCAGTGAATCTATTGGCATCTGTCACACAGTGCATAACATGTCACCAGATAAAATACTGTCACATTACGCACCGAATTTCCAACGGACGTGGCTGGATGGTGAAGATTTAAGAAGTCTAATAATTGATTGCAAATTCATAGCAGTGATTGTGCCTTTAAGGAATGCAAGAGAAACGGGAAACAGTACATTTCCACTCGTTTTATTAAACTGCTGTCTTAGGATTTCAGACTTTTACGCACGGCACCATCCACTGCATGTTTTATTTAGAAAAGCAGACAGAATCCCCCACACTTTGACCCTAACTGATCATCGTTTAACTTCATCTTAAGAAAACACAAAAAACAATCTGTTGCATCGTGGATTAAATCTTTTCACCTGTCTGGGATAAGTTTAGGTGAATCTGCTTGTTTGCACCCTGTATGCCAGCCAAGGCTCCAGCGAAAAACCGTCCACCAAACTTTTCTCAACTTTTTTCCCACCCGGTGAAAGCAGCGTGACGTCGTTTACAGTGGCCAATCGCGTAAGGACTTTTCTCCCTTCTGAGCCAATGGGAGCGAGAGTTGAGTGCTTGTCCGTCACAGGTGAGGGTGCGCGTTTGAAAAAAATAAAAATGGGTGAAAAGGGCCGGAGTCTGGAGTGAGCGGGATCTGATGGAAGAGTTGTACGGCGGAGCAGCATCGCGCCTGCGGATGTAGCGGAAACTTTCCACGGTTTGTCCCGCGGGGATGCGAGCAGGAACCGACGGTGGACGGAAAAAGTCACGCGCCCGCCGAACTCCACGAAGGACATAAGCGAAAATGTGGATGAACTGACATTTACGCTCTCTATCCGGGCTGAATCCTCTACTTTTAGACCGAGCAGACCTCGCTCCTTTGAAAATGGCCGTTCGTGGCAACTCGCTCATGCCTTTCTCGATCCAAGCCATCCTGAACAAAAAGGACGACAGCAGACACTTACCAGATTTGGACATGTGCTTCTCTAAAACGGCGTGCTGGAAAATATTCGGGGAGATGAACGGGGGCTCGGGCCGAAACGACGGAGAGCCCTGTGGGCAGATCGAGCAGAAGTGCTACGACTCGGACTCTGGACTCAGCGAGGACAACGGCAGAAAGACTCCGGCCGAGGGCAAGACGGAGAAGGACGGGGACCCGACGTCCGATGTGCCGGAGGAGAGTCTGCAGGAGGAGACGGACCACGAGTCTGCAGCTGCAGAAAACGCGAAGAGTGACAGCGAACCCAACAACGCAACGGGTAAGTAGGCCAGGCAGTTTATGCGCCAAAGCCGAGAAAGTTTCACTCTGATTTCATTTGGGACCAAAACAAGACTTGTAACTTCAAATCAGGCAGTTTGGACTCAAATTGTATCATAGCTTCTTAATACAAATGTTTTATATTACTCTTACAGCACAGCCTGTGTCCATTAGTACGAAACCTACTTTTACGCACGAATTGTCATCTTCTTTACGCGTTCAAGATCAGTGTATGAAATAATCTCCTAATTATACTGTCATTTTACACTGTCCCCCCACATTAAATCTAACTAAAAATCAAATTTGAACTGCGCTCGTTTGGTGGATCAAACAAACATCTTCTTGCTATATACGTGCGCTTTTCTGATTTGGATTTTCATCCTTTTAATGTGTCCATAATTTGCATCGCACTGCAGCCCATCGTCCTCACGCCTCTTGTGAAATCCCCTTCTTTCAGATTCCAGCAACCAGGACGAGAAGAGCCTGGACCAACCCAAGCAGCGGAAGAAGCGCTCCAGAGCCGCGTTCTCTCACGCGCAGGTCTTCGAGCTGGAGCGCCGCTTCAACCACCAGCGGTACCTCTCCGGCCCGGAGCGGGCCGACCTGGCGGCCTCCCTGAAGCTCACAGAGACGCAGGTCAAGATCTGGTTCCAGAACCGCCGCTACAAGACGAAACGCAGACAGATGGCCGCGGACTTGATGGCGTCGACCCCGGCCGCGAAGAAGGTGGCGGTGAAGGTTTTGGTGCGCGACGACCAGAGACAGTACAGCCCCGGGGAGATCCTGCGGCCCCCGCTGCTCTCCCTGCAGCCCTCCTACTATTACCCCTACGCCTACTGCCTCCCCGCATGGACGCTCTCCGCGTGTGCTGGGAATCAGTGAGGAAAAACTCGATGACTTTGCTCATTTTTATTATTCCTGCTCCCGGGAACCGAACTGACTTTTGTCTTTGTGACACCACGAGGAGATCCGAGGAGACTGGAAGCCATGCGTCTGTTGCCCAGGTAACCCCAAAGGTTCCCCAACGTTTTTGTGGGTTCCTATCCCCTCGTAAAGTGACTTATTTATACTTTTATGATGAGTCTATTTCAAAGACCCCAGTAAAAGTTATTTTCCCTTCCTCATGATTTAGTCTCTAATTCCATAAATGTCTGAACTGGAGACGTTACCTCCTCATAACTTTTAAACTCGTGGAGAGACCCTGAAATGACGCAAAGATATTCCTCTGTTTGCTGGGACACTCTAAGGACCTCTGATGACCCCTGGACCCTAACGTGGGACCCGGGGGGCTTAATAGACAGAAAATGTCACCTTATTTTGGTTTATATAATTTACATACGCCTTCCTACCTCTGCAGTGATTGGAAATAGGCATATTCCATTGACTTCTCAAGATAACTGTCTCTCTTACAAGTTGTGTTTTTATTCTTGCTGTGTTTGTAAAGGTAAGGTATTTCAGCACTTTTGAGCATATGTGTTACATAATTTCAGTGTAAAATGCATGCAGTGTGAGCATGTTCGGTATCAGACTGAGAAGAGGCGGTTTGTGGGCCTGAGAGAGGCAGGAAGCAGGCTGAAACAAACCCGACTCCTGCTTGAGATGTACGTGTTTTTATTTGTGTTAAATGACTTGTTTTAGATCGAATAACATTAAAACATATCAGGCATTACTTGTATGTGGATGCCATTTCATTGAACGTTTTCTTTTTATAATTGTCTTCAAATCTTCATTTTGGGACACAGAAATATGAAGACCTACAGATTTATTTATCCCACAACACTGCTGTTAATTCCCCGCCCCTGTTCTATGGCTAAAAATAATGTTAGATGTATCAGGAAAATACACCAATTTGCCACAGCAGCCTCTAATATCTGTGTTTCAACAATTAATTACTTCCCCAAAAGATACAGATATCGCTTTGAATGGTCAGCACGCCTTTTCACACATATGCCATTCATAGTTTGTCTTTTTAGGGATTTTCAGAACAAGAATGAAACATTATCTTATCAAACAAATAGACGCAAGCAAAAAGAAATAGTGTTGTGCGTAAAACATTTTCTGCGCAACATGTCCCTCTCCTCTCCATCGCACTGTAACCCTGTACAGATGTCACCTGGGCCACTATGGTTCTCTTCCCAAACACACCTGTCAAACCGTGATGAATTGCTCTGAAATTAGTGGACAGGGTAAAGTGACAGCTACCTTTAGGGCCGTTTGTCGACACAAAGGGAGGAGTATACCGAGGTTAAGAAGGCCCATGTCACGGCACCCAGATTTACGAAGGAAGAAAAGCGATTCTCATTTTGCACTGTAGTGACAGGCTCTATATTTTCTTACGATTATTCCAAAAGTGAAGTGATCATGGACGTTTCTTATCCCACTTCAGAGCTTTAACTGTATTTGCAATAGAGTGGGCTGTCGTTATGTGTCCAGTTTAAGCCGGGTGGGTCAGCAGGGAGCTGCCTCACAACATTAATCTTTGGCCTCTCAAAATGCGTCCATCTCTCACACTCCTGCTTATGATCGGTATGGATGGACACTCAGGACACGACTTTGCCTGGATGGAGCCCAGAGGCGTGACTACCGGAAGTGCTATTGAGATGAACATGAATTTAAAAGGTGACGGTGTAGATTTCCCTGCGTTTTTACGCACGAACACGCTGCAGCAGTCGCGAGAGGTGTGGCTGGTAATACGTCTCTCGTTTTCTTTCATACTAGCACAGGCATCGATAAAAAGTGCCGATATGTCCTAAAATCTGATCTGCCCGATGCAGGTGGAAGCTGTGAGGCTCCTCATTGGTGCGCAGGAGCCTGAAGGACAGATGAGGATACAGAGACGCTGACCGCCCCTGATAGCTTCCTGTCATACCTGCATGTTGGGATATCTGATATAGAGGGAAATGTCGTGGCTGTTTTTTCTTTCAACCATGCAAGCTCGAAATGCAAACACCCCCATTGGAGTGCATCAACCCCATTCCTTCCCCCCATTATTTGCTCATTTGATGCTTCGTTCGTGAGAACGTGAGGTGTGAATCAGAACGTCCCTAAAGAAAAGAGTTATTCTCATGTGCAACAAGATTGGATTTACGCACTGGCATATTTTTCTTTATTATGAATCAGAAATAATTTGTAGTTCTCTTAATGTTATGGGTAGTAATGCTGTGCAAAATGGAAAAACACGCTTTTTAAACAAACAGCTTAGCTATATTTGTCTTCCTTATTATCTGTCTTGTAAGTCAAAATTCAGATAACAAACAGATTCTCTCGTAAACAAAACAAATTCGATTCTGAAACTGCTTTTATTAAAACCGAATCGCTCCACATACAGAAAACATTTACCTTTGCGCATTGGACTGTCAAGAGTGCTGTCCAACCAAGAAGAATAGATATTGCCTATGGTTTTCTCTATTTAAAAAAAAGAAATAATCATTAATGCAGGTTAATACTGTGTAGCTTGCTGAAATAATCAAAGTTGTCCCATTAGCAGATATTTCCAAAAATAATGTCTCAAGAGCAAAGTGAACTCTATGATAAAATACCTTATTTAAAGAGTCAATAAGGTGAAGGCGTCCGCCGAAAAAACTCCAATAGATTTGTGAATATTATTAGTATTTTTTTTAGCAGAAAATGGAAACTTCACGTGCTACACATGAACTGGCTCGCCAGAGCTCCTGGTACAGCATTAGCTGAAAAACACCATGTGATTTGTTCCAAAATAACATCAAAAGATACGTAATTTTAAATTGTAAGCCTGAATTCAACTTTAGATGAAATGTGCATTGGAAACCTTTTGGAATTTGCGCTATAATGAATCAACTTGATACTCCTTTCTTTTTTCCAAATCACATAATCTCAGGACTCACTTGTACACGTTCATCGCCTTGTTGTGTTCAAATATATATAGCCTATATATATATATTTAACTCAGGAAAAAAGATTTTTGTGTCTTGCCCAGATTAATGTGAGCAATATATATATATATAACTATTTTTATCACGATGTATTTGCAACATTTTTGTGTGAAATCTGTTAACTGAATTCATTGAAACGTTATCGGCTTAAATTACACAGAGATATTATTCAATGCTCTCTATATACCATATTTTATGAAAATCTTAACAATATCTCACAGAATTACCTCAGTTCAGCTGAGCATTAATGATTTTACCAAATCATAATAGAAACGACAAACGAATGTGAATTGAGATGGTGGAAATGTTTATTTATTCTTTATTTTCTCAGTGTGAAAATTCACATAAACAAAGAAGATTCATCTTACACTACCTGACAAAGAGAAGTCTCCATCTGCACTTGACTTCAATTGCTCGCATTCAGTCATAAAAACAAAAAATAGAAACACAAGCATTCTCTAAAAATAGGGAGAGGCCAGATTTTTATTTTTAAATGGTTTGTTCTCTTTTGGTGCACTTTGATAATAGGATTCATCCCTCCATTTATGAAATAGTGGTTCAGGGAGACATCGTTCTCACACGGGTTGGCCACCCCAGAGCTCAGACTTAACCTTAACCCTTTGGGGATTTTGTGGAGAACATTTTACGCACAGGTCAGACTCTCCCACCGTCACTGCAAGATCCATGAGAATAAAAAGCATCTCTACAATGGAAAGCTGTGACACAGGCTAAGTTTTGCCTGTGATAATAATGCGTGATGGAGTTAGGAAAAAGGTGGCCTATTTCTTTACTCTTTGCGTAATGTGAAATTATTAATCGTAACGTGTCACTGTTGACTACTCCGCCCTGCTTCACGACTGGAACCTTTTAATTTCCTCCCTTCCTATGACGGAATGAAATACATACTGTGATAAGGTGCTTCTTTCTTTGCATACGTGTTTCCTCATCTCATTCGAATTGCTCCCCTTAAAAGGTAGCCTTTTCCTCGAAAACTTGTGAAGCAGTCAATACATCCTTGCAAGCATCTCTGGACGCACAGAGCGAACACTTGCCTCAAAGTGGCCCAGGTGTGCATCCCACATTCAGGACAGCATCTTCCCACTGTGAAAGATTTTGAACCAGCCTCTGGACGAAGAGTCCAGGAAAAAACTGAAGGCTTAAAAGTCACCACTAAACACTGGGTCCTGAAAACCAAGATAGGATGTATAGATTTAAATGCATGCTGGTAATTAGGGTACTGCTCACACTTCACCTGCAGATAACAATTCTTAAATTGCATTGTGAGATAATCTCTTGCTGAGCATGTAATCCTCTTAATTTCTTTAATTTAAAATAGCCTTTTAACAGGTTTTAAATATCAATGGGTATTTTTGAAATTCCCTTATGGCAAAAAAGCTTAAATGCCCATTGATTAAAAAAGTCGAAGAATAAAGCTTTACAATACATTTTATTGACTAATTTCATTTGGATCAGAAATATTTATTTGATCAATTAAATACTTATTCTTAAGCACTTTATTTAAAGAAACATCAGAAAAGCAACATAAGAATGAATTATTGAGTTGAGACTCTGGCAAAATATACTAACAAGTGTCAATAAATCTGGTAAAACATTTGTCCAGACTGATTTTACATTTGAGCTGAATGTTGCCCATGTAAACATTCTGATTTACAGGAATTTTCTTTATTTGTGGACAATTCTCTTCACTTAACTTTAAAAAAAATTAAAAATGTGAATGCTGTGTACTATGCACTGAGGACGGGCCTAAAAGTTTTCTTTACTATTTTGCAACTCCTTAGAATTGCTTCTATAGCTGGACTTGTTAGAGAATAAAATAACTGCCAGAATATATGATATATGTATAATATATATTTAATATTTGAAATAATGTATTTACTTTGAATTGTAAATATCCAATCATTGATTGTAAGCAGCATCTGAGAGAGTTCACAATTAACAAATGACACTTAAAAATAAGACACAGGCCGTCTGTTGTGCTTACTGGGTCATCATTAGCAATCTAAATGTGTGGGAACTGAACGATATCAGTAAATTATCCAACCATTGCCAACTCTATACTGTTAAATGTTGCCTATCCTTGCTGACATTGGATGAGAAGCAGGGTACACCTTGTACAGACTGCAAGGCAGACTACATCAGGCTTCAGCCAATTATGAGTAGTTAAAATATAAATGGGGTTGTTGTCACGGCATCATATAGGGTAACACGAATACATTTGACTGGACCTAAATCTTTACGGTTTCGCTGTTTATTGCACATACATCCATCATATTTCAGGAATCACACAGACACTTTTATTTTAAATGAGAAGAATCAATCGAATCCAAGTCGACCACATTTTTAGAAAATAAAAATGAAAAAGGGAGATTTATCGTAAAAGTGAACCACAGTATTAAGAGACGTGAAGTTTACATTTCAGGTAGTTTTTAGATTCTTACGACTGCACTTTGACCTGCGTTACCGTGGCAACAGCAGCGCGTCACGCACAGGACTCCACCACAGACACACCGTTTATTTGTTTCCGCTTCTAATCACGTCCCGCGAAGACAAAGCTGTGCGAGAAGAAACCGAAAACATTCACACTATTTTGCCAGCCGGCTTGTATCTCCCTGTCGTGTCTCGCTGTTATCTTTACGGCAACCGAAAAGAGACCGGGCAGCAGCGCGAGTGGATCATGCCGAGCGGAGCAGCAGCAGAGTTTGTTGAATCAAAATGGCGTCTTCTTGCCCACTCAACAGCGCTTTAATCCATCTGTGATTTACCCCTCATATCTGGGCTCAGAAACCCTTGGCTGGTGTCTGGATTTTGGTTTCGTGCACAGATTCGGTAGGATCAGAGTTTAGCGCCATGTCGGACTCGGAGGAGGACAGCCAGGACAAGCAGCTGAAAATTGTGGTTATTGGAGACGGAGCGAGTGGGAAGGTGAGACCGTCGAAGCCGCATTTAAACTCATATACTTTCTGCATAATAGACTAAAAGCTTTCAGGTGTCGTATTCACACACAAGTTGTGTGGTTTCGGTAGTTACGCCATGGTTCGGTCTTTAGTATTCAGCTCGTGCTCCTGCTGACTCTGCACAGTTCTCCTGTCACCATGGCGACCGACGCTAAAGTAGCTAGGTTAACTATTAGCTAAAACAACACGACTAGCAATCACAGCAAACAGCAAAGAAACAGGAATATGAGCGCCTTAGTTTTTGTTTTTGGTCAGTTAAACACTTCCGCTATCGCTTAACTTCTCAGCCACTGTGTAACAGCCTGTCTTTGCGTGTGAGGAAAAAAGATCACTACTGTCTGTTTTTATTGCCATCTTGATTGGTAACACTGTTCTTAATTTCAGCTATCTTTGGCAATCACCAAAATACACACTTTGATATTGGTATAAAACATATACCTGCTTCTAGATGGATTACTAAGTTTTTTCATGTCTCATTCAAGAAATAAATTGTTTAGACACACAGCCTTATACAGACACTGAAGATTACAGCTGGGATTTTGCTGCTCTTTGATATTAGTGAAGTTTGCAGACAGAGATAAGGATCTAGAGATGCTGAAGTTTGGCAGCTACTCTTTGATTATGTCTTCATTTGAAACTTTGATCATCTCTAAACTTACTATTGTGAACCTAATGATTTTTAGCTGAAAGGACAGAAGCTCTGTCTCACTAGATTTATGCATCCACATTTAAAAAAAGATAAACCTTGGCTTACAAAGGGAACTTTTTCAGTTAGGGAGCACTAAAATGCCTTTGTCCTAAACAGTCCAAATGACTAATATGAGACGGAATTATGCCGTGTTGATTGTAAAATGGCAACTTTAAAAAGAGTATTTTTATAAGGTTTGAGTTAGTACTGGAAATCCAGTAGTCATTTATAAAACAGTTGTTTGACAACTTAAGTTAAGATTTTGTCTCAAAGATATCATAATTGTTTTAAATGTGACATACATCCATTGTTCTAAACCTCTTAAGTCAGTCCAGCCAGTAATCCACACAGCATTTAAAACGGGGCATATGTAGACCATGTACCTGCCGTTATGTGTTTATTATAACTGAGATAATCTGTTGTTGTGATGAAATTGTTGTCTTCTGAGATTTCTTAGTCAAAAATCTATGCAAACTCTTGGGCTTCACTGCCCAATGTAAACAGACTATGAGTGAATACTAAATTAAATTCTTGACTTTAAGTGTACATTTTTCTTCCTTACGTTTGCTCCACTGGGAGCACGTGGCATGATGCAACCTATGAAAATTGATTAAGGTAACTGAGTGCCCAGTCTGGTTCTTGCAGCTGTTGGTTGTTTTTCATCTGTGAATCTCTTGACAAAGGACCCCATGTGCATTTGCCTCCAGAGAGAGGCCCCTCTCAAGAAAAAAATTAATCTGGTTTGCACATGTGAGAAATTATACCATTTGCTCAATTAGTGGCGAGCAACAACACTAAAAGGGCCATATACTTTATTGTTTCAATGTCTTGGCTGTGAACAAATGTTTTTATCTTTTCTTTTGTCAGTATAATGCATCTCTTGCTACATCTCCACAAGCGCTACTAGCATAATTATTTCCTGTTCGCTTTTAAAACCACTGGAGTCGTAGGCAATGTACCTCAACATCAGGGGAATTTTCCTCATCTTCTTCACAATATCTTGAATTCCTAAATGAATAGGATTGTAAGACAGGGATGTCAAGTAGTTTTCAGTTACACATCCCGTTTTGTAACTAATCTCCTTCCTTTGGGAGAAAGAAAATGAATGTACCTGTAATGGCAAGACCAAATGAGTAAAATGAATGTCCTCTTTCTGGAAAGTCGACATTTTCTTTTGGGAGGTGGGGTGTGTGTGTGTGTGTGTGTGTGCACATTTGCAGGACACACACAACTCAGTTCCCAGTAGATACGCTACATTAATAACCCCTCTCACACTGCTGCCAGGTGTCAGCTTGTCACTGTCTGAATGACTTACCTGCTTGTCTGTTTTTAGTGGAAAAAAGGATCCCTACCCCCAATTTTCACTAGGCACCACTGACTGACATCTTGAATGCTGTTTCCCCCCTTATTAATGTCAATTTGCTGAGCAAATTGCAATCGGATCAGTTTTTCTTGGACAGCATTTTCAGTGGTATTTTAGCTTGTGGTTGGTTATCCATTCAGAAATATAGGGAGATCTGTGGAGGTCTGTCCACCTGAGCAAGATGTTTTTCAAATATGGAGTCTTACTTTGCTCTTAAGACGCTGGGCTGAACTGAAACACTAGTCTATTTTGTCTGATTTATGAGCTTCTCAGGTTTTTCCTTTTTTCTGATTCATTGGGTAAAAAGGAGCTTTAGGCATAGTCTGTGTACATTATTGACCGCTGAATTCTGGTGGAAGTCTTAATCAGACAACATTTATGGCTGTCTTCACTTTTGAAGCACGATCACGGCCCGATTTGGATATTGAGCTGTAAAACTGTACTGCCTCTTATGAGTTGCATCACATGGTTACAGTCAGCATGCCATATTTTTTATCCTCTAGCAAAGCTCAAAGTTTCTTGTTTCAGTAGAACTTCCCCCATTTCCCGGCACTGGTATCATTGGTGACCCTGTACTGTTCACTGTTGGAGTGTCAGGATTACGCCAACTATTACATTTGCTGGTTAGTTCCAGTTGTACGGTGGAAAAAAAAAATTACACAGAGGGAGGAGAGCCAAGCTACTGGAATGCCAAGACAAATGGCCGACGAGGCCAACGTTAGCATGTGGAATACATTTTTGCTGTCCAAGCTTGTTATTCCTGTGTTGTCAGTGATTGTTTGGGCTACATAAATGGACAATTTTCTCCTTGTTGCATCAGTCACCTCTAGTCATGTTTTAGTCACTCTCCAGGCTGTGACATGCTGATATTTAAATAAAAAAACAAACATTTTAAAAGTCAGTATACAAGCATTATAATAATAGATTTACAAAAAAAAAGAATAAACATCAACACTTAATGCTAACTGTAGCATCCAAACAAAAAACTTTAAGATTACCATTTTGAGGAATTAACCTGTTTCTTTTATTCAATAGAACAGATTTATTTGGAGGATGTTTTGTCAAATTTAAAGCATGAAAAAAGTCCTCAGAGAATGAATGGAGAAAGATAACAACATAGGCCAAGTGAGAGCCTAGTGGATTGAAAGACAGAATCTAGTTTAAAAACGTTAAACCCGCAGTGACTGTCAAGCACCACATTAAAATGCATTTACTGCCACACATGAACACTTAGGGAATCCTATTGCTTCACATCTCTCCTGTGTTTATGTAAGCACAGCGCTCTAAAGACAGCTAATAGACATTCAGCACTTCTTTTTTTTAACCCTCATCCATCAAAATGAATTAAAGTTGGCACGTCAAGCTTATGCTATGAATTCTCACGGATTTCAGGAGAGACCCTACTTGACGTATTTTTCTGGAGTTTTGTTCCCCCTTTCAAATACACCAGTGACAGTGATGGAGATTTCATAATTCATGGCAATTACTAGATCTGTAGTCTGGAGATATGACGCATACTCAACACCTGTTTTTGTATTTCACATTGGTTCTCACTGTCACTGAGAGCCGAGAGGCCAGAGGAGGCTGTTTCAATTCCAGCAGTGGCCGCCTTGCCAGTCATGGGGTTTTTGAAGGATTTGAATGGTGAAACTAATGTCCTGCAGCACGTACTACAGCTGTACATGGCCTATTAATTACAAAAGGGTGCACACGTAAGTGTTGTCAGAAGATATATTATTGCCTTAAATTCTGGGAGATATTAGAAAATGAAATATTGTGAAAAGCTTTGTCTGGCATTTGTCAGTGTGAATAGAATCAAGGTGTTTTCTACTTTTGCTTTGCACCAAATACACCCTCTCAGGACGTTCTTTGATATTCAGTGTATTTTTTCTGGATGGAGTTTTGCAGCATCTTGCATTTTGCCCGGGCCATTCTGTGATGTGTAGATGTTATATTAGACAAATAATGTGCCCGAAGTGAACGCTTTTGCACTGCCCTGAAATCATTTCCGCTTTAAAAATGCTTAACTCTGTAAACGGCATATTTTTAGCTCTGTTCATTGCCACAGAAGTGTCTGGCACTCATTCTCTGTGTCTCTCCTTTTGTCTCTCTGTTTCAGACATCACTCGCCACCAGGTTTGCACAGGAGGCCTTTGGGAAGCAGTACAAACAAACCATTGGCCTGGATTTCTTTCTGAAGAGAATAACCCTTCCAGGTGAGACACCTTGGTAATCTTTTGGGAGCGTTTGCATGTTCTGAGACACAGCACAGACATGGGTTGCACAAGCTCATGACACACTAAATATTTCTGAGTTCAGTCAAATGTTGAAGCTATGCCTTTGCAGAGTAAAAATAATGTCAGTTTGTCCGTATAGCCCTGTATGTAAACTTATTTTTTAGATTGATCTAATAACATTAGAATATGAACAAACAAGTAAGGGGAACCTAACGGAGGGGCTTATTATTCACCACCACTCCTTGCTATTTTTTTTTTTTACATCTCATATTTTCGTGTTAACTCAGGTTAACTCAACAAACCAAGTGTGTCTTTTCTGGTAGCTCCTCATCGTGCAGTGTCTGCCACTTCTCAGGCTTATTCAATTTGAAAGTTCTCTTGGAGCTCATAGCAATTTTTCCCCCCTCTTTTTTTTTTTTTTTTAACTCCACAAGGCCAATGGTCAGATTATGCCCAAAACAGGCAAGCCTTGCTCATAACTCTGTGTACACAGTACAGAGTAAATACATTGAAATATCTCATCATATCGCTGATCCACAAGTTCAGCCGGTCTTTGTCCTGTAGCACATCAAACGCTGAAGTGGCTATTTATTTCTACATAACCCACAGATATAAAACTATGCTCTGTATCCATTTTACATCAAATAAATGTTTACTGCAAAATGCTATATTTAGACATAAGTACTCCATTTAACTTCCTATCATGCAAAATGGGGATTTTCTCCATTTTAAACTGTGTTTTTCAAACTCTGCCAAAGCCTAAGCTCCAGAAATCTGTAAAGTGGCTCCATTCTTTCATTACTAATAAAACAACATTAAGCGAGGGCAAATTAAGTGCTAAAAGTAAAAGTTATGCTGATTTGTGAGTTGGCTGGAGGTTTCTATTTTGATTTTGTGTCAGTTTCAGCTTATGAGACTTAGGAGAACTAAACCCCCAAAAATGTTGTGGTGGAGTCGGGATGAAAAGAGCCAACCATAAGCACAGGCTTTGCTCAGCTTCTTAATATGAACTTGAACAAATGCCGTTAATTGTGTGACCCCTTCTTCCAGTAACTCTCCTTCCTGAAATAAGTGTAGATCTTTTCAGTGTGGTACTGTATGACTTTGTTTAAATATAGAGTCCATTTGACTGTATCGCTGGTGCTGCAAGAAAGCTGGATTCAACACCCGAATTGTTAAATTGCCCATTTTCTGGGGAATTGGGTGTTGATGAGCTGATGAAGAGGAGGGTGGCTGAACAAGCTGGGTGGTCCCAAACTTCGTTAGGACCCCCACGTTGCCATCTATTGGAGAGGCTGTGTGGGTCTCTATGGGGCTGTAAGTGTCTTTGCAGCACGAGGGAAAGTAGCCTATAGCCAGCGCTGGCCCCTCTCGCCATGAAGGCCCAGCTTGTCAAACTTAATGTACATTTTCCAATGCAGGCAGAGGTGAGGCAAGGCCGACTCGCACACAGCAGCCTCCTCTGTGTGTGCTTTTTATAACAATACCCCTTCCAGATGTCCCCGCCAAACCAGAGAGGTGCAGGCAATGCTGGAGATTGGCTAGAAGTGAAACTCAGTTAATAGATTTAGTCAAAAATATTAGCTTTGAAAGCTTAATACAAGCAGAAATATCCAGTGAGCCTATAAGGAAAATAGTGTTTTAATGTGGTGGATCTGACTGTATTATCAGTTCCATTGTTTGTCTATCTCACTACTTATTGTGGAGGATTAGGGAAAATATGCTAGCACTGTTGGGTCAGCACAAATCTTTAAAAACACAAATAAAGCCGGAGGCTGAGCGCCATGGACAGGAGGGGATGACTCTTTGTGATACCAAGGAGCCATTATTCATTGAAATCCCCAGTGTAACTTTACATTGACAGTGTATAGTCTAGATGTAGTGACTGTGAACCTCAATGTTTCCTCTTCTCGCTTTAAAAAGGGGACTTATGAAGGGGCTGAGTCGTCCAGCCGTGGCCACAGTGCTCTGCTACGCTCTGCTCCCCTTCGCTGCTGGAGCTCAGCGCAGGGCCTTCAGGGGCTTACCGACCTTATTTTCCTAAGGAAGAAAACATTTATTTGTTCTTTCATTTGGTTTTTGTGCCACTTTTTTCCTACTCTCATTCATTCACTCTTCCTTACTTTTTCCAAAAGTTTAAAGACAGCAGTTTTTTATTTCTTTTATTTTTCATCAATTATTGCTATTTTCCTTAACAGCACATAATTCTCCTCACTTTCCCTACTTGGCAGGACATGGTACAATGCAAACAGCTCTTCAATAAGACACTTTTTTCTTGCAGCTAGTATATTGAGAACGTTTAAATTAGAGGCTAAGCATATGTATTAATCCCTCGATCTCTCGGCTGGATATTCTTGGATGTGAGCTGTAGGTGAGTTGCCAGTTTAAGTCCATAGCATGAAAGATTTATCGCTGATTTATTATTTGTATCAACTATGTCAACTTTATTGGAAAAAAATCAAATCCAAAATACGTGCTCCAGTTGGAGCTGATCCTCTGTTTCCACGGGATTTTGAACATTGTTAAAACAAACAAAACAAAACAAAAAAAACATCTACATCTGTAATGGAAAATTATTTTCGCACCCCCCTCACCATGTCTTGAAACTTTTATCTTTCTGAGTGTTACGGACATACAAACATTTCTAAAAAAGAAAAATGGAATTCTGCTGTGTAACAAGATGTCCACATAACTGAGACGACTGAGTACATTTTTAATGGTTCTTTGTCTTTCTTTCTCCACCTCCAGGTAATTTAAACGTGACCCTGCAGGTTTGGGACATCGGAGGCCAAACATTAGGGGGGAAAATGCTGGATAAATATGTATATGGAGCTCATGTAAGGACACACACATTGCATGCAAACTGACACTCATCAGATCACAGCATAATCAATCACTGTTTAGATTCACTGTGATTGAAGCACTTGGATTTTCTACTTTGTCTGAAACAGAACATATGGTAGTATCAATTAGAATAGTATTATTTGTTGTTCGTTGTGTTAAAAGGCCACTTACTGGCATTTTCTACAGTCTGCTTTGTGCCAAACACCAACAGTATGTCAATTAATCATTTGTGTTTCCTCTCCATTCCTGTACCTTTTGCCACACAATGTCGCCAAATTACAACACTTTGTTTAGGAAGTTTGTCGTCACCGTTGCACAAAAGCTTAACACCTATTGTTAGACACTGCCTGTGCTGTAATCAATCATAGCTGTTCAGAGAGGCTCACAGTAGTTGTCGGAGGCATGAGCTGTCCTCACCAACCTTGCATGTTGTGACAGTTCATGTCTCTTAAACAAAAAGCAGTGGAAACCTTTAAGTCATGTTGCATCATGCAGAAGAAGTAGAGGGGTTTACTTTGGCTCTTGTTCGTTTCAAGCCTTGTTCAGAAAAAAAACCCAATTTGAAGTAACGATAGCGGATAACTGAACTGTGCAATTGCGCCTTCACTTGATTTATGACAACAGTTGTTGTATCAGTTTACTTTTTGATTAATTTATGTGCTGAAGTAGACAACTCCTTCTGACCTGAGTGTTTTCTCAAACAGGGCTCTGGACTGCTTTCATGACTGTTTCTGCAGGGTTAAGGATTACTGAGGGAGGCGAAAAACTGTCTTAAGTGGACAGGCTTCATTCATTAGCTCAGTCAGTAGATAACCAAACTTGACCTCTGGTCTGCAGTGAATTTAGAGTATGCATGAGAAACTTGGTATTAATTATGTGGCAACTTCTATTTTCATTTAAAAAGACATCAACATGATTGCACAGTTTATAACAGGACTGACACATCAACATTAACCTGTGGGAGTGTGTCCCCATTAAGGTGACCATGTCCCTCAAAGTAAGAAGAGAACCAGTGCCACCTACTGTTCCCTCTCCAGCTCATTATTACCCATTAATCTGAATGAATATGAGGTTTAAAACATTCTGTTCCCACATGCTCTGTGAATTTTCAAAGACAAATGTTAATTTTGGGTCCTCGAATTACCGCTAAAATAAAAATTGTCTCCCCTTTTTCTCCGATGCAGGGTGTTCTCCTGGTATATGACATCACCAACTACCAGAGCTTTGAAAATCTAGAGGATTGGTTCAGTATGGTCAAAAAGGCAAATGAAGAATCTGATATCCAGCCAGTAATCTTCTTGGTTGGCAATAAAAGTGAGTATCATATAAAATATGTGTTTGGAATTATGTTTTGTAAAGTTTTAGAATAGTTTTATTTTAGGTCCCATGTAGTAGCTGTGATTTAAATGAGTGGATTTTTTATTTGCCAGATCGAACATTTTTGGGTGAATTTCATTTTAAGCATTCTGCGTGTGTGTTTGTATGTGGAGGAGTGAGTGTTTGATGATAGCAGACATGTTTGTTAGGGCACCAGATAACTGATTGGTGTGATAAGAGAGTTTCAGAGCGATGGGAATGCTGATGTTTGTGAACTCTTGGGAGTGACTGACGATGATTTAATATCCCTGGGCCAATGGACCCAGGTTACCGCTTATCTGTAGCCCTCTCCCTCCCAGTCAGTACCCGTCTGCTCCCCAACCCCCCCCCCCCCAGTCTGAGTTGGCTCTCAAGTCCCGCGTGGTTGGTTAAGGTAAGGAACTCGATGTTAACCAGACGACTGTCCTCCTATCAGCCAGCACCCATCCCCCACCTCCAACATAAAGACCAATAATGATGACCCTTTTTAAACATCCCCTTGACAGATGTGGAGTCATGGCTGCCGCTGTGTTATTGTAAAGTGAGGCGTCAGTGTGTATGTAATGGTGACTGTCCACCTTTCTGAGCGATGATGAACGGTCAACAGAACCGTGCCTGCACACAGGAAGCTCCCACTAATGTTACTCAACGGGGATCATAGGTCATGCTTTAATTCGGCTGCCTCGAGAGGATTCTCTTGTCTTCACATCCATTGCATCTTCTAATGCTACGGCTTAAACTGTGGGCGCCTATGTATTTAGGCTAGGTTTTTTTCCGTGTGGGTCGGTGTGCATACTGTAATATGTAGGTAGTGTACATCCCGCTTTCAGACTCCTCACCCCCACAGCATTTGAATTGTCGCTCTCCCTCTGATGGCTCTATGCCCCATGTGTGTTTTTTCTGTTCTTATGGGCGGAAAAAAGAAAAACAAAGTCCCACACAGATTGTCCCTCAAGGAGCAATCAATTATGTCACAAAACGTTATGAATTTCTTAACCCTTACATTGACTCCTTCGATTTTCAGAGTCCATGAAGTAAAAGAGAGTGTATAGATATGGACATAGTCAGTTGCTGATAAGAAAAAAAGAGCAAATGAGAAATGATCTCAAACAAAAATATTGTGGCTGGCTGCACTCAAGTAAACAGGCTGTCAATCAATAAGTAGCACTTGTCTCATGAAATACTTTTAAATTAATTTTTTCCTCAAGTCATTTTTAACTTTTGAGCTGGATTCAGTCCTTTTGATCACTTTGCCTCTTATCTTTTTCCCCCACCATCTGAAACAACGCAAAGTCTGTTAACTTCCTTCAATTCATGTTAATGCGTTACAAGGGATTTTTTTTACTTTTTCTGTTTACCATTGCATCAGAGTGTTCCTTTTTTGATTTTGGTCACATTTTCAATAGAATTACAGGCACAGGTGAGAGCCAATCACAAATCCTCTCTGCCTTTCCAAACTGAGTGCTCTGACCACTGTTTCCGGGAGATAAGTCAATGACTACAGTACATACAACATCATACAACCACCATTCCAAAAACACAAAGTCCCTATTTTAATAGGTATTAGTTTCAAGTATCACTTTCCTCTTTTACTGTCTTATCCAGATATGGTCACTTTTACCTCCAAAAATCACAAGACATTGACGGCAAGATGCTGACTTTACTCTTGGTTCACAAACCAGTGAGAGACATGAAGTTGTCTATTTCCATCTATGCTTAAATAAAGTTAGTCAAGATATCTTGCTGGAAGTGTCCACACCTGCATCCCATTTAGCATTTTTCTCTCAGCAGTTTTCTTTATGCACCAAGTATTGTAGTTTCTTTCCTTTGGCACAAGTGGAGTGAATGAATGCACAGCATTCTTCTGAGAGCGAAGTTTAGATATCCAAGCAGTTCCCATGAAGTTGCACTGAGAGAGGCAACATGTTTGTGACAACCGAAATAGAAGTACAGACATAACAAGGAGCTTACAAAAACACTATAGATTTATGTCTCTGTGAGGTCTTGTCTTAAGGGAGATTGTGGTGTTTCACCACTCAGACTTTTTTAGTGTTTCCATCGGGTTAAGCTGAAGGTGAACGCTGGATTTAGAGGTCATACGCTTACACATATGAAGCTAAATGTTTTCTTGCAAGTGTTTTTGGTGTGCTGAAAGACCAGTGAAATCATTACAGCATGCCTTTAAAATATGGGAGTCACAGAAGGTAAATCAAAATATTAGCCTGGTTTAACAACAGACATTGAGTCTGTATTTCCAGAGTTGCTCTGTTGGTTTAATTTAAACATCTTCTTTAGTTGGCGTATGGTAATTGAGCCATTGAACTCGACGGGTTCATTAGCGATGCTAGCTCTCCGCTCCTCTCTGTGCCTTGGCCTGTCCGCCCTCCTGTGCCATGTCATTGCTGGGGAACAGCCTTTCCTTTCTTTGGCTTAACATGGCTGGCTGGAGTTAAGTGTGCTTGTTAAGCACCACCATGCTGCACACATTTGCCCTCTTTACTGCTGTCTAGAACCCTGTGTTAAATAACAGCCCCACTTGTAATAATTCAGAAAAGACGGCAATGAGATTTTTTTGATTGAGAGCACACAATTGTGCAGTTTCAGACACATACACAGGATCTCCTACGTAGAAACATGCACTGAGGTAAAGTGACACACTTGAAGTTTTGGAAACACACAGGTCATGGAGGAATACTAATGTCTTGCTCTGTCTAAACATACTACAACTGTGCTTACAGTGCAACGTCATGTAAAACCGTATGGCGCACGAGAACCTCCAGAGAAATGGTTGCCAGTTGTGAAGTTGTTTCCTTCATTTGAACATTACTTTTTTAGTGGTGTTAAAAGCATGATGTGTAATGAAATGGCTCCAAATGGCCAATTTTGACTTGTTAATAGCTATTTGTATTCAGTCTCAAGCCATCGATGTAGAAACTACAGTACTGTTTAGGACTTAGTTTTAGGACTGTGGCATACATGTGTTTTTGAATAGGATAATGTTTGTTTTGAAATGGTTTATGTGAATTTTCAAAATCAGTGGGCATCTATTTTTGGATATTAAGCTGTGTGGTTTATCAAAACCAATTTGTTTTCATTTAGTGGCAAATCGCAGGGCTCCGGCTTGCTTTCAGCCTACTACCCTTCCCACTGCCTGTACTCTTTCCCTCAGGAACTCCAGAGCATTCATCACTGGCTTGTACAGCCCTTATTTGGGTGACTTAAATGGGTTCATTTCTCTTAACCCCTCCTCATCACTCATGGGTTTCTGCTCGATGGTTCTACTTCTGTTGCTGGTGATCCACTCAGGGCTGCCATGGGAAACCTTCTCTTCTTAATAGAGTTAAGGTCCCTGCATGAAGAGAATTTCTGCCCTCAATTCTGGCTCACCTGCCTTTTTCTTCTGCTCTTTCCTGTCCTCTTTCTTCGGCAAGACCATATCTTTGGCCATCTCTCAAACATACTTGTGCATTCATTTTTATCCTTGTGCAAACACAAACTCTTTCAGTCACACACTTAAACCTGCTCTTTGTGCTTATCTCTCACACGCTGTGACTAACACCTCCGCCGTAGCTGCCTTTGCTTACAGTAATGTCTTTTCATAGGCTTGGTGTCTCTGTTGTGTTAAACAACATGCATGTGTTTGCCTTCTACATGTTATGGCAGATCTCACTGCATACCGATACCCGTTGCACTTCTCTCTCCCCAGGTTTCACTCCATCCATGTAAAAGTTTAAGTGAAACATGGATATCCCCTAACTCTAGACTTCTCACCAAGCATGTCTTTGCCCAACAACATTGTTAGTCTTCAGTTGTTTGCCCTTTCTGGTAGGCCTTGGGTGGAGTTGAAGGCTCCCCCTCCTCATCTCTCTCAGCCCTGTCACCTCTCTGCCCCTGTAAAGCTGCCACAGTTCCTGTCTGTTCAGTGTAGGCCTGCACACTTCTTAATAGAGAGATGCTCAGAAGTCCAGGAGTGCAGAGGAGCTCAATGCACTTCTGTTTTTGGTTTCGCTCAAAAATGTTTTTCCTGGCTCAACCCACTCGTACTTAGGTCCTCTTACAACAAACTAAAAGGTCCTAATTGCCCCCAAGGGAAAGGTTTAGCCACAATAGACATGTGGTGGGACAAAAGCCCAGTACTCTTACTGGGCACCCTCACCCCTCCCCAGATAGGAGGGATGAACACGTCAGCAGTGTCTGTTTTGCAGTGTGGGTAGCACGACCACAAGTTCGACCCTGTAAAACATTATATATACAGTATGTAGACCCAGTAAGGCATGGTCTATGGTTGGGTAGAGACCTGGAATGTTTACAGTTTACAGAAAATCCAATCTTTCCTGTTTCTCTTCACATTTTATTTAAGGTAAAGGGTCAGAGGAGATGTGTGTATGTCTCAGTAACGGCAGCAACAGTGGCCTGCTGTCTGTCTTTAGGTCAAGAGTTAAAAAGCAAGGGTAGAAAATAGACATTTGCGTATTTGTGATAAAAAGAAGTTAACAAGAAATTCCTGTTGTGTTGCATTGGTGGGGATGCAGGTCACAGTGTTTCCGAAAATCTTTTGTTTTTTTCTCATAATGGATCTGTTCTGGTGGCATTTCCTACATGATACAGAAAAAAATCTTGGATAAAATAGATGCTAATGTTAACATTGAATTGTAACAACTTTTGACCTAGCTCTGGACGCTGCACTCATCCCTCTTGATTCTTTTGCCTGTTGAAACATGGAAAGTCCTCATTCATTTTAGCCATCCATAAAGCAAATATTGTTGCACATGCAGTAGATGATCAGTCTTCGAATACCTTCTTGTGTGGTAGGTCATGGGCCATTTGAGTTGCACAGCACAGCTTAGCCACCTGACCCGAGCGCAGCCTGGAACCCTCATCACACTCAGGCTATACTTTATTTCTTCGCTGCTCCACAACATTGATATGGAGGAATTCCTGGAAGGGGCCTTGCTGACACAGGATTGGGTAAATAACTGATTGATGTAGATCCACAGGCATATATTATAAATGT